TATTCACTAGTGAATAATGAATATTATTATTATTTCATAAACTCATTTATAATAAGTCGTGGATAATAGTATATTATTCAACGAGCATATAATGGTGGCTGTTATTCACGCGGATGAAGTTTATGACACGAGCTGCAGGCGAGTGTCATAAATCATCCAAGTGAATAACAACCATTATATGCGACTAGAATACTATACTTTATCCAGGACAATTAAAAAAAATTAGATAATATTATATAAGTTTCTAATTTTAATGCCAAAAAGAATATTGAACGAGTATAACGAGTAAGTAACATGGAAACAAAACATTGAAATTGTCTTTATTTTGTGCGTACAATCCCATTCCAAGCCGGTTTGAATCGAGCACAGCTCTTGTTTGGAGTTTGGGTCAATATATCAGTGGAAGCGGTGAATAATGAAACCATTATTCACTAGTGAATAATGAATATTATTATTATTTCATAAACTCATGTATAATAATCAAATTATAGACGAGTCGTGGATAAAGTATTTTATTCTAATATGTTTGTAGAGTTGACATTGGCGAGTAATTAATAACATAAGACATATTAATGTGTAACGCTATTTGTATTCATGCGAAAGAATTCAACTGACTTGATTAGGTTTGGTTACTGACTTGATCAGTTGACTTCACTCGCATACTATCACTTTGGAAGAGGTCCGAAAACATTTTACATAGAGCAGTTCTGTTTCTTCTTTAGTGGCTCTGTTTGATTTCAGTTCTATACCTACAAAGGGAGAAGCAATATCGCCAAAACTGTTTACACAGCAACATTAGAAGAAATCTTCCGTCAACTCGACTGGACCAACAAAGAATTAAGTATAGATGGGGACTATCTTAACCATCTAAGATTCGCTGATGACATAGTCCTCATTGCCAATAGTTCTGAAGAACTACAAGCACAAATTAAGGAACTAAATATAGCCAGTAATAAAGTGGGTCTCAAAATGAATCTAGCAAAAACTAAAGTAATGTACAACGAACTGGTAGACAGCAAAGACATTCGAGTAAATAACACAACACTAGAAATAGTAGAAGAATATATATATTTGGGGCAACTAATACAAAGCTCGGGATCTCTACTACCAGAAATTAACAGAAGAATTAAGTTAGCATGGAGTACTTATAGAAGGAACTCAATCATATTCAAATTTATAATGCCACTTTATCTAAAGAAGAAAACATTCGACAAATGCGTACTACCAGTCATGACCTATGCATGCGAAACCTGGACACTTAAAAGGGACATTATAAGGAAACTGCAGGTCGCACAACGCTCAATGGAACCAAATATGCTGGGAATAACCAAGAGAGAGCTTAAAAGAAGAGTGGATACGACAAAAGACCCAAGTAATAGATGTCTTCCACAGAATCAAATCCTTCAAGTGGCAATGGACAGGACACCTGGCAAGAAGGACAGACAACAGATGGACCATGGCATGGTACCCACGAGGAATCAAGAGAACTAGAGAAAGCCCAAACTTGACATGGAATCATGATATTAGGAAATTAGCAGGGATAACTTGGGTCCACATACCCAACAATAGACAACAATTGGGCCCAACTACAAAGAAGAAAAACTATCTCTGCCCTGGTGAACTCCACCATTCTAGAGATTTGTTGACTACCCATTGTTTTGTGGTCGTTCTTTTGACTACTTTTGCAAGTTCTGAATCTATGAATAGCATTGATGAGTCTCGTTTGCTTTGGTTTGTATGTATGTTTTCCCTCAACGGTAGATTAAACAGTATTCTCTAGAGAAAACCTATAGAAGATTGATATTTTGCTTATTTTAGGATGAATGTTACACTGATCTGAAAAGTGGAGCTGAAAGTGGTTGGGACTTCACATCCAGATGGATCTTCGACTCATCTGGTGAACCTAATAATGATCTAACCCAAATAGAAACAAGACGTAACATTCCCGTCGACTTGAACGCTTTCTTGTACAAATCGTTCAAGCAGATGCACTATTTCAACGTAGTTCTACGTCAACAGGCCGATGCTAAGTACTGGTTAGACAAAGCCGAAGAATGGAGGTATAATATGGAGAAGGTGTTATACGATCCTGAAGATGGAATATGGTAAGGTATTTATAAATAATACCTGTACCTTCGAATAAAAAGATAAAGGAAGCAGTATAATACTATCCATGTATTCATGGATGGCGATCCTTGACAGTTCTGTTTGACGATTCATCATAGATAAAGGAAACACGTTTAGATTGGAATGCTCGGCTTGCCGCCTAAACTTATAATTGTTTTGGAGCGCATACGTTGTAGGGCGCTGTTATGGCGGTTGCTAAGAACAACCGCCAAACAAGAACAGAAATAATTTTCTCTTGTCAAAGTCAGAATCTTCAAAAACTATAAAATCTTTCAAAATTTAAACCGCCCTCATTGAAAAAACCGAAAAGTGTTTAAAGTGTCCATTTTCAAAGCAATTAGTGCTGTCTTGTGAGTTTAATTTAAATTTTGTTTACTCAAACTCGAGATAATTGTTAAAAACTGGCATTAAAAACTTAAAAAACTGTGTAAACTGTGAACTGCAAAAACCATCGTGGATCTTGGCATAACGTCGGTGTCTAATGTTTCATAGGTATTTCACACATGTACTTATATAAAATAAAGTTTCTTATATGCAACACACTGTATTTTTTTTAAATTAAAGGAAAATAATAATAAATTTGAATAAATAATGTACAAATAGTACATATTTACATTGTCCCTATGTGAACTTTCCAATCTAAACTTGTTTCTTTTATCTATGCGATTCATTTAACACATTTGAATTTGAATTGAAATTTTATGGATATATACTTAATATATAATATACTTACTAATAATATACTTACTTATTTTATGGATATATTACTTATATTATTATTACTAATATATATTTACTTATATATTAGTAATTAGGATATGTCAGTCATTACTGACTTTACTGATTTCAGTTATTCTAAAGTCGGAAAAAAGAGAATGATGCATTTCCGCAGAGAAATTTTTATGATTTTGTTTTTGGGGAGGCTTCTACAAGAACAGTTAACCTAATAGAAATGCTCATTCAGCCGAAAGTGTCGGCCAAGTACATGCGAAAACTCCTCGCTTCGTGACGTCATTGTAGTCCTTGTCATGATAGTGTGTGTATTATTGGTTGCCGTATGCAAAACATTCATTATTTAGTTTGTTTATTTAAACAACTTATATGTATGCAATATAGAAAATTAACTGTATGAAACGTATTAAATACTCGGATAATGCATTTTTAAGAACAGCAGTTCCCAGCATTACCTTCTGCAGGCAGTCTTTTTAGAGTACTTCCTTATTTTGCTTTAAAATAATTAATAAACAATATCGTAGGCACTTAGTCACAATCCACAACACAAAATGAACATATTTATACATTCTATAACTCTAAAAACTTTAAAAACACCTTTTTCATATTTAAAATCGACAAAATAATTAACTCAAAATTTCTCAACTGTTATTTTTATACTATACGTTATAGGCAACCAATAATACAGACTATCATGACAAGGACTACAATGACGTCACAACTGTCTGCTGAAGCGCGGGAAGTGGCGGACGTACGTCTTATGAGGATGAGCAATCCTATTAGGCTTCTATATACTGGATGTTTTGGTGTTTTTTTTTATAAGCGATTTCAAGTAAAAAAACTTTACCCCATGCCAAAACACCATCCGGTAAGTTAACCAGAAAGGTTATTATTTAAATAAAAATAAGTAGTTTCCCTGAATTGCTTACTAAACAATTAAGGCTTATTGTTATTATCGTTCAATTTTGCGTAATTTTAGGTACGACTATGACCTGAAACTCAATAAACCGAGGAAGTACTTTGCCGCCTCTAATTTTGCACCTCTATGGGCTGACGCTATAGACGACGATGTCAAAAAAGAACGCGGAAATAACGCTGTAAGATACTTAAAGAAGTTCGGAATATTGGATTATCACGGAGTACCATCTACCCTATTTTCATCCGGTAATCAATTAATGTTGTATATTATTTTTTAACCTAAAAAAATTGTGTGTGCACTACTTGAAGTGAAACTTCTTACTAACAACAACTATTACGGTCAAGTTGGCTTTGATCCAATCTATCGTCATACCAAATTTCATTTAAATCGGACGATTCTTTCTAAGCCGAAGGCTATCCTTACCACTTTCCTTTCGCCTTTTGTGTTGCTTGTCGTCTCACTTGTGGTAGAGGTGGGAATTCTCTAGTTCCTTGGGAGGAACTAGTTCCTAAGTTCTAGTTCCTCAAGAGGAATAGTTCCTTGAACTAGGTCTTTAGTTCACAATAGTTCGCGACTAACATTGACATCCCCCTTGCTTGCTAATGCGTTTCGTTGTCAGTCAGAACTATTTACAGTATGATCTGTATAATTTTTATAATGTACGGAGATAAAACGAGACGTAATTGTGTATGTTAAAAACATATAGATAAGTTTTATTGCAGATAAAAAAAAATAAAAAAGAAACTCAAATCAGAGTTTAAAAAAATATATCACAAATCAATTGGAGCAAATATTACAAAAATATTACGAAAAATTGCATTTTTCCTCACTTCAAGCTTTTTGTTTTTGTCTAAAAATTCGGAATATCTACTTCGTTTTATAAGATATTTCTTAATTTTAGGGACCTAAAGTGAAACATTCCCATAAAATATTTAAAAAACAAACTAAAAATCAAAACCAGTATCCACGACAATTTTCTGTGGTAATTACGCCGCGCCGGCTGCGGCAATAGACAAGGCCGAATCCATCGTCGTCGCCTTGTATTATATCTCGGATCTGCCGACTGAATAGATTCCCGTGAATTAGTCTTTTAATATTTCCTCTATGTCCGGATCCGATAACATACGGCTGGCACTCCCCACACCTGCCTAGCATCAATCGCGCTGGCTGATCCATACGTAAACTAGTCTTTTATTTAGTTCCTCTAGTTCCTTTAGGTCCTGATCCGATAACATACGGCTGGCACTCCCCACTCCTGCCTAGCATCGATCGCGCTGGCTCGATCCGTACGTACCATAAACTAGTCTTTTATTTTATTTAGTTCCTCTAGGTCCGGATCCGATAACGTACGGCTGGCATTCCCCACTTCTGCCTACCATATAGGGCTACGCGCGCTGGCAGATCCGTCGCCGTCGCATATTATTATATATCGGTCACAGTCTCGATCCCGGAATAGGTCCTGAGGAACTAGTTCTTTGAGAAACCAGAAACTAGTTCCTTTCATTCCGGGGTGGGAACAGTTCATTGGAACTAGTTCGCTCACGAACTACACATCTCTAACTTGTGGTGTCACGGCCTTGAATTATTACACACATTCGCGCGCAAAGAGGTTTCACTTCGATAATTCAATTCTCCTAAGTTCCCTAGCTAATAATAATATTTTTAACTAAACGTTCTCCAACCCCAATAATATTTTTATCAATAAAAATCATAATACACACACCGGAAAAGTCTAGGGATATTACAATTTTATCCAGCCATCGCCAGTAATTTTATTATTTGCATTTCTAATATAATAAAATTAAAATAAACAAATAGTTTACAGGACGTATTGGAAATAAAAATGCGAAATTTACCGAATTTTTCAAATTTACCTTGATTTATATTGAACTCAAAAAAATACACACATTTTTTTTTATTCTAAACTGTGAATTAAAAGAAAAAAGATAAAACCATTTTTACTTAATAAAGGGTATGGCCTCCTCTACTGTTCATTACAGCCCTACATCGTCTCTCCATGCTCCTGATCAGGTTGTCGATCTCTTCTTGAGGTACAGCCTGCCACGCTGCATTCACAGCCCGAACCAGATCCCTACGAGTTTCACGAGGCATACCCATTCTCAAAATTCTTCTTTGGATCGCGTCCCATACGTCCTCGACGGGGTTTTTGTTTGGGAAGATGTTTAATTGATGACCATTGATAAACTCACTTACCACTCCGGCTGTATGAGGCCGTGCATTGTCATGCATGAGAATAAAGTTTCTCCCAAGATCATTGGCATATGGTAACACGACAGGCTCAAGAATTAAATCACGATATGTGATTCCTGTTAGAAACCTTTCAAGAAAAACGAGATCGGTTTTTCGGCCTAACTGGACTCCTCCCCAGACCATAACTGTTCCACCTTGATAAGGGTGCACTTCCTGAACATGTTCCAACCGAATAAGATTTCCCGGTTCTCTCCATACCCTAAGCCTTCTCGAATCCGGATGAATTCCAAAGCGTGACTCATCCGTGAAAAGAATATTGGCCCGTTGTTCATTCGACCACTGAACATGATCTTGAGCCCACAAATATCGTACCTCTCGATTTCCTCTCGTTAAGGGTTGAGCTCTCCAGGGGCGTCTGCTTCTTAGGTTGACCTCTCTTAATCTATAGCGAACAGTGTCAGGACTAACGGTTACATTATGTGTTTTCTGGAGAATTAAACTAAGCTCTGTTGCTGTAAGAGTCGGTCGGCGTCGAGCATTTAATTGTAAAAAATGATCTTGCTGAGTGGTAATAATGCGATGTCGTCCTGTGTGCCTTTCAGCAACATCACCACTTTCACGGTAGCGTGCACTTAATCGCGATATTACACTTTGCGTTGTATTTAATACTCTAGCTACGTCAATTTGGCGCATTCCAGCTTCGAGCGTACCCATGGCCCTTAGCATTTCGTCTCTGTTAAGATGTCTACGCTCCATAATGTCGTTTATACTAAACAGAGTTATTTGAATGAATTCTGGCCAGTTATCATAAAAACATAGCCAGTACAGGTTAAATTCGAATAATTGATGCTAGGTGCTTTTTATACATTTGACAAAAAATGCACAAACACTTCTGCAAATATCCCAAATTTAGAAATAACTAGTGTGACTACTTCGTTTCAATCGAAGTAGAAAGAATCGGCCTACAAATATGTGGTTGTTTATTCAAACACAAACTATCAAACACATTTATTTTTAACTTTAATAAAATGATATCCCTAGATTTTTCCGGTGTGTGTACTCCTATGTTTTGCATAATCTTATAAGGTACGATTCGCCTTTTATACAAGGTCTGGCAATAGTGCATCGGGCATCTGTGGCTCTTGGAATAAAAAACTTAGGAATTTTGTTTAAGTGCAAAAATAAAGTATGTACTAGGATGTATTTCAGGAAAATAATTTAACTTCTATAGAGTGGCTCAAAAAAGTGTGAGTGGATCGGGATGATTTTTTTTTAAATGGAACACCCTTTATATTACATATTGCATTTTTGGCTTCCTTTCAGATCGCTTTACATAATCCTAAGATATGAATAAATATATTTCGATAGTTTCAGAGATATTAATAAATAAATAAAAATATATATTTTCAACCTTTCTTAAAAAATTATTAAAAATACAAGAACTGTCCTGAAATCAAAACTATATTAGGTATTTACTTTATATGCTCTGTACTTACTTTGCTATAAATATGGTAATCGTAAATTATACAGGGTGTTCAAAATTCTACGTCAAACTTGCTAAAATATAAAATAATTTTTCTTCATTATTATAAATGGAATGCCTTGTATATTATTTTTTGATAGAGAATTAAAAAATGAACGTTTTTTGTATATAGAGTATTTCAACATTTTTAACGGTTTCGCAGATATTCGCGGTCTACTAGTTCATATGGCATTTTGAACAGTATATTTTTATCAAAGTCACCCAATGATTTTTCTCTGATATTTTACCGTTAATAAGAGCCATATGAAATAATACTGCGTGTACCTGCGAAACCATTAAAAATTTTGAAGTACTTTAAATACAAAAAATGTTAATTTTTTAACTCTCCATCTAATAAAAAAATAAAATACAGGGTGTTCCATTTAAAAAAACAAAGAAAAATTATTTCATATTTTAGAAAGCTTAGCGTAGAATTTTGAGCATCCTGTATGATTTAAGATTACAATATTTATAACTAAATTAAAAATAGACCATCTAAAGTAAATACCTAATATAGTTTTGATTTCAAGACAACTCTTCTGAAATATTCGAAATATATTTACTCATATCTTAGGATTACGTAAAATGATCTGAAAGGAAGCCAAAAATGCAATAATATAAAGGGTGTTCCATTTAAAAAAAATCATACCAATCCACTCACATTTTTTTGTGTCACCCTATAGAAGTTAAAATATTTTTCTGAAATACGTCCTCGTACATACTTTAGGCTTGCACTTAAACAAAATTCTCAAGTTTTTTATTCTAGGAGCTACAGATGCCCGACGCACTATTGCCGGACCCTGTATTATAGGAAACTTAACAAAGAACAATTCTAGAGATCTAATTATCACTCTAAATTTAATTAGTAATTAGTAGGCAGTAAAAAACTCCTGAAAAATAATAAGTTACTAAATCAAAGATATACGACTTTCAGGACTGCAGTGGGACTTCCCCAATGCCTGGTCTCCCTACCAGAACATGATCATATTCGGTCTGGAAAGATCCGGCGATGAAGAAGCCCAAGAAGTGGCCAAAATGTTGGCCCTTAAGTGGGTTCAATCCAACATTAAAGCGTTCAACGAAAATAAAGTAAGAATTTTTAATCTTGGTAATTCATATTTTCTTAGTAGTTATATTCTGTTCTTTGAATAAAAATATTAAAAAAGGAACATATCAAAAAAGGTTATCTTTTTTGTAGGTTATGTTCGATTCCTGTTCCCGTATTGGTTTTGGAAGCATCAGTATACCAAGTTATGGTATGGTCTTTTAACTGCTGGGCAAGCGTTTCGCTCTTCCAATCCTTCTTATTGCTCAATACTACATTGACATGTTTGTCAAAGTTGTACGTTCTTGGCATATCGTCCACTGGGAGTTGCAGGAGTGGTACTCATATCTTAGGATTATATAAAGTGATCTGAAAGGAAGCCAAAAATGCAATAATATATAGGGTGTTCCATTTAAAAAAAATCATACCGATCCACTCACACTTTTTTGTGTCACCCTATAGAAGTTAAAAAAAAAATTCTGAAATACGTCCTCGTACATACTTTAGGCTTGCACCTAAACAAAATTCTCAAGTTTTTTATTCTAGGAGCTACAGATGCCCGACGCACTATTGAACAAAGAACAATTCTAGAGATCTAATTATCACTCTAAATGTAATTAGTAATTAGTAGGCAGTAAAAAACTCCTAAAAAATAATAAGTTACTAAATCAAAGAAATACGACTTTCAGGACTGCAGTGGGACTTCCCCAATGCCTGGTCTCCCTACCAGAACATGATCATATTCGGTCTGGAACGATCCGGCGATGAAGAAGCCCAAGAAGTGGCCAGAATGTTGGCCCTTAAGTGGGTTCAATCCAACATTAAAGCGTTCAACGAAAATAAAGTAAGAATTTTTAATCTTGGTAATTCATATTTTCTTAGTAGTTATATTCTGTTCTTTGAATAAAAATATTAAAAAAGGAACATATCAAAAAAGCTTATCTTTTTTGTAGGTTATGTTCGAAAAATATAACTCAATGACCAGCGGTCAGTTCGGTGGTGGGGGTGAGTATCACATCCAATCCGGATTCGGCTGGACCAACGGCTGCATCATGGAGATTGTCGATCACTTTTTTCGAGTCAAAAAAAGAAGACATGTGGATATGCAAGATTAATATTACTATGCTATGTCGAGAGTTACTGATGTTTAATATGAAAGTTCCTTTTTTGAAATAGTTAAAGTTTTCAAGTAGTTTGTTGAATAAAAATAAATGTTTTTATAAATATATTTTTTCTACGATCGTGCAAAAAGTAGCTATTTTTTACACTATCTACTGTGTACTAAAAGTCATTTTTACACTAGTGCAAAAAGGCCAAAAATTTTTGTTCATTATCATGACGTCCATTTTTTTTACTAACATATTTTCGAAATTTTTATATTAAGACCGTGCCTTTACTTTTGGGCCTAGTCAACAGATTTATTAAGTTCTGGTCCCGAAACAGGCCTTCTTGACATAAGATTTGCTTCACCCAAGTAGCATCTATCTGACTTCGAACTAAATCTGACCTGAAGCGACGTCAGACTTTGTGCACATTTAGGTCGGGTGCTGGTGATGCGACCTGTGACGTCGCTTTCCTATTAAAAGCGACGTCGTTGGATCCGAGTCGGTAAATCCAACGATCTGTCGACGTACAAAATAACAACGTACCATTTTTATTAATTTCCCAACGTCGTTCCCACGTTGGCTTGCACGACGTACACCATTAAGTAGCATTTGCGACATAATGAACATTATGAACATAACCTAATAAAAAGTTTTTGTAAACAAACTTAATTTTTTTATTATGCCTAAAAAAACACTAAAAATGCATTTAGACATTCATCTACATTTTACAGAAAGAGGTCGAGGTTTTTGCAAAATAATAATAGTAGTAGTGATGTCTTGCCTCCATCCGTAAATGCTTTTTATCCGGAAGAGATGCTGTATTACACTGGGGCATCTTAATTTCATTTTTTAGCTTAGGAAACCAGCAGACCCCATCCTCCTCCGACATGTGAGGTTAGGCCATAGAGAAAGTTAATAGTTTAGAGAGTGGCAAATCGCGTGGTAAAATGTTGGGAGATTGCGCTTTTGGCGCCCTCTAGTTGGCTACAGGAACGAACTATGAAAGAGCGGGAGATTTAAATTATTATTATACTTATTATTTTTAAGGCAATTAGAGTGCCCTTAACCAAAAACAGTGAAATAAATGGAGATACCTACTCAAATTTTATATTATCACTAGTGTGTACCCGCGACTTCGTTCGCGTCGGATTAATCATTTGTAATGGTGATGATCAAGCAAAGCAAGAATTTCCATTAACATACAAACTAAGATAAAATTTTCTTACATTTATGTCAGCATGAGAAAAAACAATATGGCGATATTATTATATAACTTGGTATAATATTTGAGGGGTAGTTTCATCTCGTTGGAATTTGACTTTCGAAAAATCCGTTTGTCAAAAAATAAGCTTTTTTTCGTCAAGCAGTTTAAGCAGAATCGTGATTAATCAATTACCCAACTTTTGGAACACCATGTGTGATTTTTTAAAAAATTTCAAAATATGTAAAAAACAAAAATCAATTATGCGTGTCCAAGTGTTTTCCCGAAAGGCTCGCCGTATTTAAAAACAAATATTGTAATATTTGTGGGTCGTTTTCACCCGCTTGGAATTTGAAATTCGAAAACCCCTCTTTATCGAACCTCTACACCCCACAGTCAATCCGTTTGCCAAAATCAGCTTTAAACGTCAAGCAGTTTAAGTAGAATCGTGATTACTCAATGGTTATATTTTATGAAACACCCTGTATAAATTTTTAAAAAACCTTAAAATATGTAAACAACAAAATAAAATATACATGTTTAAGAGTTTTTCCGAAAAACTCACCGGTTTTTAAACAAAAAATATTCTAATATTTGAGGGGTGGTTTCACCCCTTAGAATTCGAGTTTCGAAAAATCCCTTCTTATCGAACCTCTACACCTCTAAAGTCAATCCGTTTTCCAAAAATCAGCTTTTTACGTCAAGCGCTTTAAGCAGGATCGTGATTAATCAATGACCAGATTTTTTCGAAACACCCTGTATACATTTTTAAAAAATCTTAAAATATGTAAAAAAGAAAATAAAATATACGTGTTTAAGCGTTTTTTCGGAAACTTGACCGTTTTTTAAATAAAAAATATTCTAATATTTGAGGGGCGGTTTCACCCCTTAGAATTCGAGTTTCGAAAAATCCCTTCTTATCGAACCTCTACACCCTAAAGTCAATCCGTTTCCAAAAATCAGCTTTTTACGTCAAGCGCTTTAAGCAGGATCGTGATTAATCAATGACCAGATTTTTCGAAACACCCTGTATACATTTTTAAAAATCTGAAAATATGTAAAAAAGAAAATAAAATATACGTGTTTCAGCGTTTTTTCGGAAACTTGACCGTTTTTAAATAAAAAATATTCTAATATTTGAGGGGCGGTTTCACCCCTGAGAATTCGAGTTTCGAAAAATCCTTCTTATCGAACCTCTACACCCTAAAGTCAATCCGTTTTCCAAAAATCAGCTTTTACGTCAAGCGCTTTAAGCAGGATCGTGATTAATCAATGACCAGATTTTTTTCGAAACACCCTGTATACATTTTTAAAAAATCTGAAAATATGTAAAAAAGAAAATAAAAATATACGTGTTTCAGCGTTTTTTCGGAAACTTGACCGTTTTTAAATAAAAAATATTGTAATATTCCACCCCCTTTTACCCCCCTTAGGGGATGAATTTTTAAAAATCCTTTCTTATCTTATGTAAACATCATAAAAGGAACCCCTGTGCAAAATTTCAGCTTTCTAGGGTCAAGGGTTTGGTCTGGGCGTTGATGAGTCAGTATCAGTCAGGACAGTCAGATTTATATATATAGATGATATTAAAGGATATAAATACAGCATTTATAATCGTTTTACACCTTTTTATTCAAAGTCTTACAAGCTAATATAAAATTTGACTATCTCCATTTATTTCACTATTTTTGGTTAAGGGCACTCTTAATTTTAATTTCCCTTTTTTATGGGAAAACGATTAAATGGAAAGAATTGAATGGGAATGGAAAGAATGACCAATTATTGTATTTTGTATTAATTTATAATACCCCTATTCTACTAAATATCTAGCTACATTGTACTTACAGTTAAATAGCTACATTGTACTAGTTATATACATATTTACAGTTTTATGATGGCTATTATTTCTTTTCATCGTGCTATCAATTGATTCGCCCGACTTGAGTACTATACCTCGAGATGGCTCCAGGAATTATTTATCTTTACAGGCCTAGAATATGAAGATTCACAGTAGAATTTTTGGTTTTACTGCCTATTAGAAACAAACCTACCCTCCTACATCAAGGGACATACAATTATGCCTTGTTCTCGGCCATGATATTCCTTCCATTCTATATCCAACATCCAACTTAGCAGACCTTCTGGTTCACAACAGGGCCTAGACTGGCCGGATGATATTTTAACAGAATAGCCCTTGATATCTCTTTCACACTTTCAATTAATAATTAAATAGGAGGGCTGGATGGTATAATTTCTAGAAAGAATAGCCTGTGAAATAAAAACTTCCTCACAAATTGGCAACGCTGGAGGTTAGCGTGTTCTTTCTGAATATGCTAAGACTAATGGACTAGTGTCGAAACACAGCTAGATGGACGTATTTCGGCACTTGCGTCGATGCGCTACAGGAACATTTGCCTGCGCGTCGTATGTCTTCTGGCAGTCTTTTAATTTTTCTGTTTGTCTATGGGTTAGGCTTAAAATGGCGTTATGTGTGTTTATTTAAATACTGAAGTGAAAGCAACGAATTTATATGGGTAAACTTTATAATACATCTTATTAACAATACAATGCAAAAAGTTTTATAAAAATTCGTTCACAGTAAGTGAATTCCGAGGTTTGTATCCCATAAGGGCTTAAAGCACTCCAATAACACAGACCATAGACATTTGTTTTAAAGATACAAAATAGAGGCAAATAAAAGAAACAGTGACTAATTTGTCAGGTAAGTTTAAACCCAACTTACATTTAATCAAATACTTTTTAAAAAAACTTCATTACATTTCAGAAAATTTACAGTTTTTTAGCTTGACTAAAACTAAAATATTTACTGATTAATAACACAAGTGCAACAGCAAATTTCCTTTTTTCCTGTTTAAGAAATTCACTATTCGTTTATAATATTATAACAATAACTAAATCTTTGTAACAGTAACATAGACTGTTTACGACTCTTAAAAGCCTACATAGAAAAATACAATACTGATAAATATAAATGTGGTATATCAGTAAGATAATAAATTACCATAATGATCGAAAAAAAAACGGCGTCATAGTAGCTCTTCAAATGGTAATCAATGATAACCGTAACGGTCGCACCAACATAAAATATTATTATATTGTCATTTCAAAGGCTACTGTGACGTGTTTTTCCGATCAAATACGGCATGTTATAATAATAAATAATGGCATATTTCTGTGTGTTTTCTAGCGATACTACAAAAATAATTTAAATAAGCAACTAGAATGGGCTTTACTATATTTTTTTCAAATATATTAGCTATTTGAAAATAAATTATAGATTTTTCTGTCACACTAAACAATGAAAATTTATTCCAAGTTTTAAATACCTCAGATACTACAAAAAATTACGTAAAATAATAAATAATCAGTACATTTGCTCTAGGTATCAAAACAAATATTTTTTAGCCCATTTTATAATTTTATTGCCCAGCAATATCACTCGTTTGAAATTGTATTTTGAAATTTTGATTAAAATACCTACTGAAAAAAAAATAAAACAAATACGACCTAAAATTAATAAAATATCAACGAAAAATGCAACTTTGCTGTGAAACTAATAAGAAGCTTCAATTGGTGATTATTATTAGTATTTTAGTCTGGTAAAAAACGGCAACAAAAACACATAGTCTGTACAACGATCGTTGAATGTTACGTCATATATTGTCTTGCTCTTTCTTTCGCGTGAAAACAGGATGAAATAGATTACACACATCACTACGGAAGTTCGGGAATCATATGCACATTGTTTCCAATAATCACTAAAGAATACGAGGACCAATAAGTCCAAACCGGAGACCAAATTGTTACCATACCTCCAAACAGTGCCGTAGCACATATTTTTCTTAACTTGGCTGCTTGAAGAGAGATTTATATCTAAACGTTATCGAACCCAGTGTGAGTACATATCAATGTAAAACCTCTGTCAGGGGGTAGGGGACTCAAAAAATCATTATCACAGAGCACCACACTTAGACGTTTATCCTTGTCGAAAAATGAAAAATATTAAATAAAATAAGACTGTGTTTAAGAAGTATAAGCCTTTATTGATTAGAACAAAAACGAAGGGTTTTTCTTTTGAGAAAATGGATTGGTTTGCAATTTCAATGAGTATAATTGTTTAATGAATTTTAACAATCCAATTGTTTTATTTTTCCGAGTGGTATGGCTTCCTGGTGTGACTTTTGTCTTTCTGGGCCTGAGGATGGGAATTAAATGAATTCCGAAACATGTCGCCCCAATTTTAAATCAAATTAAATTTTGAAATAAACATCCTAAAAGATTGTGAGTTTCTTGAGTTCCCTACCTCTCGTCAGAGGTTTTACATAGATATTTATATTTTTGATAAATGTTGTCACTACGCCTATGGTGTATGCTGCTTATTTAGGTGCTATTATACTAATTAATTACAAAAAAAACGTAATAAAATGTTAACAAAAGGTACAAAACCAGTATTGACGTATAGCATATCGAATACATATAATCTCAGAAAAATAATTATCAAATTCAATAAGAAAACGCGAAAGAAGGTGGAGTAGACTGTTTATTTACCTATGAAACTTAACTCCTGGCTCTTTTTTAACTTTACGGCTTTTACACTTGAAAGCTGAACTAATCACCATTGTAATAAAGTTTATACAAAGTTTATTAGACACAAGAAACTATTAAAAATCGCTAAAATTGTCGCTGGTGACACATCCGTTCCTCCAAAAAAATGGCGTCTAAGAATACAAATTCTGCTCTAGCCCGTATATTTTCATTACGTGTCCTTGTATTCTCTGTAGTCGTTGATTTCTAATAACTGTCATTTCATATTTGTGGTTTGTGGTTATGATGCTTGTTGCAAATTAAAAATCGACAGCGCAGTCAATCAAAATCTTTGAATAAGAAGACTAAGGAAGGAGCATATCAAAAATCTTAGGTACACCGCGATGGGCCTCAAATATGGCCGACTTAAATTCCGGTTTATCAGTGTCGTTCTAATTTTATTTAAAAAATGTAAAACTATGATGTAGGGTAGACGTGGGGTAGACTCAATAATTTGTTGTTTTATTTTACGTTGTGAATAAATGTTGGTAGTTATTAAAATTGTTATAAAAATATATAATTCTAATAAAAATAGATAAGTTATAATAAGTATTTATTAACACAAACATCCGATACGCTACTGAAGCAGGTAAGTCAAATTAACGTATCTAAATTCTTTGACAAGTAATAAATAAAAGCTAAAATGCAAGAAAAATATATAATTTAGTTAATTTAAGTGAATTTCATAAATGATCGGTTTACTACACGTATATATATTATATAGTCACTTACTAGCGAAAAGTTGTTCCATTATTTCACTCAATTTTTGCCGAGATCTACCGCACGGTACACAACCAACTATTTTAGAGTCTTTTTCGATAAATCGCGATAGTGTCACTGTTAATTTAAGTTCTGCCACAATTTCCATCTAGATTTACTACCTTTATACAACTATCAGTAGTAGAATAAATAATAAATAACATAAAATAAGCTCCGTAAAGACTGACAAACCCACAAAATTTCAAATCAAATTCAAATGTGTCAAATGAATCGTCAAACAGAACTGTCAAGTATCCCCACCCTAGAGAGCTTTTATGGTGGCTTTTCCGCCCACCATGCATGACTACATGGATAGCATTATGCTCCTTCCTTAGTCTTCTTATTCAAATATCAAAATAAATATTCGCTTATTATACAGGGTGGTTCGAACTGTATTCCGAAACTTCAGCAGCATATTCTGCAGATAAAAATAAGTAAAAAAGTTCGTATAAATGTATGTCCTAAAATGCTTAGTTTCGGAGATACAGGGTGTAGAAGTTTCATTTTTATTTCGAGATTTTCCAAATAATTTCTGAAGTAACGTCAATATTTGGATCAAATTTGGTGCCTGGGAGTTTTTTTGACATGAGAAATTTGATTTTGATGTCAGTATGACTTCTACTTATAGAGAGCGCCACCTACATATATGTTTTAACTGTTTTGAAGAGTAATAACTTTTCGTCCGTACCTGTATAAAACTACTGAGTGAAAAAATATACATTTTTATGATTCTTTACGTAAAAAATGTCTCTTGGTAAAAATCGCTACGAGCAACCGTTTAGTCAATACATGTCATTATTGACAAAAATAAACATTTTGAGTAGATAGTTATTTAACCTGAAATTATAAATTTGGGAACTTTTAATTTTTTAAATTAATCATCAATTTTTCTTCGAAAAATATATTATAAACCTTTCTGTTGAACTTTTGGCACAAAAACATTTCAAATTTATGATTTCGTCCTAATAGCTATTTAATTAACATGTTTAATTTATGTCAATGATGACAGGTATTGATAATCTAAATTCCAAATATGTTAAGAACCATTATTCGTAGCGCTTTTTTACTAAGAGACCTTTTTTACGTAAAAAACGTCGTAAATGTACATTTTTTTAATCAGCAGTTTTATACAGGTACGGATGAAAAGTTATTACTCTTCAAAACAGTTTAAACACATGTAGGTGGCGCCCCCTACAAATAGGGGTCCTATTGACATCAAAATCGAATTTCTCATGTCATAAAACAACCAGACGCCAATTTTCATTCAAATATTGACGTTACTTTAGAAATTATTTAGAAAAAATCGAAATAAAAATGAAACTTTAACACCCTGTATTTCCCAAACTAACAGCATTTTAGGACATACATTTATAGGAACTTTTTTACTTATTTTTATCTGAAGAATTTGCTACCGAATTTTCAGGAATACAGTTCGGACCACCCTGTATATCGCAAATTATAATCGTAAATAAAAATTTCGTATCGCAAATTATGAATCAAAACATAACTAAAATCAATTAAAGTCAAACATACTTACTTCAAATTAATAAAATCCGAACGCTCTCAATTACTAATTGCGGAACGTACTTGAAATATTCTAAAACAATATAAACTGATATCAGACACACCCTAAAACGGATATTAGATAAATACCTAATAATGACGTAACGTTGAACGATCTTTGAAGAGATTATATCAAAAAATTGTTTCAACAAAAGGTGCTTAATTGTGTGATCTAAACTAACTCCATTTATATTTTCCAACAGGTAAATAAATAAAATAATTTAAGCAAGGTTGATAGATAAAACGGATATTAGATAAATACCTAATAATGACGTAACGTTGAACGATCTTTGAAGAGATTATATCAAAAAATTGTTTCAACAAAAGGTGCTTAATTGTTTGATCTAAACTAACTCCATTTATATTTTCCAACAGGTAAATAAATGAAATAATTTAGGCAAGGTTAGATTACTAATAGAATTTTCTATTGGCTCTAAAATTTCATGTTAGTTTAGTACCTTAGATCTTATAACATGCATGGAAAATTCTTGTTGAAAACATATCAAAAATGAGAACCTCGAAACATATCAAGATCTTGAAAACGTATAAAATCTATCAATTAGGGGTAGCTGAAATTGGGGAAAGTTGCCTGTTGACCCACTAATAATCTGTTTAGTAACTGGACTTAATCATTTCCTGTCTTTTTCCACCAAATTTCAGCAAACGACAAAACATAGAGAAAGGAAACAAGTTTAGATTGGAATGCTCGGCTTGCCGCCAAAACTTATAATTGTTTTGGAGTGCATACGTTGTAGGGCGCTGCTATAGCGGTTGCTAAGAACAACCGCAAACTAGAACAGAAATAATGTTCTCTTGTCTTAAAAATTTCAATAAAATCTTACATCTGGCCAAAAATCAATTTTTGGTAAGATGTAAGGTCAATTTTCAAAGTAATTATTACTTTCTTGTGAGTTTAATTTAAATTTTATTTACTCAAACCCGTGATAATATTGTGAAAAAGTGGCATTAAAAACTTTAAAAGCTGTGTGAATTGTGAACTGCAAAAACCATCGTGGTTCGTGGCATAATGTCGGTTTCCAATGTTTCACAGGTATCTCATACAGGTAACACACTGTATTTTATTTAAAAAATTAAAAGAAAACAATAATAAATTTGAATAAACAATATTTGGCCAAATAATTCCGGAAAAAGCCGAACGGCTCCGAAATTATCAAAAGCTTTGGAGAGCGACCGTTGCAAGAATAGCGCCAAATAGTATTCCCATTGTCTTTATGACCACTTTCCAATCTAAACTTGTTTCTTTTATCTATGGTGACAAACTTTTAACAAAGATAAGTATTATAATCTCGTGTCGTTTCAGAGACCCAATGGCGAAAATCGAATTTCAAACACTCGGTATAGAAAGAGAGTTGTATGTAATAAGGAGTGTAGAGATGAGGAGAAATATCTCCTATGGGACTTTATTTGAAAAAGTGGTCACAAAAATGGGAAGAATAAGGGTTCACCAATAACCACAGTGGCGCTCATGACGCCTAAATCTAAAAAAATGAAAAGTAGCCATAGATAAAAGAATAAAAGTAACATAACCAAACATTACCCAAAAAAGCTTTGTTTTTATTTTTTAGAATATAAAACAATTTATATATTAGAGGCCCAGTCTATTGCTGCTGCTATACTTATCTCTTTTGAATCATTTCCTGTTGTAAAAATTTTCGACGCATATTTTAAATTTTAGGTTTTTGCTACAGCAGCGCCATCTTAAGTCTTCCCTTTTTATGAAAAGGGAATTTCCATACAGTTAAAATCTCACATGTAAGTTTGGATAAAAAAAAAACTTAATAAAGAAGTATTTAAAAATTAAAATAATGCTAATAGAAGATACGAAATAGTTTTAACCAAAAAACAACATATTGACCAAAAAACCAACTCGCTCTTTATTTATTACGCTTATTCTCCATTTTCTACCAATAGAATACGCTATAGATCACAGCAGTGGGACAAAGCAAAATTCTGGAAACGCCTAGAAATTGAAAATTCATCAATTTTTAAAGTAACTCGCATAGAAAACATCGTCTAGTCTTTCAGGTTGTGTTTTATTTCCGGTTCACTTTGTGACAATTTCCGGTTTGGGAGACGCTACTCTTTCCGCCGTCGCGCTGTCCTTTTTCTCGTTTTCCTTCGTACCCTGGCTCTGACTAGAAGCGGACGCGTGACTGCTGGACCTGGAATGACTAGCGCTCACCGGTGTTTGAATCTGGGGGGTAGGGGGGCTCTTGGTGCCACTGGATTGAGCAGTACCTGCGAATAAATAAAGATCGTGTAGGTTAGGGTGGGTCAAAAAAATCGACTATTTTTTTTTCATTTTATGTTCTGAAAAAAAGGTTGGTAGACACCTCAAAAAAGTTCTTTCCAAGTATGAGCTCTTCAAGAACAGTTAACCTAATAGGACTGCTCATTCAGCCGAAAGTGTCTGCCAGGTGCATGCGAAAACTCTTCGCTTAGTGACGTCATTGTAGTCCTTGTCATAACAGTGTGTGTATTATTGGTTGCCGTATGAAAAACCTTCATTATTTAGTTTATTTATTTAAACATCTTATACAGGGTGTCCCAGAAATAAGTGCAAATATTCTAACTGGTAGTACAGTTCAACCCCAGAAACACGCCTTTGAGGTTTTTTTTGCGAAAAAAAAATGTTGAAAATTTAAAATTTTTCTTGAGTTCGGCGGAACATAGTTCTACATTTATAAATTCATAGACAAATTTCTACTCAAAAAATTAGGAATGTTAAAGTTAATCTTTTATCAGTGCTCATTATTAATAATTAAAAAAAAAACATTAATTATTTTTAATACTTACCCTTTCAATGAAAACTTAACAAAAACCACTAAAAATTAACTAAAACATTACGTTTATGACGTTTACGAAAATCTTTGTTATGCTGCAAAATAACTTTATTTTGGAATAAATTTAATAAAATGATTCATATTATTCACAATCAGGTCACAAAAAGAAATTCCTAAAATGTTTATCGTAATTTAGAATTCAATTCAAGAAATTTAGAAAACAGCCCAACGAATAATCAGTTCATTTTTGTTTTGTTTGTTTTCTTTCATGTTTCTCTGTTTTATTTGAACCACTGTTTTACAAAACACCTTGAAAAGCGCACATTACTTTGAATACCTTTCTGAATGAATAAATGTTGAGAATTATTTTCTCTTATCGCCACTTTACGAACTACTTTCAATCTAAGAAAATACATGTTTCGCTCAACAATTATTGACAACGTATTTTGTTTTTTCGCTATTTTTTCGATGTATTTCGACAATTCCATCGACAGCCTAACCGTCAGCCAAGAACTGCCGCGTGTGAACTGGTCCTTTGACTCGCCGGTCGCCGCGCCGCCGCGCCGTCGTGGCGGGCTTGCGTCAGACGACGATGTTAAGCAACGTTGCCGTAGTTACAATAATTTCAAATTCAAGACATTCGAAGCAATCAAATTCGTATTAAATTTTAAAAATAAAACAGAGAAACATGAAAGGAAATAAACGAAACAAAAATGAATTGATTATTCGTCGGGCTGTTTTCGATGTATTGAATTCTGAATTACGATAAACATTTTAAAAATTTCTTTTTTGTGACCTTATCAATAACCAATTCATTTGTGTTTTGTTTGTTTCCTTTCATGTTTTTCTGTTTTATTTTTAAAATTTAATAAGAATTTGATTGCTTCGAGTGTCTTGAATTTGAAATTGTTGCAATTACGGCAACCTCGCATGACGCAAGCTCGACACGGCGGCGCGACAAAGGAGCAGTTACCAGTGATGCGCCGGCGCCGCTCTCTTAGCCGACGGCCGACGCGACGGTTGGGCTGTCCATGGAATTGTTGAAATACATAGAAAAAACATTTATTCATTCAGAAAGGTATTCAAAGTAATGTGTGCTTTTCAAGGTGTTTTGTAAATCAGTGGTTCAAATTGTGATGAGGCCTATATGAAAATAATCTGTTAAAAGCGGGGACTGTTATTTTAGTAGTTATTATAATAGCATGTACAAGTAAAGCAGCACAGTGAAGTGTATTTTAGTTAAGAGTATATCGAAAATGAAAACTGTCACAGTTACATCGATCTGTCATAAGTATCTTTTTTAATGTTGGGTAAGTTTTTTAATTTTACTTTTTTAACACATTATTAAACATTTAACTTTTAATTTATTTTATGTAATAATATCACAATCTTAAAAATATAATGCATCTCTGCAAACTCCTCAGGTGTTGTGATTTTATGACTTACTTTTAACATATACTTTTTTGTCCCTATGGCAACACAGTGCGTCGAATTAACTGAAATCCGGGCTTGATCCGGGTAATTCGATGTAGTTGGCGATATCTGCCGGCGGTTCTCAAAATGTTGCGATTATTTTTTTAAATTTTCAAAGTTAAATAACTCAGTTATTTTCAATTTATTTTAAAAATGGTAAAGAGAAAATATGTTTATTTTGACCAGATCTACCACCCCTTAAAATATCTGCACTCATTTCTGGGACACCCTGTATATATGCAGTATAGAAAATTAACTGTATAAATCGTATTAAATATTCGCGTAATAATAATTTATGAACAGCAGTTCCCAGTATCACCGCTTGGAGGCATTCTTTTACAGCACTTATATATTTTCCTTTAAAATAACTAATAAACAATATCGTAGGCACTTAGTAAGCACTTAGTCACAATCCACAAGACAAAATGAACGTATTTATAAACTTTGTAGCTCTAAAAACTTTAAAAACACCTTTTTCGCATTTAAAATCGACAAAATAATTAACTCAAAATTTCTCAGCTGATATTTTTATTAGTTTACCATAGGCAACCAATAATACACACTATCATGACAAGGACTACAATGACGTCACAACTGCCAGCTGAAGCGCGGGAAGAGGCGAACGTACGTCTTATGAGGATGAGCAATCCTATTAGTTTACCGTTTTTGTGAGCTCCTAATTTTAATCCCAATAGCCTTTCAGTTTTCTATTTTTTCCTTATTATTAGAAAGAAAAATTCATATCTCGGTATCTACTATTTGGAAAAAATATCTCGTCTCATGCATTTGTAGGAAATTCAATTCTCTACAAAAAAGGTCTCTTACAATTTTTTTGTTAACCTCACCGTTGGAAAGTTATTAAAGGTTGAAGTTTGATTATTTTAAGGCAGATTTCTTTTTTCTTATGAACTTTATAACTCGTTAACAAAAAATCAGTATGATATGCACAACTCAAAGTTTTGTAGGAACTTCACTGCTCTACAAAAATGGTTTCTTATGATTAGTCGATTAAATTAACCGTTAAAAAGATATTCATCGTCAAACTTCAGTACACTATAAATTTGCCAAAATAAAAAAAACTTTGTGATAAAATTTTTCGGATACCCTGACGAAAACTGCGCATCGAAAACAAAGATACCGACAAAAAAGACCACTTTCTTCAATAAGTAGTTTTCAATAATAAAATTTGCGGATTATAGCGTATTTTTTAAAATATTAAATAAAAATATTGATACTATTTGACATTGCGGATGAATTTTGACCACAGATGAACCACAGAACATGCTTATTTTGACAGGTGACAGACAAATTATGACAAGGTTAGGCAGTGTAGTATAACCTCTGAATAAGAAGACTAAGAAAGGAGCATAATGCTATCCATGTATTCATGCATGGTGGGCGGAAAAAGGACTCTAGGGTGGGGATCCTTGACCGTTCTGTTTGACGATTCATTTGACACATTTGAATTTGATTTGAAATTTTGTGGATTTGTCAGTCTTTACGGAGCTTATTTTATGTTATTTATTATTTATTCTACTACTGATAGTTGTATAAAGGTAGTAAATCTAGATGGAAATTGTGGCAGAACTTAAATTAACAGTGACACTATCGCGATTTATCGAAAAACACTCTAAAATAGTTGGTTGTGTAGCGTGCGGTAGACCTCGGCAAAAATGTGTGAAATAATGGAACAACTTTTCGCTAGCAAGTGACTATATAATATACATACGTGTAGTAAACCGATCATTTATGAAATTCACTTAAATTAACTAATTATATATTTTTTCTTGCATTTTTGCTTTTATTTACTACTTGTCAAAGATTAGATGTCAAAGAATTTAGATACGCCAATTTGACTTACCTGCTTCAGTAGCGTATAGGATGTTTATGGTTATAAATAATTATTATAACTTAACTATCTTTATTAGAATTTTATATCTTTATAACAATTTTAATAACTACCAACATTTATTCACAACGTAAAATAAAAAAAAATATTGAGTCTACCCCACGTCTACCCTACATCATAGTTTTACAATTTTTAAATAAAATTAGAACGGCACTGATAAACCGGAATTTAAGTCGGCCATATTTGAGGCCCATCGCGGTGGACCTAAAATTTTTGATATGCTCCTTCCTTAGTCTTCTTATTCAAAGAGTATAACACGCAATTTCGGTAGTATTAGTTTTTAATTAATTTGATCATTGTTATGTAGCTTCATTTCCTTATTTAACCAAAACTCTATATTTATTATACACATTTATCACACACATGTTTAGGACTAAAAAGACTAGAAAAAAAGTTTAAAACATTTCTTTGTTCATAGAAACTCAAATTTGTACAAATTTTCCCGAAACACATGAATATCTTTTAAACGGTTAATTTAATCGACTAATCATAAGTGATCAACAATATTCGCTTCGCAGATGATATGGTCGTGCTGGCTGGTAACATTCTACACCTTCAGAGCATGATAGACTGCAGCGTTGAACATAGCATGCAGTACGGATTACACATCAATGTTAACAAAACTAAACTTGTATTTTCCTGTCCTCAGAATTAATAAGGATCGTAGAACAAGTATCGTCCATAAAGTATCTAGGAGCCCTCGTTAACGACGCTTGCGACCCCAAAACTGAAATTGTAGCGAAGATCGAACAGGCCAGACGTACTTTTGCTTCCATGAAAACCCTCTTCCCCATCCGAGATCTAAGCCTCGAACTGCGCATACGTATGCTGCGTTGCTACATCTATCCAATATTTCTCTACGGTTCTGAGAGTTGGACACTCAATCAGACATTGGAAAATCGTCTCATTAACGCTTCTGAGATGTACTTGTATCGTCGTATGCTGCGTATATCCTGGATGGATAGAGTGACAAATGAGGAGATACTCAGGCGGATGGGCAAAAATAAAGAGCTCCTATCAACAACGAAGGAAAGGAAGTTACAGTACGTCGGTCACATCATGAGGGGTGATCGATACGAGGTGCTCAGACTGGTCATCAAGCAAAATTGAGGGCAGGAGATCAGGGGGAAGAAGGCGAAACTCCTGGCTTAAGGATCTGCGTCGTTGGTTCAGAAGAACATCGATCGAAATTTTCAGAGGTGCGGTTTCACGCACCATCATAGCCAGTTAGATTGCCAACGAAGAATCATAAATAATCATTTTGTAGAGCAGTGAATTTCCTACAGAACCATGAGTTGCTCGTATCATAACGATTTTTTGTTAATGAGTTATATATACTTGGAGAGAATTTTTTGAGGTGTCTCTACCAACCTTTTTTTCATAATATAAAATGAAAAAAATAGTCGATTTTTTGGTCCACCCTAGTGTAGGTCCACTCCTCTGATCCAATGAAAATCAAATCAATATTAATTAAAACAATTGATAGAACATCAACGAATATGTTTCTAAGACCCTATAACTATTACCTGACTGTATTTGCATATGATATTTGTATATATTCTCAGTGGACTCCACGATGCCCTGCGTCAGATTCAAGCTGCGCCCTCTAACGCCCGATTCTTTTGTTTTCGGTGACCACCAGTTTACTAGATTACCGACGATAGGTACATGCCTGATGATACCTTCTTGCCACAGCCTGTCTTCGTTCTCCTTCTGAAGGTCCTTGGTAGCAGTTTCAATGCCTTAAAATAACCATTAATCATCAAAATATTATTAATAAAAATACGCAAACAACAAATATTAGTCTTCAGTAAAATAAGTAAACATATATCACAAAGTCAAAGTAAAAAAAGTAGCCGTGGCAACATTGCGAACGTACATTCGTCAAATATATTGATGACGTGCAAGACAAATTTTATTGATTTTCCTATAGGAAACATCGCTATATTAAATCGAGATCAAAATTAACAGAAACTGTTTGAGATTTCTTTAACAATATCCTACCTTTTTTAACAATTTCGCTCATTGAATCCAATACCCTAGAATTCTCCTCTACCGACTGTCCAATCCTTAAGACCAGGTTTAATAACTCCTCCACGTCAGACTGGGGCGTCAGCATACCAAATCTGACGCACATTAGTCCATCCTGTCCCTCCCCCAAGGAAAAGGCGGAGTCTGTTGACCTTAACGCGTCGACAAGGGCGATGTTCAGATTGTTCAGTTCGTCTTTGGCTTGATCTGTCAGTAGTTCTTCCCAGCCTTCTGGACAATATCTTACACCTCCCATTCCTTAGAAAGATATATAAAATGTGTTAAAGCTGTTATAAACACCGCAGTTGTTTGTTAACAAGTTAAGAGCTTGGCGTTTTGCTTTGTTTGCATTAAATAGCTTACGTGTTTCTTGTAAAAAATCTGTGCCTGGACGTTGTTGAACTATCTTTTTATCAAAAAAATTAAATCGTAGCCTTTCACAAGTTAGAGACAGTGGCATGCTGCAGTAGCGTGTATTATGTCTATTTACGGTTTGTTTACATTTTTCCAGTATACCGATTTGGTCATCGAAACTGTGCGGTCTGGATTTTAACGTGTAAGACAGTGATGTAGACAGCTTAATGGAGAATCAAATGTATTAAAAAGAGATAAAAAAATGGGCCGACACATTTCTTCTGTGCGGTATTGCCGGATTTTGCATCAAAATTTCAAACCGCACAAGTAGGCGTTTACGAAAAACGTTGCATCTCGGGTTGGAACTTTATTTTTCACTATTAGCAAAGTTTACAGAATAAAATATAAGTTCGGTCACTTAGCATCGGCACTTTGAAAATCGCGTATCAAAAGCCAGAAGCCGCCTCGTCCGATACGCCTGACTTCGATGAAAACAGGAGTGGAAGCCGGGGTAAATAGACGCCGCATTTTTACCGATCGCAATGTGCGACAAGGTGCAGGGGAACGTGGAGTATTTCAAAAATACCTAATAGTAAATCTACAAAAGAAAAAATATACTATCAGTTTATTGGTGTATTACATATAAATATTTAGACATGGCAAGATAAAAAAAGATATAGTAAAAATAAAATAAATTTTAAAAACAAACACAAAAAATAAAGCTACACAATATCAACAGTAAATAATGTAAAAGTATATTACGTAACGAGTGTTTATTAGAAAGTGTAACACGAGTTATTTGAAAGTGTAACACGCCGTTTATAACGACAATTTTGACTCGAAATGTGTGTGGCATGAAATTATTCGTAAAAAAATACTTTTTCCAAATATACTAATGAGCCACCCTCTTTCCATTTGAAAAAAAATAAGATATGGTTAAAAATACCATTTGGGCATCTTTTAACCGGCCAAGACAAGACATGGAAAACATTAGACGATCAAATCTATTTTTCCCAGGACTCCTTGATTAAAGTTTTGTTTTTAAAAGAGTTATGACACTCAATATTAAAAGTTTAAAAGATTTTTTTTAAGCTAGAATGCCAAAAGTTGACATATATATTATGTCATTCTATTCAGAGTGTCATTTTTTATCGAATAAAGTAGAAAAATGCCGAGGTTGCCGTTTAAAAATCAAAAGTTGTAGTCATTTTCGGTGAAACCGGAAGTGACCGAAAAAAATTGAAAACGTTAATCAATCCTAATTTAGGTCATATACTAATACACCAAATCTCGTTTTTTTTATCTGAAAAAATAAAAAAGTTATAGGGATAAGCCACTTTTGAGACACACCCAGTATATGATTTTTCGTGTAAAAAAATAAAGTGTTCTTGAATAATTCTAATTAGATATTTTAAATAATTTTTTTCCAGTGGCGAAAAACTCAATATTATTTTTAAGAAATAATAAAAATAATTATGCTTTTTTTATAATAAACTAATAAATTAATTAACTAAGGCTAATGTGATCAGTACCATTTTGCAATGAAAATTAAATAATCACTTGAAAAATAATTCCATATGCATGCGAGACCACTCTGTAATAACGCCAAAATCAGAGTAATACGCCGAACGTGATCCGCCGTGTATGCTGGGTCCAAAGTCCACACACCAGTAATACACTGGGAAACGCGTGCGTGAAGCGGCTTTTGATACCTGCCGCCGGCACAAGTGACAGAACTTATATTTTATTCTGTAAACTTTGCTATTAGTTACTCATCTTACTATAGTTGTATTAGATTATATTTAGTTTAGATATATTATCATCATTTCAGTAGTATACATGAAACTTATATTTTTCTACACACATTTTCCTACAAACGTCAAAACCCGGCAACACTGTATGCCGCTTTTGATTTTGTCTCTCTGTCTGTCAACCGATCATTTATATTATTCTCTGTGAAACGCATTAAAATCCACATCACTTAAATTGAATAACCAGCAGGGTACGTTGTGTCAAAACAAATCAATGTACAGGGTGAGTCAACAATAGAGTAAAGTCCATTATCTCATTTGTTTCGAGGTTAATATAAAATGTTAAATATAAAAGTTATAGTGAAAGTTAAGATACACATTTTAAAATTATTATAGAGTATACAAGGTGCTTCAGAAAAGTGTGGCGGATATAACATGTGTTTTTTAAATGCAACACCCTATTTTTTATTTTATTTTTAGAGTCTGCGTAAAATTCCATAACTTTTTTATATATAATGTTATATACCTAAAATTAATAGTTTTTGTAATATTTCAATTTGTTTTAAACAATGTTAAATTGCAGTGTGGTAAGAAAATTGACAGTGGTGCCATTGTTTCTGAAGTTGGAGTACCAAAATTTGGTAGGAGAGATTTATAGAGATATATTATGTAAAGATATTTTAGTTAAGGTATGGTGGTACGATACAGGGTGTTCAAAATATATTTATGAATTTCAACTATTTAAATTTAAAAAATCTCAAATTTTTAAATGAGACACCTTATATATTATCACTTTTTCTGATAGATTTTACAAAACTCTTCAACTTTTATTAAATATGTCATATACCTATTTTTAATAGTTTGCGATTTATTCCAATTTTTTCTATTTTTACCCATATTTTTAATAAAATTACCCTATAAAATCAAAGTTATCGCAAACTCTCGATTTGGGAAGAAAGTGCGCATCAATAGTCTTCCTGTATAAGCTGTTGCATAATGCGATAGATAGTTCTGAGCTTGTTGCACATATAGATTATTTGGTTCCTTCTATATCGACTAGATCGCATAGAACATTTTATTGTGCTAGAGCCAGAACTAATTTGTTGCTTAAATCTCCAGTTTATGTCATGTGTAGCAATTATAACGTAATATCTGATAAATGTGATATTTTCTTTGATAACTTAAGTCACATAATTGCTTTAGCTAATAATATGCTGCACAGCGGTGTGATTTGAGTTTTTTTTTTGTTTATATAGTGTTTTGTTTTTATAGTTTGTTTATATTTGGATTTTTTTTGTTTTGTTCATCTGTACTTGGTATCTGATTTTTGTATCATTCACCTTTCAGTGCTTTTACTTCTGTTAATTTTAAGATTTAATTTACATTGATATGTTTTTTTTCATTTATTTTTTATTTAGAGGTTAGTGTATTACTAATTTATAGATATATATTGTAAAATTGTCCTATAATTGGTTTGTAACTGTTGGGCAATAAAGATATTATTATGTTCTTGAATCTCGGGCTTTCCGGTATTTAACGTAGTCGCGGACTTAAGTCAAGCGTCAACGCTTTTTACTGTGTATTTAAGACTTGTCGTGTAATATTACATGTGTGGAGGATAACTGTTTTTTGAATGGGTATATAAAGTTTTGGTGCAAGTTCAAGGCCTTTCAGACTATCATGTAATGATTTTGGGATCAGTCCTGTTGATGACACTATTATTGGTATAATTTTTACAATGTCCTGGTGCCACATCTGCCTTATTTCTTCTGCTAGAGGTATATATTTTTCAATTTTTTCAGTGTGTTTCTTCTTGACATTTTGTGAATTTGGTATGGATATCTCTATTAAGTATGTCGTTTTGGTTGGTTTGTGGATGAGCGTGATGTCTGGTTTGTTGTGTGGTGTGGTTTTGTCTGTGATTATATCCCGGTTCCAGTAGAGCTTGGCTGTCTTATTTTCTAGAACGTTAGCTGCTTGATATTTGTAGTATGGTGTATGGTAGCAGATGAGTGAATATTTCTTTGCTATTTCTTGATGGATTATTCTGCAAACATCGTCGTGTCTTTGGGTATATTGTCTGGAAGCAAGTATAGGGCATCCCCCGGTTATGTGTTCTATTGTTTCGGTTTGTGTGTGACATAGTCTGCATTTGTCTGTAGGTGTTTTGGGGTCTTTGATTATGTATTTCTGGTAATTACGTGTGGCGATGATCTGGTCCTGGATTGCTATTATGAAACCCTCGGTTTCTCCAAACAGGTTACCTTGAGTAAGCCATGCATTGGATGCTGCTATGTCAATGTGTGGTTGTGTTAGTTGGTTTGCATGTTTTCCATGTAGGGCTTTGGATTTCCATTTTTCAATTTTAGTGTTTGTTGTTGTAATTGCATCAACTGGTATGAATGCTTCATTGTTGAATTGTAACGGTGTACCTGATGTTGTTAGGTTAACAATGCTTCGGTGTAGTGGGCTGGTAACTGCTTTTTCTCTGAAATATTCTCTGAGTGTGTGTATTTGCTTGTAGTTCATGTTCTTTAGATCCATAAATCCCCTTCCTCCTTCTTTTTCTTTTTAGTGTAAATCTTTCTGTTGCCGCGTGTATATGGTGTATTCGGTACTTGTTACATGTTGTTCTTGTTAACCCGTTTAGTTCTTCTAATTCCGTGTCACTCCATTTTATAACGCCAAATGAATACGTCAGGACGGACGCTGCATAGGTATTTATTGCTTTCACTTTGTTTCGACCGGACAGTTCTGTTTTGAGTATTTGTTTTATTCTGTTTTTGTATTTGCTTTTTAGTTGCTGTTTTATGTTGGCATGCTCTAATCCTGTTTTTTGTAGGTATCCGAGGTATTTGTATGTCTCATCCATTTCCATATTCTGTATGATATTTGAGTCTTGTAGAATGTATTCTTCCTGTATCGAGTGTTTTCCATTTATAATGCTGTTTATTTTACATTTATCTGTTCCCAGTTTCATTTGGATGTCTTCACTGTATGTTTCTGTAATATTGAGAAGGTTGTTGAGTTGTTTTCTAGTTGCTGCATAAAGCTTTAGGTCATCCATATATAGCTGGTGCGAGATGGTAGATGGATGTGTGAGTGAGGATATTTTATAAGCATCTTGGGGCGTTTTGTTGAGTAGGTTCGATAGGGGGTTGAGCGCAATACAGAACCAGAGTGCACTGAGGAGTCACCCTGAAAAATTCCTCTATTAATATGAATTGGTTCTGTGTGGATGAGTTGTTTTTTCATTTTGATGTTTAGGGTAGTTTTCCATGTTGCCATGATTCTCTGCAGAAGTTGTATGATTTGCGGGTGGATTTTGTATATTTGTAGAACTTGTATGAGCCAGAGTGTGGGACGGTGTCGAAAGCTTTCTGATAATCTATGTATGCAAAATGTAGAGACTTACGTTTTAATTTGGCTTGAGTGTGTATTTCTGCATCTATCACCAGTTGCTCCTTGCAGCCCCTAGATCCCTGACAGCATCCTTTCTGCTCTTCTGATATGATGTTATTATTCTGCAGGTGAGTGTTGATCTTTGTTGTTATTATTGCCGTTAGTAATTTATAGGTTGTTGATAAACATGTTATAGGGCGGTACTTAGATGGGTTTGCAGTGTCCGTGCCTTTGGGTTTAAGGTAGGTAACTCCCTGAGTTAAAAAAGAGGGGATGGCTTCCGTTCCTTGTACAAAATTTTGAAATATATTCGTTAGTGGTTTGTGGATGCTTGTGAATGATTTTAGCCAGTTGTTCTGTATTTTGTCGTCTCCAGGTGCTTTCCAGTTGTGTGTCTTGGATATGGCAGCTTTGATGTCTTCTAAGGTGATTGTTACATTTGGCATGGCTGTTGTATTTATCTGCTTGTTTTCTTCTTCTGTTATCCATTGAGCTTCTCTGTTGTGTTCTACTGCTTGTGACCAGATATTTTCCCATATTATTATTATTATTATTATTATTATTAAAGTTGCCATGACAAAACAATTACTCATCTTTAACAACTAGCTTAATAATTAGTTAGAGTTGCTGGTATTAGTTAAAGTCAATTAACTTTACTTAAATAAACTAAAATCGCAGTCGTGAATTTCTTGGTGTATTTCTATATTATAAAAGCGGACACTTGGATTTTCCGTCGGGGCGAATAGCCACAGATTAAAATAATACTAGATTACCTAATAATAAATAATAATATAATATAATAAATATAATAACACATTGGCTAATTCATTTCAGGAAAATTTGTAATTATTATCTCTACCATTTATACTTATTACAATAAATTAAAGTAAAATTAAAATGTTATTCTTAACTTGCTTAACAGACAAGACATTTTGATAATTATTATTTTTTGTCATGGGAATCTCACCACACTTTTTTTTAATGAAAAATAAGTTGGCGTTAGCGAATTCAGAAATTGATTTTACTCTTTGGTTAACATTAACATTTTTCAGGACTGTCAAGTTGACGTTAAAGTTAAGTTATTAGGTGGTCGTCATTAATCATAAATAAAAACAGATTATTGAAAATATTTAATAAGTATTAAGGTATTTTACCGCAGATCCGAAGAGATTTTACTTAAAGGTATTTTATAAACTTTCTCAGTGAGAATATTAACTCCCCTGTTTCTTATATTTTAGTTAAAGAGACGTAAGAACTATAGGAAGTGAATTTTTGTTTTCATGTTTTGACGATATCTGAGAGTTCCTAGAATTATCAAGATTATTGAATAATTACGTTGTTTAATAAGTGGAATTAATAGAAGACTTGGAAATAGGATGATGCGTTTCATGTTATAGTTGATCACCCCATTTCTCTTAATTTATTTTTATTTCAGTACAATTAATCACAAATTGAATTGATGTGTGCAAAAACAGCTATATATTTTCAAACATCCTATTTAAATAGTTCTTTTATATACTGTTAAACTGTATCAACTACAAAGTCTTTAGCAAAAAGTTATAAGGTAATAAATTTCGTAGATATAATTTATGAAAATTTATATGTATATAAAGATTAGAACACAATCCTCTGAGGGAAAAAGAAATACTCAAAAACTAATTAAATCTACTTTATTAAAAATAACAACATTATTAAATTTGTGGTCACACTCCTGTCAGGAAAGCCAGAAATGTTTGTTTAAATATTAACTTATTTTAAAATGCCAGAAACACATCAGAATATGTCACAACCACAACTATAGGTTTAGAATCAGTACTAAATTTTATACCTAGTAAGTGATACGTCAACTAACAAGTACCTATAGGATAAAAAATAATTATTAATATAGAGTGTACTATACGATGTCCTGCTTATTTATGAAATGACTTTCCTTTCAAATGTGAGGAATACCAGTAAAATAAAACATAATTTTTGGTTTGGTTTGGTGTTTGATATTCTAACTACATCTATTACAAACCTTAAGTGCTTTTAGTGAGTAACTGTATTTTTTATTATTCTTTGTGTATCCTGTAAAGTAAAAAATATATATTTCAAGAAATATAAAAACAATGCAATAGATATCAAACAGATTCATAAAAACTACTTACAATTATTGTACATATTATATATTTCAAGTGTTATTTGATCTTTGGTCCCATTACCAACATTACCTTATTTAGATCTTCTCTACTAACTCAACTTTTAAACCTGTTTTAAACCTTCTTTACATTTTAAAACTGATTTACAACAATATGTAATGCCCGCGCTGTTTCCTGAAATATAAGTTTTAATCTATTTATATTTATTATCATATACATATTACAAACCTGAAAATTACTGATACGAGCAAACTTCTCAAAATAATTAGAGACCTTTTTACAAACATCTGGACTAATTTATTTTCACGAATTTGTGGACGAGTCAATGCTTTCTAATACGTTTTTAAGTGTTTTACACATTTTGAATATTTTCCAGCCCATTCCTCAGTTCTTGATCGGTGAAAATATTATTTATAACTATATAATTAGTATTGCAGACTGCAGGTTAAATAAAAGAACAAAATCAAGTAGAATTTGTAAATAAAAACTCAAAAATAATGAAAATATTTATAAAAAGGAACCGTAAACGTCAGACGTCAGTCAGCCAAGTGTCAGAGTTCAATTAGATTTACCACAGATTATCAATTTGAACGATTTGAACTACGGTCGATTTCAGTCTAGAGATTTTCGTTTTTTAAGCCTCCCATACTGAAGTCCGCCATATTGGGAAGTTTTAAATGAATACAAGTATATCTATATTCCACACTTAATAAAAGTTGAAGAGTTTTGTAAATTCTATCAGAAAAAATGATAATAATAATATATAGGGTGTACCATTTAAAAAAATTTAAATTTCTTAATTTTAAGTAGTTGAAATTCAGAAATATATTTTGACGACCCTGTAGCATCTAACTAAAATATCTTTACATAGGTCTCTCCTACCAAATTTTAGTTGTCCAACTTCAGAAACAATACCATCACTGACAATTTTTTATCACACTACAATCTGACATTTGTTTAAACAAATTTAAATATTACAAAAACTATTAATTTTGTAATTAACCGTCCCTATAACTTTTATATTTAATATTTTTTTGTAAACCTCGAAACAAATGAGATAATGGACTTTACTCTATCGTTGACTCACCCTGTATATGGTTAGTATTGGTTAGTCTAGCTTTTAAAGACAGTCCGACGAGAAGATTTATGACAGGGACCGTTATTGTCTGTCACTGTTACTTTTTTATTGTTGTCTGTCAAAATATTCCCTGACTCGTCGGACAGATATACTTACGACTTTATTAAAAGTCATAAAGTCTATGATATAATGTTCTGCTTTTCTATAATATGAAAACAAAAAGATATCCCAACTAAATTACCTTACCTGCCCAGTCTGGCAACTCTACGACCTTCAAAACCGGCGAAGCGTCGACCAATTGTTTGAAGGTCTCTTTGTGGTGTATGGTCGCCCTTAGAATGACCAGCTGTTGCTCTAAACACTGTACAAAAGTCTTGAACTCTTCGAGAGACGGCTGCTGACCGCTGGCGTTCTCAAACGGACAAAACCTCAAGACCACGCCTATGTTTTCTAGTTCGCAGATATCTATAGGTATCTAAGAGGATCATATAACAATATATGTATATATGACGATACAGGATGTCCGAATATTCCGTGGACATTGAACTAATACGTATTTTTGGAACCAAAATAAGTTCATTGGATACAACAATTAAAATCTCTACAAAATTGCTTTGTTTGTTCCTTAGAGGGTATCAAACTTATATCGGTTCTTAAAATATCTTAAAAAATTTATTTATTTTTTTACAGTTTGATGTCCTCTAAAGGACAAACGAAGTATTTTTTATAGAGGTAAATTGTGTCCAATAAGCTTATTTTGATTGCAAAAATACGTAGTTCTACGTACACGCTATACTGGGACACCTTTGTATAAGTCTATAATATATAAAAATAAAATCATAAAAAAATTTAACTGTATAATAGAAGCATATAAATATAATATAAAGAAATAAATACCTGCGGAACATCTAATTGTAATATTTGTCCTAACCATGAATTAAGTTTATCATAATATGGTGGCACCTTCATTAGAATTTCATCTTCTTTAACTTCTGGAGTAAATTGAAAGACTACGCAACAGGCTGTAGATTCAAACAGCATCTAAACATAATAATAAAAGCAGGTTTTTTAATATAAACTCTTAATTAAGACAGTTAAGATTTCCAAAGTATGTCTATAAACTATAGTATTCTTTGGTCTAAATGAAAAGAAACACTATTTTATTTATTATAGCCCCTAACATTTTGCGCTGGATGTGTACCATAATTGTAAGACCCATGATTACCTATGGAGCAGTTACTTGGTACACAGAACTAGAGCAACGTACAGCAAGGCAAAACCTGTGCAAAGCACAGAGACTAGCGTGCATCTTTATCACAGGAGCCATGAGAACATGTCCAACAGCAGCACACACACACACAATGAAGGTCATCCTAAACCTAACACCACTCTACTAACTGGACCAGAACCGTTCTACTTCCCAAGTGGAAACCAACTTAAAGCGGAACTCAAGAACTTGGAAAACTCTATTCGTGACCTGGAATGGGAATCCTCCAACGGTTTAAAACACTCGAAGAAATTTTTCAGAACTTAAGACCGAAAAAAATCAAAGATTTTCCTTGATTTAAGTAAGAAAAATCTTCGAAAGAATAGTGCTGTATGCATGTGAAACGTGGACGTTCAATGCAACGGAAAGTTCGAGGCTAGAGATGATTTGGGAAAGAAAAATACTAAGGAAGATTTTTCGAGGAAAGAAGATAGACAACATATGGACCAGCAGAACAAATGAAGAATTAAAGCAACTGTCGGGCACCCAGTATAACGGAGTAGCAAGAGTACAAAGACTGAGATGGCTGGGACACTTTGAAAGAATGGCTGAAGTAAGAATTCCGAGTATGATAATGAATGATATATATGATATGAGCTTATATATACCTCATACTGTTCGATCGGCAATCCGATACGTTCGTTGTTACGGCTAATTTTATGTATGTGTTACGGTTAAGGTCCGATGTCTGGGTAATGTCGATAAATGTCACAGATAAATCGTTATATGTAGACTGGGCTTTAGACTTTAGAACACCTCTAGGTTTATTTTTTTACCTCTAAGGTTTGCAGTTGTAGACATTTATTTAATTCCATTCCAATTAATTTTATGAAATACTCACAGCTAAACTGGCCGGTTTTGATATGAGTTCGGTAATGGTGTAGGCACCACTCTGACCTCCTGGTTTAGGACTCTGTAAACAAAAAAAGAAAAGCAGAATGTAATAAATAAGATTTTAAATAAAACACTTTAGAATTTGTTTAGTTCTTGATCGTTAATTTGGTTATTTATATAGATATTTTTTTTATTAATGTCATATAAATAAATTTAAGGCGAGAATACACATGCCATCAGCCTGCTCTCGCACTTCTACAAAATATTCACAAAGGTGCTGACAAATCGCCTGTCAAACAAATTCGACTTCTATCAACCCCCGGAACAGGCAGGGTTTAGAAGTGGATATAGTACTGTGGATCACCTTCAGGCAGTCCGCACTCTCGTAGAGAAAAGCACCGAATACAACTTCCCTATATATGTCGCCTTTGTGGATTATGAGAAGGCTTTCGACTCTATAGAGCTACACCATCCTCGATGCCCTACAAAATGCCAGAATAGACTACAGATACTCGGGCATAATATCATCTATTTACAAATCAGCTACAATGACTATCAAACTGGATGACATAAATATCACAAATAATATTAAAATGGAAAGAGGAGTCCGACAGGGAGATACTATTTCTCCCAAACTTTTTACACTGGCCCTGGAGGACGTATTTAAGAAGCTGAACTGGGACAATAAGGGTATTAAGGTAGATGGTGGGATGCTTAACAACTTGCGCTTCGCTGATGATGTCGTTGTCCTGGCCTCATCGTTGGAAGAACTTCAAACAATGCTCGAACAACTTCACCACACATCTACGCAAGTAGGTTTAAAAATGAATTTGTCTAAAACTAAAACCCTAAATGAAAATGAAGAGCAAGTTATTGTTAATGGACAAAGGATTGAGAACGTTAAAGAGTATATATATCTAGGTCATGCCATAAAACTCGGCAAGGAAAATCAAACAACCGAAATTTCTAGAAGAATCAAACTCGAATGGGCAGCTTTTGGTAAACTTAACTTTATATTCAAAAGCAAAATCCCAAATAACCTAAAAACAAATGCGTCTTGCCTGTCATGACCTATGGTTTGGAGACTATGACGATGACGGCACGAAGTAATCACGGCACGAAGTAAAATTAGCACGATAGCTAACTCTAAACGGTCTTGGGCAGGACACTTGGCCAGACAGTCCGAGGAAAGATAGGCAAAAAGACTTCTTTGCTGAAGGCCACGCTTAGCACAAAACGCCCAGTCGGCCGACCTCCTAAAAGATGGACTGATGATATCCAAACCGTAGCCGGTAAGAACTGGATGAGGAGGTCACAGAATCGAAACGAGTGGAAGAAACTGAGAAAGGCCTACATTCTGCAGTGGATGAGTAATGGCTGAGAAGAAGAAGAAGAGCAGCCAATGGTCACTTGCGAGGTACTGGCAACTGGCAACGCGTTGTTATTCGCACACGTTCAAACATGACTTGCATGCTTTTCCCTCCCACCCAGTCGACGCAATCGTGCTACTTGCACAAGAAATCAAACGTCTTGCCATTTACTGGCGTGCTATTTTCTAGAGTGCTTTTTTAGTGGCAGCGAGAGTCACACATGCAAGTAGCACGCATCTTCAAGTGTACTGGCATACTTCTATGCGTGTAACACGCATGCGTATTCTCGGCCTTACAGAGAGTATTTTCCAATAATAAAACGATTAAAAACTTTATTTTTTTTAATGGAACATCTATATATTATTGCATTGCAACAGTGTAAGTCCTGTCAGGAGAGATATTGAAAGACAACATCCAAAAAATGACAGAAAATATAATTTACATGTGCGTTAAAGTGCAGACACAATCGTCACTGACATGTATCTTTCATTTAGACAAACTACACTTCAGACATGTTTTGTATGACATAATCTATGTTTATCTATAACCTTTTCTGAAATATTGACATTTGAAAAATGAAATTTTTTTCTATTTGACATGCAACAAAATCCAAATGATACAGCATAGAGTACAGTAACTGTTTGAATGTTCCTTTTATAACCTTCCTTAATAGTAAAGGAAGAAGCAGAAGAAAAAAAAATCATACAAATTGTCTTTTTTTTTAAATCCCGTTTTTTAAACCTCGTTATCTTAATGCAACAATTGTTGAATGACTTACACTGATCGACTTCTGAACCCTCCATATATAAATACATTTTCATAGATACCTACTCACCAATACTCTTACGTGTCGAAACACATCTAACGCTGAATACAGCCTTTCACTAGCCAGAAAGTTTTCTCTAATCCTCGACAGGAGGCCTTCCTTCCCCAAACTTTGTAGGGCTGCCCAGAGTGGTAAAGAAATAATTCTCCTACTCAGATGGTCGGTGTTCAAACCGGCTAACAGTGGGAGGGTGCTTTCCCTGGTCGCGCCTACTTGTTTACTCCTGTTTGTGTTATTTGATATATCCCACAGCCTGTATAATGTCTAGTGTTTTTGGTTAAAGAAATATACTTAATGTATGTCTACTGTAACTGTGTCTAGAAAGGAATTTCAAGAATGGAGTATACAGACCGGACCACCGTAGTAGTAACATAGGGAGAACCGGACGAATTAGCGTATACCCGTCCGCCGGATAAAAAGCAGGCGAAAAAAAGCGATAAAATAAAAATAGGTAGATATGTGATAAGAATGTTTCAGAATTTGTATTTATTCGTGTTTTAATAGCCAAAACGAATACATAGATTCTCGCGGCACTTCTCTTGTAAAATTTATTTTTTAAGTAAAATAATGGATGTTTACGAAGTTCGTGAGAAAATTCAAATTGTAAAATGGTATTTCCAAAATAGGTCTTATCAGGATATACAAACAATTTTTCCACAAACTTTTGTAAACAGGCCAATTCCAACTTTACCTACTATATCAAGAGTTATTAATAATTTTGAAACACATGGGTGCGTGTCCCCACAAAAACACAAAAAGCCTGATGTGTTGATTAATGAAGAACAGGAGTTAAAGCAAGTGTTCATTTGTGCTACCGCGGATCAAAATCCCACGTTTTCAAGTAATCAAATCGCTGAGGTAACAGATTCTTCACCTAGCACGGTTAAAAGAGTCTTTAAAAAGAATGGATACCGATCGTATGAAGCGCGCAAAACTCGAGAAATTTTCCATGAAGACCAATTTCGGCGTATGGCGTTTTGTGAATCTGTAATAGAAAAGGCCAATTTAGATGAAAATTTTATTCGGCGTATAGTTTACACCGACGAATCAAGTTTTCCTTTATTGAGTCGTCATAACCCTACACAAGTAAGATATTGGTCTCGGGAAAATTTGCACAGATATTTTGTGGTACGCACGCAATTTCCTCAAAAGCTAAATGATTGGGGTGGTTTTGTAGGGGAGCATATGATTGGTCCATTTTTTATAGAGGGTAATTTAACTGTTGCAAAGTATTTGGACTTATTACAGCAGCATATTGTCCCTAGAATTCGTGAGTTATTGGGAGAAAGATTCCACAATGTCTGGTTTCAACAAGATGTCTCGTTTCAACATGAGTCCGATGTAATGTTGTTCAAGGATATTTGAACGATACTTTTCCCAACCGTTTAATTAGTGGAACTATTTTGTGGCCCGCGAGATCACCAGATCTTTCTCACAATGATTTCTTTATGTGGGGTTATGTAAAATCCATAAAGTATATGGTCATAATAGGGCTAATAAGCTAATAAGTAAAAATGCGAGAGGCTTTCCAAACTATTAGCCCTAATATGTTAGCCAATGTCAGACGGGGATTTTACGACCGCCTAGGCTTCTGTCTAGCACAAGAAGGTGGTCTTTTTGAACACTTGTTATAACTTTTTTTTACTTAGAGTAATATTTTATTTTTTTGGGGGGGTTTGGAGAATTTATTTTTAGTTTTGGAAGTATTTTTATTTTAAATGTTACCTTAAGTGAAGGTAAACACTTAAAATAATAAATACTCGGCACTCCTCGCGTCGTATTCCTAGTCTGTCCAACTGACCAGCCGACTAGCCGGCCGTGAATCTCGAGTACGAACGCAAATCGGGTAAACGTAAATTCGTCCGGCAACTTGCTATGTTACTAGTAGCCTGGTCTTCTCTGTATATTTAATTTATTACAAAACACATTCAAATAAACAGCAATACATTTTATAGATCGCTACCTATAAGCTTGGTGCCTTTCGGTTGATTTCAAATCCGACCGCAGCGCTGTACACGGCAGAAATCACAAATTTTCGCTATGTATTCCACGCCGCACAATGGATCGAAGTATAAGAAGATAGGGACATTGGCTGTTTTTGAAGAGTTCCAAATTTAAATATTTTTTTACATATTTGTGTTAAAGAGATACTCTAGTCTTGTAAAACATATACAGTATGTCTGTTTGTTATTTACTTATTGAGCATATGAGCACCAATTGAAGTAAATTGAAAAATCATTCAAATTGGTAGATAAAGAGTCTTACATTTGATTGTAATTTTAAAATGGATGTAAAAGATATTCGTTTGTTATATATAACGACTTATTAGAAGCGTTCTTGGGCTATAGTATTGGACTGTTAAATTTAAAAAAAAGTCACACCAGAAGTGAAAAACTCATTTGTTTTTTATTTATGTCATTAAGACTTCGAATCGATGAATTGATTGCTGGAAAGACTATATATACATTACTCCAAGTTTTGGTTTCAGGAAAAAAAAAATAAATACCGAAAAGTTTAATAAATTTGCAAAAGAGACTGCAGAAGAGTTAACCTTTATGGATGGTATTACATGCCATCTTCTCTACACAAAATTTTGATACACGGAGCAAAAATCGTTAGCAATTTTTGGTTTCCGATAGGGCATCTGTCTGAAGAGGCCTCAGAGTCTAGGAATAAATACTTTCGGAAATATAGAGAATGCCGTTCAAGAAGGTCTAACAGAACTTTTGCAAATGAAGACATTTTACATAATCTTTTGTTGTCTTCCGATCCATATATAACTGATATGCGTAGCTGTGATAAAATTCATAGCGATTTAACAGAGAAAGCAATATCTCTTTTGTTATAATATTTTTGTTTTCTTTTTTATTTAGAGATTAGTTCTTTTGTGAGTCACCCTGGATATTTTGCTAACTATTTGGTACAAAAGGCCATATTAATTTAGATTTAACAGAGAAAGTAATTTCTCATATGTTATAATGTTTTGTTTTCTTTTTTGTTTATAGATGAGCTCTTTTTGTAAGACACCCTGTATATTTTTTAAAATATCTGGTACAAAAGGCCATATTAATTTAGATTTAACAGAGAAAGCAATTTCTTTTTTGTTATAATATTCTTGTTTTCTTTTTTGTTTAGATATTAGTTCTTTTTTTGAGACACCCGGTATATTTTGTAAACTATATGGTACAAAATGCCATATTAATTTAGATTTTTGTTGTATTTATTGAAGTCGTACATAAAAAACAGTAAAATAAAAGCATTAATTTTGAAATAAGTCAATGTCCCTATTTTCCTATGCTTCGATCCATTGTGCGCCGTCCCGGTTATAGTTCATGTTGATCACATTAAAATAATATTGAAATCGAGGCTTTGTCAATATTTAAGTATTTTAGTTTTTTGCTAGTGCCAGTTATTGAAACTATAAAAAACTCAGGTACGAGGTTTGTGTGATGTAACGCTGTTTCGGGTAGTAAAAAATAAGTGAAAAGGAATCCTAACTAGGCGTCGTGTTGTGTTGTGACAATTTCAAATGTTAATAAAATTGGCGAAAAAATGGCGCGTAAAGGAGAGCGTTATTAGGGCGTTGTTGGATGCAATAACATTCTGAACTTTCCCGGATATACAACTCTCCCAAAACATTTTATAGCTTCACAGCTTCTCACACCAATTTGATCAAAAGCAAAAATGGATTCAAGCAGTTCGACGAAACAAGTGAGTAAACAAAGTGCTTGTTACATAATAAAAATATTAAATAGACATACATATACTATGAGAGGATAAAATATAATTTGCAATATTAATGGTATACTTTTTTTAATCAACTAGTGATTAAATGTTTTATGAACATCTTCTGAAATTATAATTACGAACCTTTAAAAAATTTCGTTATAGCCAAAATAGCCCCAATTATGACCCCACTAGCAAAACCGGTGATTAAAATTATGCTCGCTACCGTAGTTGAACTCATCTAAAAAGTTTTTTTTAGCTGGAATAATAAATTTTAATACAAGTTAGTATTAAAATTCAATTCAGTTAATTAATAAAGAAGTACAGTTTTAGAATTTTCACAAATAATAATTCCTAACACTTTTAGAATAATTATATAATACATTTTTCGTATACTCGCTATTTAAACCCGTGTATTTGTATAGTCTGTAAAACGAATAACTTTGAATTTGGCAGTTCCCGCGGGCTTTTCTAGTGTTAATTTTATTAGGTTAGCAACTTGCGGCCATGCTGACGCAATGCCATCTCTAATAGAACAGCCTCGGAGCGAGATTTATGACGTCACGCTAGTTAAATACTACGGATTAATAAATATGTTGTAGAATACATGGAAAATATAATAATTCCTCGTATTTTTGGTTTGAATTTTATGATATAGTTTACATGAAATATACATAATATACACTTAAAACATACAATATATATACCTACTTATTTATAGTAATAAAACTTTCGCAAATAAACTATGAACCATACAAATGCAGCAAATGTTTTACAATATACAAATAATGAATGGGTACATAAGATAAAGGGTAAAATGTAAAATATATTTTAAATTTTGGGGTTTGAAAATCGATCTAATTTAACAAATAACATTCAATATCTACTACTTACTATGGCTGAAATCGTACTCCATAGTCAATGTAGATAGTTTTAGTGTTTATAATGTGTTTAAGTGTTAGTTTATAATAATTTTAAAAATTTGTGGTCATCTTTTAACAAGTTTTTATTAGTTTATTAATTGAAGTAAACATTATATGGTGTGTGGTGTGAATATTTTATATGTAATTTTTGGATTATATTCGACACTATTTTTTCATGACACAACACTGATGAAGGCTATGATGTTAGCCGAAACGTTTTTTAAACCAAAAGAAATAATGAAAAACAAATGAAAACTTAATCAGCGTTTTTTCCGAACCTAAATCACAAGAAAATCAAAAATTTTAGAATATTTTTACATATAAAATGACAGCGATCTTTATTTTATAGCTATCTCTGACGCCTTTTTTCTATGATACTGTATTATTTGCAAATATAATTTTTCGAACATTGATACTTGCAAAATATACATATACGTTTTGTGAATGCAAATAATAATATTTCACAATTAGTAGATATTGAATGTTTCTTGTTAAATTAGATCGATTTTCAAACCCCAAAATTTAAAATATATTTACATTACCCATTATCTTATGTACCTATTCATTATTTGTATATTGTAAAACATTTGCTGCATTTGTACCTATGGTTCATAGTTTATTTGGCAAAGTATTTATTAACTGTATATTATGTATATTTCATGTAAACTATATCATTTTTAAAAAACAAACCAAAAATACGAGGAATTATTATGTTTTACATGTATTCTACAACATATTTTATTAATCCGTAGTATCTAACCAGCGTGACGTCATAAATCTCGCTCCGAGGCTGTTCTATTAGAGACGGCATTGGTCTGATATTTAGAAATATCAAAAGCTGATGACATTTTACTTTTGACAATTGTGTTGATTTTTGCAAGAAGTCACTTGTTTTATTATTTTCCTTTTCTATTTCACGAAAGTAAAAAGAGTTACCTATCTGATTCGTTCAGGCATTCAATTTAAAGAATATCAGTAACTTTTTTGATAGAGGGATTTTATATTTGCCATGTTGGTAAAAAATAACGGTCAAAATTCAAAGTTATTCATTTTATAGACTATATATATCAGTTGTTTACGATATTCTTCGCTGGTGGCAGCACCGGCGGAGAATGCAACAAGCCTATACTTCATAGATTATTGAATTATTGATTAGATACCCGGTAACGTAGAACATTTTCGTTATTCACAAAATAAAAAAAAATATATGTTACCAAAAAAATCACAAATATAAGAAAATAAACGAACTATAACTTTAAATAGGCGAGGCGGTATGAGAAAAAATAAATAAACTGTGACAAAAAGGATACAACATTTGGAAGACCAGGTATACCTAACCAACTTCCTAATGACAAAGTAAAACTGTCTGCAACTGGCGACACCTAAATAAAATAAATACAAAATTTATAAATTTAAATAAAATAATTCATATTTATCCTGAAAAGGCAAAAAACAACAAAAAAATTGTACAAATAAACATGATAAACATACTTACATGACCATTTCTTTGATGACTTGGTAATGTCAGGGCGGCCAAATTATGCCCTCTCAGATGCAGCCAGCAGTCATGTGTCTTGCACAGCTCTTTAATTCTGGTAACATTGTCTACATGGCCTGTTACAGCAGTTCCTACATCGGCGATCACAATTACAGGAGTTCTCCCTGTGACACTGTCATCTGCTAGCATTTTCTGCAATGCTGCAACGTCCATTGTATACTGGGAACCTGAAAGTTACCGCAATTGGCACTTAATAAAAATCAACATCTTGTATATGATTTGCCTTTTAGATGCAGAATTAAACAAATCAACATTTTTTGTATTTAAAGTGTGTTCGCGGTATTATACCGTACTGGCAACTGTTACTTTTGGGTCGGCATTTACATGTGTGGAAGTAAATCGCATAGGGATCTTATTATGTCGGAGTGAGAGAAATGCGACCGACCGACGCGACGCGCGACGGTGTGCTGTTGCGGCGTTGCCGATACGCCTTTCCCTATCAAGTAAAGTAAAATCAAGATCGCAAACCGCTTATTTTTAAAAGACTTTTTTTTCAAGAGATAACTAGATAAAATCATTAGGTTTGTAATGTTTCTAGCTTGCACTTAAAAAAATTCAAGCTATAGGGAAAATTACAACGACTCGTTAATAAATAAACAAATCAAGTATCACGAGACGTAATTAAATCGTGAAGCTGAACGCATGATGTACACCTTTCCATAGAACTTTAAGTACTGACAGAGGTATTGATTGGGTCGACCGGTCAACTGCGACAAATCTGCTATATCCCCTTCCATGTCTCTTAGTGATGTGCACAGTTTCTCGGTTTATTTCGTACGTTTGGCAACGTGTTTACTGTCCTCTCTTTGTTCAGTACATTATAAACGCATTCTACTCTTCTTACATACGGAAATCTCGACCCAAGACTAACCTTTGCCAGCCCTTAGTATACAAAAAATGTTCGTTTTTCAATTATGCATTTAAAAAAATTATATGCAGGATGTTGCATTTAAAAAAACTGAGATATGGCAGTATAAATATTGCAATATTGGCCACGCCAGAGAAAATTACCCTGTATAAAATAATGTGAATTGTCCTTATGTGTGAAATATCCGATTACTTCTGTTATTTTTGGTGTTTAGTAAAATAAAGGTAAATATGAATAAAGTTATATTCAGCACCAAATAGTTTTTACCACTTTTTATATACCGGGTGCGTCTCAAAAGTGGCTCACACCTATAACTTTTTTTTTCAGATAAAGAGATTTGATATGTTAGTATATGACATAAATTAGGATTGATTGACGTATTCAATTCTTTTCGGCCACTTCCTGTTTCACCGGAAATGACTACAACTTTTGATTTTTAAACGGCACCTTTGGTATATTTTTTACTTTATTCCATTGAAAATAACACTCTGAATAAAATGACATACCATATGTCAACTTTTGACATTTTCGCATATGGTTTATTTGAAATTAAAAACATACGGTTTATAACGACAATTTGACTCGAAATACCAAGTGTGTGGTACCAAATTATTCGTAAAAAATGCTTTTTCCAAATATGTTAACGAGCCACCCTTGTTTCATTTGAAAAAAATGAGATATGATTAAAATACGATTCGGGCATCTTTTAACCAGCCAGGACAAGACACGAAAAACATTAGACAATCAAATCTATTTTTCCAGGGCTCCTTGATTAAACATTTGTATTTTTAATACAGCCAAGGCACTCTAGATTGAATTTTAAAATATAATTTTTTATTAAGCGAGATTGTCCAAAGTGGACATATGATATGTCATTCTATTCAGAATGTCATTTTCTATCGAATAAAGTAAAAAAATACCGAGGGTGCTATTTAAAAATCAAAAGTTGTAGTAATTTCCGGTGAAACAGGATGTAACCAAAAATAATTGAATACGTTAAATAATCCTAATTTAAGTCATATACTAACATACCAAATCTTGTTTTTTTATCTAAAAAAAATAAAAAAATAGGGGCGAGGCACTTTTGAGACGCACCCGGTATAACTAGATATCTTTGCTACTATCAATAGGAAAATCTCCAGAAAGTCGCAAACTACACTTTAATTTATATCACGTACTAACATACCAAATCTCCTTTTTTTTATCTGAAAAAATTAAAAAGTTACAAGGGTGAGCCGCTTTTGAGACGCACCCGGTATATGGTATTATTTTTTAATATATATTATAAGTGAAATCTACTGAGCAAAAAATATATATCTACAGCATTTCATTTAAAAAAATACAAGTTTTGTGTGAAAACCAACCTGAAAATCTATGAAAATATTTTTAAATTAGGCGCTACCACTATCCACATTATTTGTAACAAATACTGGATTAGGGAATGCAATCCCGCACCAAAATGTCAATCCCGCAACCCCGCGGGATTAAAGCAATCAATCCCGCGGATCCGCGAAATTGCGAGATTGTAAACAATAGTCATACATTGGGTCCTAAATGGTACAAAAGGCATTGTACATTTTGCATAGGCCCACAATATATTGATATAGCGTGTATCTTAAACTAGCTGTACAGAAATTTGGGTACCGAGGTATACAGGGTGTTCAAAAAATATATTTAATATTAAATAAACTTAAATTTTATTAAAATTTATCTACTTATTTTATAAATAAAAATATTACTCTGATTGAAGTTTTTTTTAACTTGTGTTAGTTATCTGCTTTTAGATACACTCTATATCAATAATTGTTTGGCATATGCAGAATGTACAAAGGTTTTTGTACCATTTAGGGCCATACGTATGACTAAAAATGCATATTTTCCCTAAAACAAAAAAAACAAAAAACTGATCAAATTGTTTTTTCTAATTTCAATACAGGTTCGTCGTACTTGGTAAAAATTTCGATTTTTTAAAAATTGTAAATTTGCGGTAAAAAAGATTCTTGATCAAATTTTCACACTCTTATAAAACACCCTGTATACGGGAATTCGCTAAATATATTTTCGAAAACCACATCAGCATCTTAATCACAATAGATTCATCTAAAACCATGTCCAAACCGCATCCCAAAATCTTTTTTAGTTCAAGAGATATTCTACTTTAAATTTACCCTAAAATTTTGCTGGTCCCAATAAATATGTCCGGCAATTTATTTGACGAAATTGTCGACAAGTACTAGTTAAACGCTTTTGTTCACTTACGCACATAAGTCAGAAAGAAATCTAACAACTAGCCTGTTTGTTTCACTTATTTTTAATGGCCAGGCCGTAAGGGGAATCCCCCAGGTTCCGACCGTCGACGCATCGGCCCGGAACGAAGCGGTTTGATCTTAATCGAGATCGATTCGGTTACCCAGTAGTAATGTTTGGTAATGTGTTGATCCCGCGGAATCTTAGAGGGATCCTGCATTTGCGGGATTGCATTTCCTATACTGGATTAAGCCTTATATAGAAAATTCTAATGGAGTTCATTTAAGACACTAGATCCCCCTGTATATACAACTTTATAATATTAATTATTTATAATATGAACTTTGTGCATTTATATCATAGTTCAAAAATATATATAAATGAAAAAAAAATGTTAAGCAAAGACCATAATCCCCCTAATTCTAATTTCAAAATAAAGCAAATAAAATCATAAGTATAGATTAATAATGTAATGTGATTATATCTATATCAGCAGATTGATAAGGAAAATTGAAAATTAAAGTATACTTAGTACTTGATCTTTTTTTCTATTTTATTTTTAACATTATTAAACCTACCAAAATGTGTATTTACTGGCACAGGCCGAATACAAGCCAGAGGAAGCCCCAACTGTCTACAAAGATGTTGAATAATTCCTAATGGACTTGAAATACTACTATAAATAGTAGGCAAAGATGAAGTAAAAGCTAACGTTCCATCTTCTAAATATCTCGGGTACTTATAGTGCAACATCATCCTGGTTATTCTCACTAAACCCTCGAACTGATCTTCGTGATAAAATGCTGAACAATCTAGAAACCTAGTAAAGACTTTTAATAACACACATGCTAGATACAACATCACATACCCAAATAACTGACTGATCCATCTTGTAGTGTCAGTTGTAAACCTGGTGCTCAATTTTTGTAATATTGACCGATCTAAACCACCACAATAGGCTGCTAAACTATGCGATACCATAACCAATTTTGTAAGATAGTCAAGGTGTAGTGCTGGTACTGGTTCTCCATCTTCGTCAGTACTGATTAAGCCTTGTATAATTTGTATTATCTCATCGGTATGTTTTTTCTCCAGTCCTAAAAATACAGTTGATGGTTTCCGTATGGTTTCGGTTTCAACTGGACTCTCAACTGCTTGTTCTAATCGACTAACTATTTCAGATGCTTCTATTGCAATTTCTCCGAGGTTTGGCTACAAGTAAATTTGCCACATCAATATAAATAAGCGCTATTTTAAGATATCCTGTACTGTGTCATCAAAAATTTACTAATGAAATAGAACGACTTACTACTACTTTCTCTGGAGAGGAGGTCCTCTTGTCGCTTTTAGTGTCCATTACTTGTGTATTATCGGAATTTTGCTGCTGATACAATTTTGTTTGAGGTAAAGAAGCCATCGTGGCAAAATTGATACACCACTTTTTCAAATGTAAACATGATTTAAGTTACGAAGCATTTTCCGTACGATTTTTGATAAGAGACCTTGACTACGTACGTCTTGTCGTAATTCAGGTAATTCCACTCAGCTGATTTCTGTGACGTCTGTCAATGTCATTATTTATCAATTAAAATTTTTAAATATTGTTGATTTAAAAAGTTTAAAAAACATTTTATCAAATGCAAAACCTATGTAAAAATATACGGTACAAGTACATTTATTTTACACTTGATTTATAAAATAATTAGAAATAATAGTTAGCAAATCCATAACTAGAGGGCGCAGATTTGTAATAAAAATTCGATTTTTAAAGTTTAATTAATTTATAAATCTACTATTATAGCATTGATTCTTCTATTTTTCTCCATATTTGCATAAAGTTTTGCTGTTGAATAATTTCTTTTTGAAAATCAAATAATTACGTATTGATTTTTAAAATTATATTACAGATTTCTGTGATAATCTATAATGTCTTATTGACAGCTTTCAAGTACGATGACCTCAAGGTGATGTCATCGAGAGCAATTCTGAAAGAACTAGAGAAATATTACGTACTGTTTACATATAAACAAACCTAATTTTCACAAATAAATGGTTTTGTTATTGACAGACTTGTTATTTAAAACATGAATAATCACTTCCAGACATACTATAAAGACGCAGGTCCTTATTAAGCTCAATATTTATAAGGTAAGGCGTAAGGAAGGTTATCATTTGATAAACATCCTGAGCTATAAGATAATCTTTTATTTGCCAGCAGATCTATTGTATAGATTAGCTGTATCTTAATTACCTTTATATGTACTAGTTCTGAGATATTTTTATTGACTGTTAATACAACTCTCCTTTTTAGTTTACAGTACCTTAATATGTACTTTGATAATATTATACACAAGACAATAGAGTATGATAGAAGGCGTTTCCAGAAGAACTTTTGGACGAAGTTCTAGTGGTACATATAATGTACACGCCTTAGAACTGGCTACGGCAAGAGATCGCAAGCTTAAAGGTCTAAATGTGACCGTTAGGTACCTATATTACTTTATAACCACCTCATGTTCGAATGTTTAGTATAATACTTTGTATTACAGGTTTTTAGATGATACCGATCATGTATTTTATGTTGAAAAACGGACAAAGGGTGCTGATTTACTTGACCAAGTATATCAGCACCTAGAATTGATAGAAAAAGACTATTTCGGTTTGCAGTTCTCGCCAGATGGCTATACTAAGGATAAACCAGCGTGTATAGTATGTATTACATTAAGTTAAATATTTTATTTTTAACCGAAATCATTTTAGCGATGGCTCGATCCGTCCAAATCAATAAAAAAGCAAATGGATAACTGCCAGGAGCTTCATTTTAGGGTGAAGTTTTATGTATCCGATCCAAGTAAATTACAGGAAGAATATACAAGGTACCAGTTCTATTTACAGTTAAGGAGAGATATATTGCAAGGGAAACTATATCTACCTCCATCTACAGCAATTTTATTAGCTAGTTATACCGTCCAATGTAAGTAGTTATAATTTTATGAAAAAATAATTAAAAAATGACAAAAAACAGTATGTTTTTAAACTAAATTATATACAACTGACCATATATGTTTTTGTTCATGTATTTTAGTCATATTTCTTATTGTTTGTTTTTTGTTAGAGTATTAGATATTAGAAATCTCAAAATATGTAGTGGAAATTTTATTGATAATGAGATATCTTATCATTATCTATTTTATCATTTGGTAATTTAAGATATGTTTAATTTTATTGATGTAGTTAACCTGTACATACAGGGTGGCGCCTCCCATAAGAAGCAGAGGCTCCAATAACAATGAATGTTTATAGTGAAATAAAGTTTTGTTAGCACATGTAAATTAATTTAGAGCATTTTCAAAAATATATAGATTTCTACTGGGTGCCCCCAAAAAAAATTACACATTAAAGTTAGTTTTTTTGTAATAAAACACCTTATATATTAATTGATTTTTGGATTCTAGGAAAAAAATAAAGGTGAGTTTTATTAGAGACATTTTCTAAAAATGAAGAACAAGTTTTAAATTTCAATAGAAGCTACCTAAATTGGAATTCACCCAGTATAGCATAACATGTAGTTAAAATATCCATTGTACTTCAAATCAAAACATGATCTGAAAAGTTATACAGGGTGAGATAAAATTATTATTGAACATTTGTCACTTGATCGAACCTTTGTCACAATAATAATCTGGAACACCCAGTATATTATTCAAAATTTAATGAAGAATTCATGTCTCTTCAAAATACTATTAAGGTTGCCTACCTTTCTGACAAAGATTTTCCTAAATATTTTTATTTTCATGATTTGGTGTCAGTAGATTTTTATTATTTAATAAAATCTAGGTTGCTGTGATATGCCTGATGGTACTTCAACATAGATATTAAATTAGTTTAATTTTAACAATTAGTTATCAATTTGTGTTAGCTGTGTCATATTGTATCATTTTTGCAGCAGAGGGGATTGATTAATTAATTAAAATTAATTAAAAACTAATTATATTAATTGGTAAATGCTGCGTGCACATCTTTAATGTGTATTTTATTGGGGACACTGTGTTGAACAAAGCTGTCGTTCTCCTTGGAACCTCTGCTTCTTATAAGAGTAGGGTTGCCAGACGTCCGGCTAAAGCCGGACATGTCCTCCTTTTTTGGCAATTTGTTAATGTCCGGCCGGCTTTTCTTTATGTCCGGCTTTTTTCCATTTTACGAAAAATTGTTAATTAATTTCGATTTTTATAATACTAAAAAGTGCAAAGTGCAACAGCAAACCGGCAACCGGTCAACCATAAAAATCAAACCAAGACCGGTTCATTAGTGTATAAGATAAAAAGAAAATAATTTTATTGAAATTTTAGCTTTGTTCGGGTTCTTGTTATTACCGATTCTGAACCGTCCTAGAACTCTACAGCGCATGCGCAAATGAAATAATGTCTTCATATTTCCTTCTGCGCATATGCATCACAGTTCTAGGACTGTTCAGAATCTGTAATAACAAGAACCCGAACAAAGCTTTTATAAGCTTGTGTAAATGCTTAATAAGTAAAGAAATGTCCGGCTTTTTTATCAAAAATCAGGCTTTTTTGTACAATTGTCCTACTTTTATACACTGTCCATCTGGCAACCGTCCAGAGGTAAGAGGCGCCGTCCTGTATATGATCAGAATCACTTTATATTATCACAGATTAGGTATCCTATAAGTATACAGATAAAAATCTTGTCCCTAATTCGTGGTACGAAAATTGTTTTTTATGGCGATGTGCAAACGAGTCAAATCTCCTGTGCGCAAAAATAAACTCGCGTAAAATAACAATAAACAGCGTAATAGGAAGATATCGCTAAATCGAATAGCGTGCATGGACGTTAATAAGGCCAGGTGTTATTTCCTTTACGTGATGTGGTATTAACTCTCTTCATTTATAGTTATCGGATCGGAAAGAATTCTGATCGCGTCGCGTCCGCTGTTTAAACTTAACCTAACTTTAATTTAAAACTTTGAAATTGTTTTGTTTACTAGGTATTTTAAAACTAAAGGGCTATAGTGCTTATTTCCAGTGCTTTATTGTTCAACGTCTGCCAGTGGGTTTAGGGCAACAAGCAACAAATTCTCTTAGAAGGACTAAGTCGTCATCTGCTGTAAACCTAAGCCTCTTTATAGGTTCTTTAATATTGGAAGAGGTGGAATCCATATTTTGAGCCATATTTATTTAATTAAAACTAATCCCAGCTACTTAAATATCAAATTACCTAATAAAACTAAAGCAATAATTCAAAACAATTCAAACATAACCTAAAATAAAAGATCTCGCCGGCCGGCTCCGGTTGTCAAATACCCGCACATGCCCATTTAAGCAATTTTTAAACGTTATCAGAGGTTATTTAGAAAGAGCGCTTGGTGTAATTGATTCGCAAATTACGTCAGGCGGTAACGTTATTAGCGGGTGTTGCGTTAAAAATTGACTCGCGCATATCGTAACCATGAAAGGTACGCGTAAATACTGGATGACGCTATTCGGTTTTCCGATATCTCTCTAATAACTGTGCCGGTCAGTCGCTGTGCACAATTTTAGAGGCCATAAGTGGGCGTGCTATGTGCGCAAACATGGCGCAAACTAGTCACCTAACTAGTGCCCGATTCCGAAAATTGGAACCAAGAAAAACAATAAAGAAAAAACAAAGATTATAATCTGTATAATCTGTGATATTATTTACATACAAAAAGATCACAAATAATTTAAGTTGAGGAATACAATATTTCTGTCTGAAATCAATCAAAGTGATAGCAGCTTAAATTAAAGATTTATTCACATATTGATGGCTACATTTAAAACAAACATATTAATTTTGATATGTTTTGTAGCCGAATTAGGCGATTACAATCCTGAAGAGCATGGAGCAGATTACTTATCAAATCTCCAGTTGGTACTCAATCAAAATGAAGAAATAGAAAAGAAAATTTCAGAGCTACACAAGTTGCATAAGTAATATTAAAAATATTAATATATAATTATGAATGATTAAAAATAAAAATATTTTTAGGGGACAGACACCGGCAGATGCAGAATTTAATTTTTTAGATCATGCCAAAAGAATGGATATGTATGGAATTGAACTACATAATGCTAAAGTATGTTTTCTTTATTTTAGTTTGTGTAAATTTAATTTAGATGTTAACAAGAAACTACAAAAATAGAAAAATAATTGTATTATAGAGAATTTTTGGTTTTCAGGATAATGTTAATAAAAGTATACAGTTGGGGGTGAGTCACATTGGCCTAGTTGTGTTCCATAACAATATCAAAATCAATACATTTTCGTGGTCCAAAATAATGAAGATATCTTTTAAGAGGAAGCAATTTTTTATACAGTTAAGAAGAGAACCGGTAAGTTTTGTATATTTAAATGAAGAAAATGACATTGAAGTTATATATTTAATCAACACGGTTTTATTTAAAATTGTTTTTATTTATTTCGTTTGAATTACGAGGCATGTTTTTTAAGTAAGTACCGTTTTGCGATTCCGCCGCCGCAGCGCTACGGTCGGCGTTCCGCGCATGCGCGCTGGTTACCTACATATCTTGTCTATGCACAGACGCCAGTACAGTCTGATTCTTCATTGTATACGTTGTTTATTGAGTGTTTAAGATGCCTCCAACAATCGTGAGCCCCGCCGATTGAAGTACGGGCTGTCATACGATTTCTTAGTGCTAAAGGCGTAAAACCGATCGATATTTATCGTGAGATCTGTGAAGTTTACGGACAAAACATTATGAGTGATGGAATGGTAAGAAAATGGGTGAGAGCATTTAAAGATGGCCGCACAAATGTGCATGATGAAGAACGGAGTGGGCGTCCTTCGGTCGTTAATGAAGATTTGGTGCAGAAAGTGGACGAAAAGGTGAAAGAAAACAGACGCTTTACAATTTCATCATTGTGCGACTACTTTCCTCAATGTTCTCGTAGTGTTTTGTATCGCATTGTGACCGAGAACTTGCATTGCCGGAAATTGTGTTCACGTTGGGTTCCGAAAATGTTGACGGATTTGCACAAAACCCAACGTTTAGGCAGTGCATTGACCTTCCTTGAGCAGTACCACAATGAAGGTGAAGATTTTTTAGACAAAATTGTTACTGGTGACGAAACATGGGTGGCCTACGTCACACCAGAATCGAAACAACAATCCATGGAATGGCGACATTCATCATCACCCAAAACAGTGAAGTTTAAGCAAACAATTTCTGCCCGGTAAATCATGTGCACAGTTTTTGGGACAGAAAAGGAGTATTGCTAGTGGAGTTTCTGCCTCGTAATGAGACAATCAATGCAGCATCTTATTGTGAGACATTGAACAATCTGCGCCGTGCAATCCAAAACACAAAGACGTGGCAAGTTGAGTAAGGGTATTGTTTTGCTACATGACAATGCCCGTCCACATGTGGCTAATCGGACCAAAGATCTCATCAAATCTTTTAAATGGGAAACTCTAGATCATCCTCCATACAGCCCTGATCTGGCGCCCAGTGACTACCATTTATTCCTGCACTTGAAGAAACACCTGGGCGGTTAGCGTCTTCAAAACGATAACGAAGTCAAAATAGTTAACAGTGATACAGTGGTTAACCAGTCAGGCGGCAGAATTTTATGAGGAGGGTATTGAAAAACTGGTGCCACGTTATGACAAATGCCTCAATATTCACGGAAATTATGTAGAAAAGTAGATTAAGGTACAGGCTTTCATGTAAAAATAAAATTATTGCGATATCTTTGCACGTTTTTTTTTTAATTCCAAAACGGTACTTACTTAAAAAACATGCCTCGTATATATGTAACCTAAACATGATTTTGTGATACAAAAGTGTGTACTGTATATTATGACATCCTTATTACAAGAAATAATAAGTAACTTTGAAATGTTTAAGCGTTTGACAAAAGGATTATTTTGTATTTGAGATGTGTTTAGCACAACATTTATATGCAATTTTGCCTTAATATTGTCTAAAAAATGGCATAATACAATTTAATAGACAATTATATTGGGCATATGATTCACGTAAAATATATAGGGTGTCCTATTTAAATTAAACAAGTTATTGCCGTTTACAGCTTGTAATTATTTAATATAAATTTTTGGACACTCTGTATAAGGTAGTAAATTTTTTATTATTGCGACACAATATCTGATCAATAAATAATCTTCAGAAAATATTTAGTATTAAAAACTTTGATACCCTTGGAGAAATAAAGCCTTAAATTTTTTACTGCAATTTCATAAAATTGAAAATATTTCAAAAACGGTAAGGTTTAAGTGTGATAAACCTTAATCAAATTTACCTTTATTTTAATCGTAGAATCTAAAAATAAAATAATATACAGGGTGTTCCATTTAAAAATACACAACTATAATATTTTTTACTTATTTGGGACACTCTGTATCTTGTAAAAATAAATTGTAGCTCTAATAGTCCTTCAACAAACCCAGAACTTACAATTTGTAAAAATCTAATTGTTTAGCTACAATACTCCGTGTCGTATGTGGTGAACAACTCTGTATATTAAAAAAAAACGGCGTCAATGACGATGATAATTTTGGCGAGGTCAAGCCCTGGACATCATTTACTTGACCTGTACTCTTCTCTATTTTTTAATTATTACTGCCATTTGGCTTTAGGAAGGTTGAAATTTATTTTTATATTAAGTAAATATGATTTTTAAATGGTGTAGTTTAAAATTCTAATTCTAAATACAGATCTGTATTTGTAACACTTGTACATTGTATTATGTAATAGTAGATATTATGTAATTGGTGTTAATTTTTAGAAGTGTCTAGCCCTAGCAGTCAACTATTAAGCTTGACCAATCAGGTTGGTTAGCGTGGTTATTTGAAGGGTGTTAATTCATTTGTGTTTGGCAAAAACTCTAACGTGATTGGTCGGGCTTAATAGTTGCCTGCTATGGCTAGACACAAGTTCAATTTTTAGTAAGTGACGTCTAGAGAAATATTATTTTAATAAAATTTAATTATCCTGGCGTTTAGTCTGAAGATTATGATACTTTACTTGGCTTCAACATGGACGATTATCGGTCCTCCAAGACTTTATGGAAAACCTGCGTCGAACACCATACATTCTTCAGATTGAATTCTCCTAAAGTCAAAAGAAGATACTTATCTCTAGGATCCAAGTTTACTTATTCTGGCAGAACGGAATTTCAAACAGTGCAAGAAGCCAAACGACGCGGCATATTGGAACGAAAATTCGTCAGATCACCAAGTAAACAATTTGTAAGTACTTGAAAATCATGAAAGGGAATATTTGAACATAGACTAATGTTATATACTAGAGTGATTATATCTACACTGATATAAAACAAATAGGTTCGTTATTTAGAGCCACCTGGGGATCTGAAAGAAACTAATGGAGAGTTTTGGCATAACATAATTTTAGCGTTCCGTCACTTATTAACGTTAAGTAAAACGGTAACATTATTTAAGTTCAAAATTATTCCCTGTAAAATATAAAATAATATATACCGGGTGCGTCTCAAAAGTGGCTCACCTTTATAACTTTTTTATTTTTTCATATAAAACAACGAAATTTGGTATGTTAGAATATGACATATATTGGGATTGATTGACATATTCAATTGTTTTCTGTCACTTCCGGTTTCACCGGAAATGACTAAATCTTTCGATTTTTAAATGGCACCCCCGATATATTTTTATTTTATTCGATAGAAAATGACATTCTGAATAGAATGACATATCATATGTTAATTTTGACATTTTTGCATATGGTTTATTTGAAATTATACCTTGCGGTTTGTGCGGTATAGTCTGTCCAACGAGATGATCCTTGACAGTGATATATGTGTCTGTCATTTTCATTTCAAAGTAGTTTATTTTATTTTACAAAGAAATAAGTTGGTACAACTGGAACGCATAGCAGGAAATTATTATATTTAAAATTTGACTGACAAGTGATTACTTCAAAATATTGTGAAAACTGTATAAAACTGAAAAAATGTAATCGAGTTATTTAATTTAATAAAAAACGGTATGTGTTAATACAAAACAAACAAGAACAAGGCACCACATACCTACCAAAAAAATATAAAAAAAGAACTATTTCTTACTTTCAAGCTTTATGAAACTTCCCGCATTTATGAATATATTTATTAATATAACTTATGTACAAATACAAATTTGTAAAATCCCGCAGGAATAAATAAAACAACATAAATAAAACAAACTATTTTATAATTAATAACACTTACCAAATTTTATAGGTACCTTAAAGGTTGATTAATTAGCTTTAATCTTAATTTTTTAAACCAGTACCTTTGGCATTATTTTTCTTGTGCAGTACTAAAATCCATTATTTACGTATCGTGTGATGTCGATATTTTACAGCTACTTCAGTTTTTAGTATGTGTTTAGAGTATGGTCCTTCTACCATATTCGAGATGCACTTATCTAAGACGAGATGGTAGGCATACGAACTTTAATGATGGTAACTTTATTGGTGTATAAGACTTTTTGCCTGGGCAGCGAGTATTAACTTTTTATTCTTAATCTAAGGTATTAACCATAAACTGTGCTCTGGGTCTACAGTTAATTTTCTCTCGATTTTTCCTCCACTTGACTTCAAAAGACACAAAACACACGTAATAACACGAATCAAAATGCATCATCTTCCAAAACGCAGGATATTTGAAAAAACTGACAAAAGTTGACACAAAATTATAACCTCTAATTTGGCAAGACTTTGACAAGCGTCAAAAATCTAAAGGCGAGTTCATACGCATCGGCGTCCGTTTGTCGTTCATCGTTCCGTCAAACCAATAAAATTGAAATACGATCTGTCATTTTTGAAATAAACCAATAAAACTGGTTAAAAACAACAAGAGACGACGCATGACGGATTTATATTTAAACCCATCCATAGTTAATTTAAAAATTGTTAAAAACTTTTTTTAGTAAAATAAATAGATTGGTATGGGACGTCATCTGCTTTTTTTCTGTCATCGTCTGTCGAAATCTTACCCGAGAAAAAAAACAGAGTATATCAAATTATTCGTAGATATTATTAAAAATACGATTTGTGTATCTTTTAACTGGCCAGGACAAGACACTAAAAACATTAGACAATCAAATCTATTTTTTCCAAGACTCCTTGATTAAAAATTAGTGCTTTTAACACAGTCATGGCACTCTAGATTGAAATTTAAAATACAATTTGTTTTTGAGCGAATATGTCAAAAGTTGACATATGATATGTCATTCGATTCAGATTGTCATTTTCAATCGAATAAAGTAAAAAAATACGCAGGGTGCCATTTATAAATCAAAAGGTGTAGTCATTTCCGGTGAAACGGGAAGTAACCGAAAACAATTGAATACGTCAATCAATCCCAATTTATGTCATATACTAACGTACCAAATCTCGTTTTTTTTATCTGAAAAAATAAAAAAGTTATAGGGGTGAGCTACTTTTGAGACGCACCCGGTATAGACTTGTTTACTACATTTTATGTTTTATTAGATCATTAGAAGTGTAACATAGTCAAGACAAAATTAAAATTATGAATACATACATTTTAAACGCCAACAATAGAGCACATAGCGACTATTTTTTTGATTTAACAAATAAATTATAATATAGTAAAAATATTATAGAATACTAATTAACTGTTACTAAAAATTATTATTTAAAAAACAATTTAAAAATAACTTGAAAATAACTCATCAATATTTTGTCATCTTCATATATAAATTAGAAACCTGTATTTTAATGCCTTTAGCGCCATGCGGAAGAAATTAAGTTTGTAGGTCTATAAAATTACCATTGAGTGTCTAGGGCCTGTCATTGAATAAAACAGCTAAATATAAAAGCTTGTCATTGTAACCATTTTGAAGCACTTTTTTCAGTCAGTTTTGTTATTCCAGGTAAAAGATAAACAGGTATCAAGTGAAACAGCCTCAGTGCCTTCAGCTCGGCCTTCCCGTCCTTATGATACTCATAAAGTTACGTCGACAGTGAAAGAACCGAAAAAAGCGTGGACGGAAGACTCAAAAATCTCAGACGAGTAAGTTAACTCATTTTTTAAATTATTTTATATGCTTAAAAGCCCTAATAGAAGCTTTGGAAGAAGATGTGCTATAGACTTGGTGCATTTCAGTTGATTTCAAAAAATTCCGACCGCGGCGCTGTATACGGCAGAAATCAGAATTTTCGCTATGTATTTCACGCCGTCCAAGTTGCAGTTCATGTTGATCGCATTAAAATAATATTGAAATCGCGGCTTTGTCATAATATTTAAGTATTTTAGTTTTTTGTTAGTGCAGTTATTGAAACTATAAAACAGTCAGGTACGAGGTTTGTGTGATGTAACGCTGTTTCGGGTAGTAAAAAATAAGTGAAAAGGAATTTGAACTAAGCGTCGTGTAGTGTTGTGACAATTTCAAATTATAATTATTTCAATAAAATTACCGAAAATATGTTAACGCTAAAGGAGAGCGTAATTAGAGCGTTGTTGGGTGCAATAACATTCAATAAATCAACTTTCCCGGATATTCAACTCTCCCGAAACAACATTTTATAGCTTCGTAGTTTCTCACATCCATTTGATCAAAAGCAAAAATGGGTTCAAGAAGTTCCTCGAAAGAAGTGAGCAAACAAAGTGCTTGTTACATAATCAAAAATTAAATAGATATATGCTACGAGAGGATAAAATATAATTTGCTTTATTAATGGTATACTTTTTTTAATCAACTAGTGATTAAATGTTTTAGGAACATCTTCCAAAATTATAATTATGGGCCTTTAAAAAATATCGTTATAGCCGAAATAGCCCCAATTATGACCACACACAAAGCAAAACCGGTGATTCAAACTATGCTCGCTACCATAGTTGAACTCATTTAAAAAGTTTTTTTTAGCTGGAATAATAAATTATAACAAAAGTTAGGCGCTCTGAAGATATCAAAATATATACTTTCTTATTTCTATTTTTCGAATTTTCACAAATTTTACTTCCTAACACTTTTAAAATAATTAAATAATATTTTTTTTCTATACTCGCTATTTAAACCTGTGTATTTTTATATACTAGTTGTTTACGATATTGTCCGATGGTGGCAGCACCGGCGCGGCGGAGAATGCACCAAGCTTCTAGTTGGATTATTCCAATTATGGTTCTTCAATTTCTGAAAAATTGCCAATTGATAGTAGTAAATACGGATTGTTATTTAACGATCTGTTTTTAGTAATACCAGGTCTACAACAATAGATGTACTATAGCAGGGGTGTTCAAAGTGTGGTTGATGATTTTTTAGATATTTTTCTGTTGATAATAGCAGGGACAGCTTGTTATTTTGAAATATCAGGTCAGGTGTTTAATAACTGCTGGTTTATTAAAATGTTTTTATTTGTTTTCACAAGTTTCAGCTGGTTTATTAAAATGTGGTTCATGATTTCCTGGAGATTTGTCTGTAGATAGTAAAGATGTCAGTCACTAATTCACAGTTTAGCAATACATGTTCTACAGCAAGTTTTTCAAAATGGTTCGCGAGATTTTTTCATTGAGAATTGTAAAAAAGATTGTTATTTATCGACCTGTTCTTTTAGAACTGTTATTTAGAAATAACAGTTTGCAACTTACAAACACATCTGTTATAACAGGTTTATCAAAGTGTGGTTCTCGATTTACTTGTATTTTCCATTTAGTAGTAGTAAACATAGATCGTTGTTTAACGATCTGTTATTTGAGAACTGTTATTTAGAAATACCAATTCGCAAAAGTGTGGTTCGCGATTTCCTCGAGATTTGCCTGTTGATAGGAAAGGCATTGATTGTTATTACACGAACTGTTTTTGAATATATTGATAGTAAAGACTGGTTCTTATTTAACGACCTCTTATTTTAGAACTGTTATTTAGAAATAGTAGTTCGCAACTTTTCCCAGGAGATTTGCCAGTCGATAGTGATAAAGATGGGTTGTCATTTAGTAATATATCTTATTTTACAATTATTATTGAGGGAATAAAACTTATTACTTTCTAAAAATAACAGTAATAACAGGACACTAAAAACGGTGAAAAGATGTGAAGTTGCGTTTGCCTTGGTAGGAAATGTTACCCGTGATCTTCTAATTTTTCATCTCCTGTTGTGTAACAGCGAATAGTATAACCCGTTATCTGGACAGATTTGCAGAGTATCGGTTGCCGTTGTCAGAACTTGGATGAGTTGCCAGTTATCGTATTAAAGTATTTTTTCGTACGATTTTCTAGACATCTTAGGACAGTTTTCTTTGCCCAATTATAATAGATCAGGTCTACTATTTCTAGCGACGGTGGATTTATTGAACGAGTTCTCGAAGCGCCATTCTCTCCCAGCATTGCCGGGAAAGTAATGAGCTACGCCGACGAAGAGTTTCCGTCCCCTCTGTCCAATGACGTGTACGAGACTCCGCCCTACAGCATCAGTCATTCGCCCACCTCGCACAGCATTGAGGACGCCGTGGTCACCATCGTGCTTTACCCTGACGAAGATGGCAAATACGGTTTCAATGTTAAAGGTAAGTTGGTATAAAGTAAAAAAGGTTATTTTACTTTCCTTACCTCCATAACCTTTTTTTTAAGGCTAAGTAGGTTTAGTTTAGAGATTAAGGGTACTTGCTTTTTAAAATATTTTCTACACTTTCTATTACTCAGTAAAAAAGTTAAAAGTATCTTAACTTTCTCGACTAATTAAAAATTGCTATCACTAATTTTAATGTTCTGGATGCTTACACTAATTTATTCCACTAATTTTGAGGCTCAGAATGAAGCTTAACTGATAGTAAAAAAAACAGTAACAGTTACAACTGTTATTCAGAAATAACAGTTTGGTCACGTCTTGTTCCAATCGTTATTTAAAAATAACAGTTTTCCTCTTCTGGATGAGAATTTGCTCTACTTGCGTTGTTTTTTTTTCAATCAATAACAGGAGGAACTGAAGTAAGTGTCCCGATATTGGTTTCGAGAGTTGCGCCAAATACCCCAGCTGATAAGTGCACGCCAAGACTGTCAGAAGGTGATCAAATTCTACAAATCAATGGTCATGACGTCACGGACGTGTTACAAAGTACCGTGGTGTCGTTGGTTCAGGAGGCCAGAGCGACTGAATCCGGTACTTTTGCCCTTATTTTTCTTTTAAACTACGATTACTATGGTGGCTATTTTTCTTTATTTAGGTAAACTGGTGTTGACCGTAAGACCGAACGTTTTGTATCATGGCGCTGAGGAGTTTGAGGAGCCCCCTTTTCAATATGTACCTGTGAATGATGTAGAGCCAACGATAGGTAAGAGATATTGTTATTAAATATAGTAGAATTAATTATACAAGGGTAGTATTAAAAGTGTAAAACATTTTTTTTTAATCTATTTATTTTTTTATTATTTTCTTTTCATTATACAGGGTGAGTTTCCTACGATGTTCTCTATGGGTATCTCGGAAACAACTGGAGATAGAGAGTCGGTTAAATGGGGAAAGAATTGCAGTTTTGTGGGTTCATAAATATGCGCCTTTCAGATTTTTGAAAAAGTTCATGGCTTACTAGATATTTCGAAAAAAACAAATTTCGGCTATTTCAAAAATTGTCCCTAATTCCGTTATAAGCTATTTTAGATAAAACGTTTTCAGATAAAAGTTGTAGATAATCACATCCTTAGTGAGACCGTGTCCTTCGTTTTGACACAAACATATGTTTTTTTAGATGGAAACCATAGTTGGCTATGACTTCATAAAATGCGCCATTTTTTAAGCTTTTCAACGATATAAGCTATAATATGTTTTCTTCGAAAAATTACTGAGTTATAGCAAATTTTTATCATTTTTAAACAATTTCTCTTAGTTAGCCATGGAAACAAGTTCAATCGCCTTTGCTCTCAGAAATGTGAAGCTGTCACATCCAAACTTTGTAAATTAAAATAAACAAAAATTGTAAATATGCATTTTCAAATGAGGAAAAGCGTGTAGATACTCGCGCATCAATAGAGTGGTTCCAACATTATAATTATGATATAAATAATTTTTAACATTTCTTTCATTATGGGGGGGGGGGCATAATGAAAGCATTATGACCCCCCACACAATGAAAGAAATGTTAAAAATTATTAATATCATAATTATGCAAACTCAGGGATAGGAAGAGGTGGACCAGTTGCATGGGCCTCCTCGATCACCTGACCTATCCACTTTAGATTTTTTATGCCGTATGGTTAACAATAAGGTTTACAAAAGAACTTATGAATTAAGAGAGGCACTCGAAGTGGCGATGGCGGTATGAGAGAAGTTTAATTAAGTCGACCGGTCCTTCTGTGAGAATAGGTAGTAATTCAGTTTTAAAAAGATGCAACTCAAAACAAGGGCGGATTTTTCGAATATTTTCTAAAATAACTTAAAGTGTATGCAGTGATATTATGTTAAGTTTTAGTTTGTATAATGTAAATTGTAAGGAACCGTTTAGTAATATATTCTGACTGTTTATAAGTTATAAATCATAACAGAACAAGAATACCATGCAATCTAATTGAAATTAGTCAAGAAAGATAAGAATTGGCTATAACTAAATTTAACTTTTCTAACATGTCTTGAAAACCGTTCTCTAAAAAACGTAACATTCACCGGTCAACGTATCCTCGAAAATGTATGGTCAAGAAAAGTTGAACCAATAATCTTACACGCTTTTCTTCATTTGAAAAATTCATATTTACAATTTTTGCTTATTTTAATTTACAAAGTTTGCATGTGACAGCTTCACATTTCTGAGAGCAAAGACGATTAAACTTGTTTCCATGGCTAACTAAGTGAAATTGTTTAAAAATGATAAGAATTGGCTATAACTCAGTAATTTTTCGAAGAAAACATATTATAGCTTATATCGCTGAAAAGCTTAGAAAATGGCGCTTTTTATGAAGTCATGGCCTACTATGGTTTACATTTAAAAAAACATGTTTGTGCCATATGTCAAAAATGACAGGCTTTAGAAGAAAACGGAGGACACAGTCTTATTAAAGATGTGATTATCTACAACTTATATCTGAAAACTTTTTGTCTAAAATAGCTTATAATGGAATTAGGGACAATTTTTAAAATAACCGGAATTTGTTTTTTTCGAAATATCTAGTAAGCCATTAACTTTTTCAAAAATCTAAAAGGCGCATATTTATGACCCCACAAAACTGCAATTCTTTCCCCATTTAACCGACTCTCTATCTCCAGTAGTTTCCGAGATACCCATAGAGAACATCGTAGGAAACTCACCCTGTATATTAACCTAAAAGCCAGTATCTGATACGGTTTTATAGAAAATGACACTCTGAATAGAATGACATATCATATGTCAACTTTTGACATTTTCGCATATAGTTTATTTGCGCTTCTTAACGACAATTTGACTCGAAACACCAAGTGTGTGGTACCAAATTATTCATAAAAAATACTTTTTCAAAATATGCTAATGAACCACTCTTGTTCCATTTGAAAACATTAAGTTATGATTAAAAATACGATTTGGGCATCTTTTAACCAGCCAGGACAAGACACTAAAAACAATAGGCGATAAAATCTATATTTCCTAGGCTTCTTCATTAAAAATTACTGTTTTTAACACAGCCATGGAACTCTAGATTGAAATTTAAAATACGATTTCTTTCTAAGCGAAGATATCAAAAGTTGGCATATGATGTCATTCTATTCAGAGAGAGTATCATTTTCCATCATATAAAGTAAAAAAATTGCGAGGGTGCCATTTAAAAATCAAAAGTCGTAGTCATTTCCGGTGAAACAGGAAGTGACCGAAAAGAATTGAATACGCCAATCAATCCTAATTTATGTCATATACTAATATACGAAATGTGTTTTTTTTTATCTAAAAAGGGGGGGGGAATAAAAAAGTTATAGGGGTGAGCCACTTTTGAGACGCACCTGGTATAATAGTTGATAGATTGATTTGGAAGACTGCAAACTACCCTTTTTTATAGCATAATCTATGTTGTTGCAATCGCACTTTCTTGGCGTTTGCTTCAATTCTTCACTAACCTTTGTGACACAAACTTTCCTTTTATTGAGAATTTAAGTCAAAATGTTGCGAACGGCTACTCTTATATCGGAGGCGGTGGGAACAAGCTTTTGCTTCTGCACTTGACTAAAAATATAATACCCACCTATATCTTACACTGCATACCAAAGGGCGCCACTTATTTCAAAAAGATGCTGATACTTTACAAAGGATAGTACAAACTGAAATAAGAAAATTTGTACAAGTGTATTAATTGAATGGAAACTAAAATTAGTATAGCTATTAAATATTTTGAGAAACTGGATCAACCAATGAAACAATTCAAATACCCAAAATTATTTGGCACAGCAGTTATGTACATTAATATACAAGAAATATGTTTAAGAAACTCTATCTTAAAACTTGCTTAAAATTCCAAATCTCAGAAAGATTCAGAATCAGAGAAGATAAATTCAGAATCTCTTCAAAAATCTTTTCAAATATTATTCAAACAATTATAATATAAAAATATACTTTTAGAGACGGTCTTGGTTATATCTGAATAATAAATATTTAAGTTTTTACTTATTTCGAAGATTCATGAACCTTTTTTTTTGTTTATATATAGTTAGGGGGAAACGTTTAAAATCTGTACCCAAGATTGCCCTTACAGGTCAAAGATCGTAATTATATTATTAGGTAACATAAAGATGTTAATCCGAATAATCAATAAATAATAATGTTAAATCCGAATAATAATCAATCAATATAACATGGTTATTTTAATAATCAAATACAAGTGAAATTTAAGCAATGCTGAAGGCACATACTTAAAGTGTTAAAAAAAATATAAAATGTAACAGAACGTTAAATTTTATAAATTAAGAGTTAAAGTAATGCTGAAAGCAAGTACTTAACCAGTTAAATGTAAAATGTTAAGAATAGTTAATTTCTTAACACACTAATGATTATTTAAAATTTAATTAATAAAATTTTAGTTTATTACAAAAAAATATACTGGCCTTGTATACCAAATTATACTAAAAAAAGGATCTTGTTAATGAAAAAATAACATCACTGCATCCATCTTCTCCTCAGAGGGGTGCAGGGCTGAAATCTAACCGAACAAGCTGCTACTGATTAACTCGGTGATTGAAAAACTCGAAGAAAAATTGTAGAAAAACGTTGGGAAAAATGTCTAGAAATACTTGAAGAAAAATCCGAAGAAAAACGTTGAGAAAAACGCTGAGAAAAATCTAAAAAGAAATGCACGGTATTAGTTAACCTTACATTTAAAAAAACTTCGAGCAGCATCGAATTTCGTGGCGGTGCAGAGCGCCGACTTCGTTTCACGAACACTCGATCTCTGCGTGTCGTTATTTTATATCTGTTATTTTTTAAAAGCAGTAACGGTTGCGTTATGTTATTTCTAAATAATTGTTATAAAATAACAGATAGTTAAATAACAACCCATCACTAAATGGAATGTCAAAGAAAATCTTACCAAAACTATAGATCCATTAATATCTCAACAATCAAAAACTATATGGGACCGTCAACCATCTATGGGACAACAAAATTACAATATTTTTCCCATATTGTGAAAAATACCAGCCAAATAAATTTCTCTCAAAAATGGCACGGTGACCTCGACAACGGCCAAATCCGTGGTGACGATTTTGACGTTTCCCGTCTTGTCGATACACCAGGGTACGATCCAATATTTTCGATAGAGAGCGTTCCGAAATTTAAGCGTTGTAGAAATTTAAAATAAAAAGAATATCGATACAATAATAAAATACCGTCTATAATAAAACAAAGTAGCATTTGGAAAATGAAAATGCTACACCTTACTAGAATATTACTTATATGATTCTGTCATATTGCAGGTAGTCTACTGGAACAAAGCATGTATTTCTTGGCTGATGGACTAGCCAGTGGAGCCTTAATCGCCAGATACGAAATGCTGTACAGGAAGCATCCGGATCTAACCTGTAACGAAGCTTTAAAATCGAACAATATTAACAAAAACCGGTATCGTGATATTTTGCCATGTTAGTGAGATTTTATAAAGTATAGTATGCAATATAATACATTTTTTTTGGTGTATTTTCAGATGATCAAACCAGAGTTGTTCTAACTAACGGACCTAATGGTGATTACGTTAACGCTAATTTTGTGGAGATGGTCATACCCAACAGCGATATTAGAAATAGATATATAGCGACGCAAGGTATGATTTAACTTTGTTTTTTGATATAAACTGTATATTTTGATGAAAATATCACTTTTTTTTATAAATACCCACTTCAAACCTAACCAAGAATCCTTATTTTTCCTCTTTTTTTTGTTAGGTCCTTTACAGTCTACAACGGAGGACTTTTGGCAAGTGGTTTTGGAACAAAGGTGTAATTTAATAATAATGCTGACGACCATCATCGAAAAGGGCAGAGCGAAATGTTACAAGTACTGGCCCGGCGTGGGCGAAGTACTTACCATGCAGAACGCAATAGTTAAGTGTACCAAGGAGGAAACCGACGAATCTGGCAGCTTTATTTTCCGCGATTTCACGATAATTGATGTGAAGGTAAGAGATATAGATATTTTCAATTACTTCCTATTGTTTAGTCTGTTCTGTGTTTTTGATATTATCATAAGAAACACATACTGGAATCACAAAGGTTTTCTCAGAACAGAAAAAGGAAATACAAGATATGTAGACATACAAAGAGGTGTTAGACAGGGATGCATATTGTCACCATTATTGTTTAACGTTTATGCCGACTATATAATCCGAAAATCTCTTCAAAATTGTCCAGAAGGGGCTAAAATAAATGGAAAAATTATACACAATATATGATACGCAGACGACACCGTGGTATTAGCAGAATCCGAAGACCAGCTGCAAACCCTAATGGACAAACTGACTGAAGAAAGTATCAGGATGAGTCTAGAGATTAACACCGTCAAGACAAAAACTATGATTTTTGGTTTGGCTAACACAGTCTCTTTTTTTCGCCCATAGTTTTAGAAGAGCTTCGCAGTACAATTAATACCATCAAAAATAAATCCTCTTCTGGGACCGACGGGCTAACTTTAAAAATGTTTGCGAATCTGCCAGAAAGCACTCTGAATCACCTAACAACTTTAATAAACATATCGTTCCAAAATGGTATTTTTCCAAAATGTCTTAAGACGGCAATAATCATTCCTCTGCATAAAGGAGGAGACAAAGATGAAGCTTTTAACTATCGCCCAATTGCACTCCTTCCAACGCTATCTAAGATCATAGAAAGGTTGGTTAAAAGAAGGCTGGTATCTTTTCTGTTTAAGTACAAAATACTTAGTGAATATCAATTTGGATTTCTAAGCAACAAAAGACATCAAACGCCTTAATGCGTTTGAAATGTGGATGTATCGTCTGATGCTGAGGGTAGGTTGAACCTCCAGAACAACAAATTGTGAAGTTTTAAACAGAATGAAAACTCGTGCACACCAATTAAAATCAAAATGTCTTCCTTGGACCTTGGACATATAATGCGGCACTCGGAATGTGAAGAAATACAGCTCATAATAGAAGGGAAAATCGATGGAAAAGGTAGCATAGGGAGGAAAAAGCAATCATGGCTACATAACATAAGAGATTGGACCCACACCGACGGAAACTCTACCTACAACCTAACCTAACCTAACATTTTTTCTATCGGGACGACATGAATTTTTCTATTTATTTCAGCAAAATTTATAAATACATATAATCTGTCCAATGAGGTTGACATATCTATTTTTTTTCCAGAACAATCAGGAATCTTGGATAATAAAACACATGCAGTACATCGCATGGCCAGACCACGGAGTACCCGACTCACCACAGCAGTTCCTCAGGTTCACCAGGAGCGTTAGAGAGCACAGAGTCGCAGACGTACCTGTTATCGTGCACTGCAGCGCCGGCATAGGCCGTACCGGAGTGCTGGTACTGATGGAAACCGCCCTTAACCTGATAGAAGTAGGCGAACCCGTGTACCCGTTAGAGATAGTGAAAGTGATGAGGGAACAGCGTGCTATGATGGTTCAAAATGCTGTAAGTAGTTTTTTCGATTTTTTTTATTTTTTACATACTATTTCAAAATATCCCACTTCTGATGATGTCAATCAATCAATTGCTGTATTCTACAGAGCGATTGACACTGACTAAAATAGTTGGCAATGCTGTGTTAGAGGATTTTAAGATTAGTAATTGATACTAATGCTAAAACAAATTATCCATCGAAAATTTTTAGCAAATTATATCTTCATTGAGGTCAGTTTATTTCGCTTTGTTATTTGTGAAATCGGCATAAACATATATACATTCAGAAAAATTTTTGTTTGCAATTAGTGGAATAAATTTAGTTTCAATTATACTTTATACTTTTTATTTTACGATCATTCACATTGTTTAAAATATGCAATTAAAATTAATAGAATATTTTAGCAACAGCTTGCGTTAAGCTTGATTTTCATGCATCCGTTGTCCGACGATACGTTGATAGATATTAATTTTATTGGTAGAATTCAAAGACTTTGATTGGTTAGAAAACAACGCAGTTTTTAAATTGGTGTCAAGAACGGTAAACTAATAGGATTGCTCATCCCATAGATTTAGTAAGAACAGATATCACATTAGACATTTTAACCCGATCAAACAATCGGAGGTTGACTACGTACTGTAAAAACCAACTGAGATAGAGAAGGCGACATTGCCGCATCTCAAATTTGCGTCTCTCCTCGGTTGCCGACATTGCCGCATCTCCTCAATTTGATTTGCAGAAAAGGTGACTTTAAAACCTTTACTGGATATCAATAAATCTCAATTTCTTAATTAAATTAATAGTTTATTTTTAAAGAAGCATGCGTAATAATATGTTATTAACCAGAGGATATATGCGTTACTATTAAAGGACATGTTTACTGTTTAATGTGCTGAAACGTCTAGAACTATTGGCAACGTCGCTGCTAGTCTTCCAGAATGAAATGAGCCGTCCATCCCACCACCCCTCGCGACGGCCCTTGGTTCGTTATAGCGTACTACGTTTAGCTTGCGGTGTGTTTGAAGTCGGAATCAAGACGAAAGTGAACTTTCAGTGTTTTTAGGTGGTTTTTGTTTTTGTTTGACGTACTTTTGAATCTGCGAATTCAGTATGGTACGACAGTGTCAAGTGTGTGGAAAAATAAGCTCAAATTACCCGAATTTGTCTTTTCACAGGTGGGTATTGTTTTCGTCATTGTACATAGGCGTCCCACAAGGGAGCCTCTCACAATCAAAATAATTTCTAATTATATTTGTAATTAATCCATTAAAACAAGAACGTAGTAGTCAGTAATTGAATTATAATTCGTCTCAATGACTACCTAACTGTTGTAGATCATTATAAATTTGAATATAAACGTTGCATTTGAAATTTTATTATAAGCCAGAAAGTGACATTTTTTCTTAAAATTGCGTCATTTCTGGTCATTATATACGATATTCTAAAGGAATTTTGCTCAACAAATAAACAAAGGTGTTACCCGACCTTTTTTACATTTTATTGCTTTATTATATCTGCCCCTTCGGCCTTGTTTAGACAATTTTTTACCACTGTACAAATACCTCTTCCTAGAGTTATTTGTACGGTGTGTTTACCTTTTTTTTTGGAATGGGACGAATTGTAAATAATTCTTAGGCTACTAGTTTTATACATACCTATATACAGAGTGACCCAGGCCTCCAAAAAAGCTTTTTACCTATTATTACTAGCTGCTCTCGCCACCTAGCACTCGCCATAGTAGTACGTTTTGTACTTAAATGCTATTTTCTGCTTTTATGCTTTTCGTTTGTCGGATTGAGTGTTACAGCAAAGACGGCCTGACGATGGAGATAAATCTCCGAAACCGGTCGTCGAATGGCTGTTCCCTTCAGTCTGATGAACTTAATGCAGAGAATAAGCATATATGTAGGGGTTAGGCCTTAATAATTTTTTGCTTCTTGTATTTTGTTTATTTATACATACCCTACCAAGCCTTGAGCTCCATCTACGGTAACGTAGATGAAGCAAACGTAATTCATTATTATGCGACAGAAATCCCATACTGTAGGAGCACAGGTTTGATACTTTTAATGAATCAATTTTCAATTTTCTCATTAAATATTGATTTTAGGTATAGAATGTTATTAATAATACAAGATTAAACAACTATTACACAGTACTTGGCAGGAAACTATCGATTGCGAACTAACTAAATCGTTACTAATTACTAATTTTGAAGTTCTTTTTAAGATCAAAAATGGTAAAACTAAAACCTAAACTATCATTTCAGATTAAACGGGAAGTTCTAAATAATGTTGCCTATTCTAAACAAGAAAAAATTATTTATAAGTTTTATAACATCTCTAATTAAATTTGGACGAAAAGAATATTTCTGTTTGCTGTAGGTAATTTTCTCAGGGAAAATACGAAAATAAAAATGACTTTTTAAGTCAAAAAAGTCAAAAGGACAAGTTATTCCAAAAAAGGACTATCCTTTTCAAAAAAGGACAGATAGCAACCCTAGGTATTTCTGGAATGGAAATTTAATGGCAAATCTACAACTTTAGTTTGAAAATATGTTCCGGTCACCTATGTTTACAAAAATGTCTAAAATGTGCTTTACCATTGCCTCCATAATCTGAAAAAAAAATGAAAGAAATGTCACCAACCACAAACCTAATATAGAACTGTTTTGGAAGCCTGAGTCACCCTGTGTATATTCAAAAGTAACTGAAAGTTTATATAGAAGTAACTGAAAGTTTATATAGAAGTAACTGAAAGTTTAAATTGAAAATCGACGTTGGAGCGATTTTCGAAAACCACCTACGAACGTTTCAACATAGGTATATGTGGGATATTAATCATATTATTATATTAGACCTTATAACAAAACTCATCTGACAAAAAAGTGTTAATGTAGTATATTAATATGGAGTATAAATTTTACTAATTAATTTACTTTTACTTTACTAATTAAATGCTTTCCAAAAAACGATACGCCACTGGCCATTAGAACAATCGAAATGCTCCTAGTTGCCGGGGTCGGAAATGTTAGATTTCTCTGTCTCTTCTGTCCTTGTTTGACACATTGGAATGTTTGATACACTACCAACGAGTATTTATGAATGAGATGTTCGGTCTATCTTTATAATGTCTTTGGCTCATCCTCATAAGACGTACGTTCGCCTCTTCCCGCGCTTCAGCTGACAGTTGTGACGTCATTGTAGTCCTTGTCAAAGCCTTTGTGGTCTTGTCATGATAGTGTGTATTATTAGTTGCCTATGGTAAACTTATAAAAATAACAGCAGAGAAATTTTGAGTTAATTATTTTGTCAATTTTAAATGTGAAAAAGGTGTCTTCAAAAGTTTTTAGAACTACAGAGTGTATAAATACGTTCATTTTGTGTTGTGGATTGTGACAAAGTGCATACTAAGTGCCCACGATTTTGTTTATTAATTATTTTAAAGCAAAATATGGAAGTACTCTAAAAAGAATGCTTGCAAAAGGTGATGCTGGGAACTGCTGTTCTTAAAAATGCATTATCCGAGTATTTAATACGATTTATACAGTTAATTTTCTATACTGCATACATATACGGTGTTTAAATAAATAAACTAAATAATGAACGTTTTGCATTCGGCAACCAATAATGCACGTGTATGTATTATTGGTTGCCGGATAAGGACTAATAACCATGACAAGGCCTACAATGACGTCACAAAGCGAGTAGTTTTCGCATGCACCTGGCGGACACTTTTGGCTGAATGAGCAGTCCTATTAGGTTAACTGTTCTTGCGTTGGTGTTATTTTATATTTTCGCTTCCATAACGATTTTGCTATTTTACTTATATTTTTATTAAGGTTAAATTAAATTTGTCAAAAAAGTGTCAAAACGTCCGTTATCGTATGAACGGATCCGTTGACAGGCTGAAGTAAAATATTTACGGATGAAAAGTGGCGCGAAAACGCTATGACCAATCAGAGCACCGTCGGACCATCGTATCAACGTATAACGGATGCACGAAAATCAAGCTTTAGTCAGTTGTATCCATAAAAAAAACTAATATTTAGCTTATAAAACAATCAACTTTTGATTTCTAACCACAATTTCTCTTGACGGAAGATATCAAAGGCCAAAATGACATTTCGCGCAAATTTTGAAGTAGAATTAGTGGAAAAGTTAAAAGTTTGTTAACTTTTTCTACTAATTGAAAATGTCTACCATTAATTTTGACGTTCTGAATGACATGGAAATTAAAGTAACAAACTTCTACGCTAATTGAAACCACTAATTTATTCTTCTAATTTCGAGGTTCTGAGTAAAGCTTTAGGGTAAAAAAGGCCCTTCAATTAACCCTGTACTGGGCCTATGAATGGCATTGATTAACCTTGTTTAGCCATTTTATCTGCCTTAAGCCTTAAATTACTAAATTTAACTTTTTTTGCAAGCATTTGAACTTCCCTTCTATTTCTCTACAATTTTGTATTATAATAAAACATTTTTGTTTTCAATTTCAGAGTCAATATAGATTTGTATGCGAGAGTGTACACGCAGCTTATATAGAAAGTACAGCCGCCAAGAAGGATCAGCACGAGAAAAAAGACTAACACAAAACACAATGCAACGTCGTCTATCTAATAGTCGACGTACCAGATTTAATTTATTTTAATACGATGACGATTAACCGACAAAAATGAATTTTAGATAACTCTACATAAGCTGTTTTAAATATTTTATTAAATAAAACAAATCTCTTTTACTAACGACAGTGTTTTATTTATTAAGGAAAGTAACAAATATAAATATTTTAAATATAAAATAATGTGAGGTATGTAGGAACTAGTGGAATGTTAGGTTAGAATCATATTTTGGTGACAGTGCTGACTGCAAGTCATGTCTATTCTGTGGTGTAATTGGAGTCATTTTGTTTCAGTGGATATGTGTTTAGAATATTACATATTATACAATTACATGTTGATGGATATACAGAGAAGACCAGGCTACTAGTAACATAGCAAGTTGCCGGACGAATTTACGTTTACCCGTTTTGCGTTCGTACTCGAGAGTCACTGCCGGCTAGTCGGCTGGTCAGGCAGTAAACAGTTGCAGTTGTGCTTGGACTGGTCGGTCGTGACAGACTAGGAATATGACGCGAGGAGTGCCGAGTATTTATTATTTTCATTTTAAGAGTTTACCTTCACTTAAGGTAACATTTAAAATAAAAATACTTAAATCTTTATTATTTGAGTGTGTTTACAAGCCAAAACTAAAAATAAATAAATTCTCTAAACCCCCCCAAAAAAATATAATATTACTCTAAATAAAAAAAGTTATAACAAGTGTTCAAAAAGACCACCTTCTTGTGCTAGACAGAAGCCTAGGCGGTCGTAAAATCCCCGTCTAACATTGGCTAACATATTAGGGCTAATAGTTTGGAAATCCTCTCGTATTTTTACTTGCAGCTCATCCAAATTATTAGCCCTATTATGACCATACACTTTGGATTTTACATAACCCCACAAAAAGAAATCATTGGGACAAAGATCTGGTGATCTAGCGGGCCACAAAATAGTTTCATATCCACTAATTAAACGGTTGGGAAAAGTATTGTTCAAATATTCTTGAACAATACGGGCATTGTGGGCAGCTGTCATGGGCAGGGCAACCAGCTCAGCAATTTGATTACTTGAAAACGTGGGATTTTGATCTGCGGTAGCACAAACGAACACTTGCTTTAACTCCTGTTCTTCATTAATCAACACATCAGGCTTTTTGTGTTTTTTGGGGACACGCACCCATGTGTTTCAAAATTATTAATAACTCTTGATATAGTAGATAAAGATGGAATTGGCCTATTTACATAAGTTTCTGGAAAAATTGTTTGTATATCCCGATAAGACCTATTTTGGAAATACCATTTTACAATTTGAATTTTCTCACGAACTCCATAAACATCCATTATTTTACTTAAAAAATAAATTTTACACGAGAACTGTCGCGAGAATCTACGTATTCGTTTTGGCTATTAAAACACGAATAAATACAAATTCTGAAACATTCTTATCACATATCGACCTATTTTTATTTTATCGCATTTTTTCGCCTGCTTTTTATCCGGCGGACGGGTACACGCTAATTCGTCCGGTTCTGCTTACGTTACTACTACGGTGCGGTGGTCCGGTCTGTATACAACTATCTAATTGACAAAAATTAGGAGTTAAATATCTAGCCACACAGTATGAAGATTTGTATACACTGATTGTAATATGATGCCTTTCTATATAATAGGTATATCATACTACTGACACTTATTTCTATATAGCTTAAACTAAATTCTGAATCGGAGGTCTGCATGTTGGTAATGTCTCATTACACTCTGACTGATTACGGATTTCTCTATTTTCTGATGTAGCGTCACTTACAGCTGAAAACTAACAGCAAATAATATAAATACACAAACTAACTTATATAATAGTGGTAATTATAAATTTCTGATGTATAGAGGCCTACACCAAAGCCTACACTAGCCATATACATTGAAAACCCAACAAGCAAAATTTCAGTGCAGCAACATTGCCGAAACTTAGCAAAGCAAGATACAATATTTTTTATTTAAAAAATGGTCAAGTTTCCGAAAAAACGCGGAAAAACTCTTAAATACTGTTAAGGTCAAGGTGTATTACTGGTTGCATAACCGCAACGGTGCATTAATGAACCTGGCGCATTCGCCAGAAAGTAAAGAAAATTATAGAATTCTTTAGAAAAATCTAGAAACAACCGCCAGGGGGTATATAAGGCCCGCGCTTTGACAGTTGGAAAGTTTAAAGTTTGAAGTCTGAAGATAGTCTGAAGTCTGAAGTTTGAAAATACCGCGAAATACCGTTAGAGTAATAGTAGTTGCATAAGTTGTATTGTAAATAGTATAAGTTGTGTGTACAGAGTGAAACAAATAAATTTGTTAAGTATTTTATCGTGAGTTTAAATAGTGGACCCACGGAATCCGTAACAATTGGTGTCGGAAGTGCGATTCAAGAGGATTTTAAGAAGAAATTAAGTGGATTGGAAGATTTTTGGACCGGATTAGAGTATTTTTATGGTTGGTACAAGGGAACAAGCGAAGAAAATGGAGGAAGTAAGCAAACTATTAGGCGATTTTATGGAGAATATGAGAAGAGAAAAGGCAGAAGAACAAGAGAAGCTGCGAAAAGAGAAAGCAGAAGAACAAGACCGCCTACTGAAAATTCTGGAAAATCAAGACAAAATTTTCGAAGATTTGAAAATTCAACGACAACAAGACAAAGAAGAAGAACAGGACCGGCTTGAGAAAATTTTAGAAGATATGAAAATTCAACGACAACAAGACAAAGAAGAAGAACAGGACCGGCTTGAGAACATTTTCGAAGATTTGAAAATTCAACGACAACAAGACAAACAAGAAGAACAGGACCGGCTTGAGAGAATTTTTGAAGATTTAAAAATTCAACGACAACAAGATAAACAAGAAGAACAGGACCGACTTGAGAAAATATTAGGTAATTTAGAAATTCGTTTGGAGGAGCGACGTCATAGAGAAAGACAAGAAGATCAAAATCGTCTTAAAAAGAACTTCGAAGATCTGGAAAAAAGACAAGAAATACACCTTCAAGAAGCCGTAGAAGATCTGGAGGAGCGCCTTCAACAGAAAATGGAAAAATTAGAGAAGGACCTACAGAAGACCAAGGCACAAGCAAGGACACCTGGCGTTCCTGGAACTGCAAACCTCAAGGCCCCGACCTACGATGGACAAACCACCTGGACGATGTACCACCGCCAGTTTGAAGCAGCCGCCGCTGCCAACGGATGGTCCGACCAGGACAAAGCAGCGGCACTTGTCATCGCGCTGCGTGGCCCTGCCCTGGAACTGTTGCAAACTATTCCTGCAGCCCAACAGCAGGAATACCAAACTTTGGTCGCTGCACTGGACAGAAGATATGGCGACCAACATCGACGTCAACTTTACCAGGCCCAGATCAAGACACGCATGCAGAGGTCCGGAGAAAGTCTGCAGGAATTTGAAGCAGACTTACGTCGGCTGGTACACCTAGCGTATCCTGAAGCACCGGAAGGATTTAGGGAGGAACTCGCTGCTCAGTGCTTTATCAGCGGACTGAGGGACAACGAATTATAGAGGGCGCTGCAAATATCCCGATTTTCTACCAGCAGCGAAGCACTGGTCAGGGCGCTAGAAATTGAAGCTGCTTTTAGCGCCATCCCTAGACCGAAGATAAGATCGGTAACGGTCGAGGAACATCCCGGAAGTTCTCACATACGTTTGGAGGAGATGTTTAGTAAACTATGTGAGTTACTAGTGAACAAGGGAGTCAACAACACCCAGACAGAGAACCAAAGAAGATTCCAGGATATGAGGTGCTATGGATGCGGCAGGAATGGCCACATCAAACGGGATTGTCGCATCCAAATGCGATTCCTTTCACCATCCAGAGAACATCGGCACATCGGAAGATCCCAGGACATAAGTTGCTATAGATGTGGCAGGAATGGCCACATCAAACGGGATTGCCGCGTCCAAATGCGATTCCGTTTACCATCGAGAGAACATAGGCACCAGGAAATCAACACTAATGAGCGAGTATTGGCTGAAGAAAACAGAGCCCCTAGGATGCTTTCCGTTAGGAGTCTAGGAAAAACCGCTGACAGTTTGGTGATCAACGGGAAAGTCAATGGTAGAAGAATTCGAATGACTGTGGACACAGGCGCTATGGTATCGTTGGTGCGGACTAACTCAGTGCAAGGATTGAAGATGATGCCTCTTAGAAGAAGAGTGTATTTACGTACAGTTACGGGGGAAATGGCCGTTGTACGGGGAGAGGCTTTCATGGAATTGGAGTTAGGGAATTTCAAGTTTCGGCATAGCGTTTTAGTGGCAGACATTGAAGATGATTTTATCATGGGTATGGATGTGATCAGTCAACATGGTTTTTCGTTTGATCACCATAGAAACATCCTGAAAATCGGAAATGAGGAATTTTCTGTATCTAAAGAGAAGAGACCAGGAAATATGGAAGAAAGATCATCGAAAATTGTGATGATACCTGGTGATACCAAGAAGACTGTGTTCGGGAAACTAGAGAAACCGTTGGTGCCGTGTAGGACGGGTACAAATTATCGACAACGAGCCAGATCGACGACGAGCTACTTTGGGCAAGAAAATGAAACATCGCGAAAGCACTATCAGAGTAAGGAATTTTAAACTGAGAACTGACGAACAATGGACGACGATACAGTTGAGGAAAGATCAAATGGAAGATCCAGACATCGGAGCAATACTACGGCTCAAGGAAGGTAACGGCGAGAGACCACCGTGGCAGGATATTGCGGACAGAGGGCTCGTTTTCAAAGCTCTCTGGGCTCAGTGGAATTCACTGGTGATTGAGAATGGATTGATAAAGCGCACGTGGGAAAGTGCGGATGGCAGGACAGTAACAACTCAGTTACTGGTACCAAGGAAGAAAGTCACCCAGGTATTGGAAGAAATTCACGGTGGTAAAACTGGAGCCCATCTTGGAGTAAACAAGACCTTGAGTAAGCTGAGAGACCGTTTTTACTGGGTGGATTATTGCGAAGATGTTAAGAAATGGTGTCAACGTTGTAAGATTTGCGCAGCTAGACAAAGACCAAGTACTCGATCTGGGGAAGAAATGGAACAGGATAGCGTTGGACTGTCGTTCGAAAGAATCGCTAGGAAGGAAAGATTATTGGACATTCATAAGGCCGTTAGAAGTAAGATTGCGCTAGCCAGTGACCGGATGAAAGCTCATTACGACCTCAGAGCTAATTCTACGGGATTTCAACAGGACGATAGGGTATGGTTGTATAACCCACAGCGCAAGAAAGGAAGGTCCCCAAAGTTAACTCCAGCATGGGAAGGTCCTTATACAGTCATCAAGAGGATAAATGATGTTGTGTACCGGATTCAGCGCAGCCCTAGAAGTAAGATGAAAGTAGTTCATCTCGATCGATTGAAGAGATACCAGACAGGAAACCTTGATCGGGACGATCAAATTTGAGAAGGGGGCAATGTTAAGGTCAAGGTGTATTACTGGTTGCATAACCGCAACGGTGCATTGATGAACCTGGCGCATTCGCCAGAAAGTAAAGAAAATTATAGAATTCTTTAGAAAAATCTAGAAACAACCGCCAGGGGGTATATAAGGCCCGCGCTTTGACAGTTGGAAAGTTTAAAGTTTAAAGTTTGAAGTTTGAAGTCTGAAGATAGTCTGAAGTCTGAAGTTTGAAAATACCGCGAAATACCGTTAGAGTAATAGTAGTTGCATAAGTTGTGTTGTAAATAGTATAAGTTGTGTGTACAGAGTGAAACAAATAAATTCGTTAAGTATTTTATCGTGAGTTTAAATAGTGGACCCACGGAATCCGTAACAATACGTTTATTTTAATTTGTTGTTTTACATATTTTAAGATTTTTTAAAAATTTGTACAGAGTGTTTCATAAAATATGACCATTGAGTAATCACGATTCTGCTTAAACTGCTTGACGTTTAAAACTGATTTTTGGCAAACGGATTGACTGTGGGGTGTAGAGGTTCGATAAGGAGGGGTTTCTCGAATCTCAAATTCCAAGAGGGTGAAAACGCCCTTCAAATATTACAATATTTGTTATTTAAGGTTAGTCTTTCGGGAAAACGCTTGGACACGAATAATTTATTTTGTTTTTTTCACATATTTTGAATTTTTTTAAAAAATCATACAGGGTGTTCCAAAAAGTTGGGTAAGTGATTAACCACGATTCTGCTTAAACTGCTTAACGTAAAAAGCTTATTTTTGGCAAACGGATTTTTTGAAAGTCAAATTCCAAGGAGATGAAACTACCCCTCAAATATTACCAAGTTATATAATAATATCGCCATATTGTTTTTTCTGACATAAATGTGAAAATTTTTTATCCAGTTTGTATGTTAATGGAAATGCTTGCTTTGCTTTATCATCACCATTACGAATGATTAATTCGACGCGAAGGAAGTCGCGGGTACACGCTATAGTTATTTATACTTTACCTTGGTGTGTCTTTGACTCATTGAATTGAACGTAGATCCTCTCGTTTCAGATAAAAGACCTGATCTAGGCCATTTAGGCTTTATGCAACACAAATATCTATTGAAGTAGGCTCTGAACACCCCGCTTACGCAATACAAAGCCACAGGATTGACACACGAATTCAGGAAACTGAAATAAATATAATTTAAATAAAAAATAAACCTTGTCAAAAAGATATTGTATCAGATTTACCTTAAGCAAAATCCAAGTATTCTCATTACATGCCACCACTCATTATAATCATCCTCTGCGGTAGGTGTTAAATGGAACCATAGCATAAATACGTGCTGAGGTAGGAAGCAAATGAAGAATACTGGAAAATAAAATGCTTTAAACGCGTCTAAAACAATTATATTAAAAGATAATGTAAATGTATATAATCTGTCAAGTGAGAGAATACGAGTATATGATTTTGACGGACAATATCCATCCTATATTTTATTGACCTTTTATTATTAAATGTTATATTTATTTAATATTAGGTAATCACTTGAACTAAAATTTTGTTATGGTTTATACTTCACCCTTTTGTTATTAAGAATAGTAATGTTTAAAGTTCGAAATTATTTAAAATGAGAAGTTAAAAGCGTTGGATAAAATCTACCCAAAGAGTCAGGGAAAAATCTACAGGCGACTTCCAAAAATTACAGAAAATACAATTTATATTGACTAAATAATACAAGGACACGTAACGCCCAGAGTCATCAGCTGGTCATCAACGACAATTTTAGCGATTTTTAATGGTTTGTGTAGTGAACTTTGTATAAACTTTATTACAATGATGATTAGTTGTTCAGCTTTCAAGTGCAAAAGCCGCAGCGATAAGAAAGAGCCAGGAGTTACCCGTTATTGGTAAAAAACAGTCCACTCCACCTTTTTAGCGTTTTCTTATTTTTCTTATTGGGTTCGATAATTATTATTTTTCTGATAATATATGTACTTGATATGGGCTTACTAGGTTTGTGCCTTTTGTTAACATTTTAATACGTTTTTTTTTGCACCATAGACGTAGTCAAAACATTAATTAAAAATATAAATATCTCATCAAGCAGCTAAGTTAAGAAAAATATATGCCACGGCACTGTTTGGTGACATCGTAACAATTTGGTCTCGGGTATTATTAGTCCTTGTATTCTTTAGTCATTGACAATTTATTCAATCCTGTGAAATAAAATCACAGAGACACAAATGTAACTGCCATGTATTCTTTCGTTGGGCAGACTTTAGTGGGGTGTTGAATGATTTTGTATGACTAAAACACCTTATAATCAAACTTGAACATTAGTGGATATTTTTTATAGGAAATTATTTTAAAATTCATTTTAACTGACAATGCTCAAATCTGTCTGGATGATAACATTTTTGATCGTGTTGTAGATATTTTTATATCTACAACTATCCAGTGTAACGGGATTTGTAACAATAGTATTTAATTTTAAAAAATGTCTATACCTATGTGGCGGATTCATCTCTCCAAAAAAATCCTTTATGGGTATTTCGCCAATGCACTGCAAGGAAATCTACAAAATAAAATAGTTATTTTTTGTAAACACTTCTGGCGTTAAACCTAAACGGACACTGCTTGTCAGAAGTTATGTTTACAGTTATACAAATTTGCCTAACAAAGAAAAAAATGCTTAACGTTTCGGAAAGTTTTTTTTTCTTTGTTAGGCAAATTTGTATAAATGTTTACAAAAAATAGCTATTTTATTTTGTAGATTTTCTTGCAGTGCAGTGGCGAAATACCCATAAAGGATTTTTTTTGGAGAGTATTTAATTTTAATATCACAATTTATGTATATATGATTAACACATTGTTAAAAATAGAAAAATAAGTCTATTATTTTTTTTATTATAAAAGGTTATAAAATTACCTTTTATTTTATATACAAGGTACCGTATGATGAAACGGTACGAATGAAAAAAAATGGCATCAAAAACGGCTAGGGCTTGATCTTTGAATAAAAAAGATTAAGGAAAGAGTATAATGCTATCCATGAGGATGGAGAGCTGGCCCCCGTGGATCCGTCTCAGATACTGGCTTTTATTAAAGCCCCGAGACTGTATGATGAGTTATAACTCAAGAAAGGGGAACACACAATAGATCTGTAAGGTCGCGGTTATAACTCCCCTCCTTAACATTCTACATTCTATTGCTATCCATGTATTCATGCATGGTAGACGGGCAAAGGGCTCTAGGGTGGGGATCCTTGACAGTTCTGTTTCACGATTCATTTGACATATTTGAATTTGATTTGAAATTTTGTGGATTTGTCACTCTATCTATTGAGCTTATTTTATGTTATTTATTTTTTATTCTACTTCTGATAGTTGTTTAAAGGTAGTAAATTTAGAAGGAAATTGTGGCAGAACTTAAATTAATAATAACACTATTGCGATTGATCGAAAAAGACTGTAAAATAGTTGGTTGTGTAGCGTGCAGTAGATCTCAGTCAAAAATCGAGGGAAATAATGGAATAACTTTTCGCTATTAAGTGACTATAGCACAGATAGTAGTCTGCCCAACGATAAAATCCTTGACAGTGATAGATGTGTCTGTCATTTTAATTTCAGTCTAGTTTATTTTAATTTACAAAGAAATAAGTTGGTACAATTGAAACGTATTAACGTAAACTTACAGAAAACGAATATTAGTACCATCCTGGCTACATGCTTTCTGGATTTGACTTGGGCACTGCCATGAGTACTTCTTCCTTCCCCTGGAATATCGTTGGCGCTATTATGAAGCCGAATGGCCATCAAGACGTAAAAGAAGGCTATAATAGTCAAAGGGACCAAATAGTAAATCAAGGACTTGGAGACGACGTTGTATTGCTTGTACATAGTTTCGGTGGCGTTGTCCGGGAATGACGGGAATGGATAGCAAAAAATGATTGTCTTATTACTAAAAAAATAAGAGGACAAATAATATAGAGAGTTTCTATAAGATCTATTAAAAAAATATCACGTTTTTGTTAGCAATCTACAGAGTAGGTTACATACACAGTATTAGGCTATACACAGAGTAGGTATCCTGTTTTGTTGAAAACAATTCTGTTTTTTTGCCATAGGAAGAAAATCTACAGAATAATAAAAAATTGTGTGTGCACATATTTGAAGTAAAACTTGTCCGTCTGTCTAGCTGTCTCTGTCTGTTTGTCTGTCTGTCTCTCTCTTTGTCTGTCTGTCTGACTGTTTGACTGACTGACTGACTGACTGACTGACCGTCCGTCTGTTCCTCAAAACAGCTAGATTCTATCTTTATACCTACTAATGAGTCAAGTACTTCTCATTTGCAACCAAAAATGGGACACTTTGTACAGTGTGGCTCGAATTCGACGCTTATCATTGGGATTTCGGAAACCGTAAGAGATACAGGATCGGTTAAATGGAGGCAAAGTTGCGCAATTTGATGCTCAATAAAATGCCGTATTGCATTTTTATTTTTTATCTTTTTTTTTGCATAAAATATTCTGGTGATGGAATTTTCTGTACGAAACGTTGGCAAATATCAAAGTGACTATATATAGTGTTTTAAGAGTGATGAAAGGATTTAATTAAATTGAAAAAATTAGGTCCGTATTTAAAAAAATTAAGTTGATGATGGTCGCCAGAAGCCGAAACATCAGAGTCAATATTTAATCACACAGAGTTATAGAGCAGGAAAAGTGGCCATGAAAATGTGTTTTTCATTTTAAGTTATCTTAACAAATAAAGCCAGGAAAAAATAGAAAACAAAATTGAAAATTCCGTTTTTTTTCGAATATATTCGGAATTTTTCAAAATGCAATACGGCATTTTATTGAGCATCAAATTGCGCAACTTTGCATCCATTTAACCGATCCTGTATCTCTTAGGGTTTCCGAAATCCCAATGATGTGTGTCGAATTCGAACCACCCTGTACACGCTACAAACACGTTTTATGGTTTAAGAAAAATCAAATTTTATGCAGATAACTTATTATCTATGAAAGCTAAATTTCAATTCATAATAGTAAAAAACAGCGAACTTTTGGTATTTTTAGAAAGAAAATAAAGTTATGGCAAATCGCTTAAGAGGAAAACAAATACGTAGCTGAAAATTAGCTTATAATTAAAAATTCATTTCCAACGCGACCGCTTTCTGATTAAAAGGAAATTTCTTCCCAGAGCCTGACATAAATAAAGAAAAAAACGACTTCAATAAAGTTCAATTTGTATCTTTTTTTTCTTATAAAATAGACGAAGTTTGTTAAAAATTTAAAAAATGGATATAAGAAATGTTGAAATATTGCGGTAGTAATTATTTTTTATTAGATTTTTACTTAACTCGTGTAAACTAGAAGAAGGATGCGAAGAAATACTTTGGTCAAAGAATTTATAAATATAAATCAACTTTTTTCTCTGTAATATTCAATTAATACGCCCAAGCAGCATTTGGACGTCAGGACAACGTTGTGTCACGCGACCAAACGTCGGAGCGCAACGTCGGCACAACCTCGTGCCAACCCTAGTCTGCACTAGTTTGGAGAATAATTTTTGGGTCGAAACGATGTTGGATACCGACGTTGGCTAGCAGCCTAATTTAGTACAAACTGCAACAAATAACACAAAACTATAATAATATGGCGTCTAAGTCGCGTTTTATCCTAAATTGGGATAATTATAGAAAAATATTATTTTTACGATTTAGTTAGAGACATATGTCAGATGGCAGTGAAGGAAAACAAAACAAAAGTATTTAAGTGTGGAGGATGTTTGAAGATCATAATTATTGAAACACTTTAACCGACTCTGTAACTCGTTACCCAAGGCAAAAAAATTAAACGCAAACAACTTTATTGATAAATGTATTGTTTCTACTTTGAAAAATACTAATGGGCCTTAAAATTAAAGAAGTTTTAAAAAATTTTCTTGAATTTCTTTTTTAGTAAAAATGAGAATAATTTATTCGCAGTCGAAAAAATTGTTTCCGCGTGTTGTTTAGGGTCAAATATTTCAAGTTAATGTATTCAAAAAGCAGGAATTGCTATTTTAGGAACGAAACATTTTCTTATTCAACAACATGGCGGCTTTCACTTTGTTGTTTTGGAGATTAAGATGGAGTAGTTCGAGTAGTCGCATGGTAGTCGCATCCTGGACTAAAACAGTCGCAGTTCAGCCTTAACAGGTAGTATACTAGTCGCAAGATTGCCTAATTTAGTCATCCTAGAGTCTAGCTTGTGCCGCCCTCTATATTCTAAATAAACGAGGGAGTGGATAAGTATCGGCAATATGTCGATGTATATTTAAATTTAGTTTTATATGTACCTTTGTTATGTCCCATTTTAATTAAGTTTTTTGTATAAACACAAAAACAGCACTGAACTGTCTGACTGAACAGAACAATGAAGTGAAAATTTAAGATTTAAGGTTATGGTTCAATACAGTTGCAAAAAGGTAGTGGCTCGACGTCCTACCAATGTAAGAATAAGGAAATCTAAACAACGTTGGAATTAGTAAAACAGACGACGCGCGACGTTTGCATAACGTTGGAATCGGTCCTGAAAGTGACGTCGGAAAACTCTTTATTGCCCAAGATTGTAACTACGTTTTCCCAATCACCTAAAGATCACTTAAGCAAAAAGGTTACAAGACAACGTTTATTCGACGTCGCAGGAGCTTTTACTTTGTTGTAGTACTAGTTCAACGTCGGCATAACGTTACAACAACGTTTACATTTATTTTAATAGCCAAGGTACGGAGCTAACTATTTTTTGTAACTAATCCAACGTTGTGTTTAATAAACATATGGTCGCAAGTCGTGAAAATGCTACTTGGGCGGTTTCATAATAGATACACATTGTTATTCGTACCTAACATGGGACCTAACCTTTGATGTTACAAGAGCAAAATAAAACACCACTATACACCAAAAAACTTTAATCATCTACTGATGACGCTCACATGTAAAAATTTTGTTTTAACCATTTGCTACCATGGTTTTGGTGTATTATGGTGATTTAATGTTTTATTTTGCTAGATTTAATAATACATGTCTTTATAGTACTTATTACAAATAATGACTATTTATTAAAGAGTGGATATTTGCAAAATTTACACTTAATTTAGATATTCAGTAATATTATTGAATCATAAGGACGTATTGCTGAATAAATGAGAACATTTCTTACATATCAACTGGGGCATCTTTTAATCGAGAAAATATAGCATCCGGTATAGCAAAACCTGTAGCTAAAATCCATATCATGACGGCACTAACCGCTGTAAGAGGCTTGGTCTGAAATTAAAATATTCATACAGGGTGAGTCTTAATTAAGTGCAAATAGTTTCAGGGCTGGTAGATTGCGATAAAAGAAATATATTTTCCTTCACCGTTTTCCAGATAAGTCCAAAATGAGTTATTCCATTTTGAAAATTAAAACAGACACCTCTGGGGTCGAAATATACCAGATCTAAAAATATTTGCACTTGTTTAAGACTCACCCTGTATATTACAAATATAAAGAATATATATATTTCATATCTCAATTAAACTTTTAGATACGTAATCGAGGTCCAGAGGGCGCGATTTTTAAATTCATTGTTGCGAACCATTCATATTCAGCGCCGTGCTGACTAACTGGAATTTAAATTTCGCACTGGGGATTCAGGTGGTAGCTCTGCTGACATTGTCATTCGTTTTGACACTTTAGTTTTGTATTACTATAAATTTTTGGTTTAAATAAATAGTGTTGTGATACTTTAAGCTTGAAAATGTTTACTAGCAGATTTATCAGTCGAACATTGTTCTTTTTAGAACCTCTTTTATTGTCTAAAAAAAGTGTACAGGATAGTTTAATGGCCGTAAAAAATTCATTGCAACCTTATTAGAATATTTTGAACAGGAAAGCGGTAGTAATGGCCCTTTATGTCCCTTTTATTGGCCCTTAATGGCCCTTTATGTCCTGACTTTTGTTGATGCAAGTAACAACTGTTTATATACTCACCGGCAAAAAAAAACCTGCCACTAAAAACTAGTCCCAATTTCAAAGTTGGATTTCTCGCGAACCACTCATTAGATTTTGATGAATTTTTTTTAAATTGTACATTAATTCTTTCTTAACGGATGCTACGTCAGCAATTTTTATTCCGAATTTATTTTGAGCATATACAGGGCACAACAATTAGACGAAGTTTTTTGCCCAAATTTTGTAACACCCTGTAGGATGCAGCAGGTGTAGTAGTTATTGCTATATCAAATCAAATTGTAGCTTCATCTTTTGTGAGCATTTTGTATTTTTAATCACGACATTATCTCTGTTTGTATTGGAGATACGCTGCTTTAAAACAAACGCCTCGAAAAAAGCTTTAAAAACAAATCAAACATCACAACGGCAACGTAGGTAAGTTTAACCTGAAAACTAACTAAAACATGAAAATTAAAAAAAGGTAAAGAAATTTTAAGGATTTTTTAATTCCAGGCATCCTGAACTGTTGTTCGAAATACAGGGTGGCCGAGGTTAATTGTCACGTCATTCCCAGACTTACTCGTTGACATTTGATTTCGATTAGCAGAAGTACCGTACATGACTGAAAAATGGAATCAAAAAAAAAAAAAAAAATCTTTGAATAAAAAGATTGCTGAAAGAGTATAACGCTATCCATGAGATGGAGAGCTATTCCCCGTGGATCCGTCTCAGATACTGGCTTTATTAAAGCCCCGAGACTGTATGATGAGTTATAACTCAAGAAAGGGGGAAATACACAATAGATCTGTAAGGTCGCGGTTATAACTCCCTCCCAACATTCTACATTCTATTGCTATCCATGTATCCATGCATGGTAGACGGGCAAAGGGCTCTAGGGTGGGGATGCTTGACAGTTCTGTTTCACGATTCATTTGACATATTTGAATTTGATTTCAAATTTTGTGGATTTGTCACTCTATCTATTGAGCTTATTTTATGTTATTAATTTTTTATTCTACTTCTGATAGTTGTTTAAAGGTAGTAAATTTAGAAGGAAATTGTGGCAGAACTTAAATTAATAATAACACTATTGCGATTGATCGAAAAAGACTGTAAAATAGTTGGTTGTGTAGCGTGCAGTAGATCTCAGTCAAAAATCGAGGGAAATAATGGAATAACTTTTCGCTATTAAGTGACTATAGCACAGATAGTAGTCTGCCCAACGATAAAATCCTTGACAGTGATAGATGTGTCTGTCATTTTAATTTCAGTCTAGTTTATTTTAATTTACAAAGAAATAAGTTGGTACAATTGAAACGTATTAACGTAAACTTACAGAAAACGAATATTAGTACCATCCTGGCTACATGCTTTCTGGATTTGACTTGGGCACTGCCATGAGTACTTCTTCCTTCCCCTGGAATATCGTTGGCGCTATTATGAAGCCGAATGGCCATCAAGACGTAAAAGAAGGCTATAATAGTCAAAGGGACCAAATAGTAAATCAAGGACTTGGAGACGACGTTGTATTGCTTGTACATAGTTTCGGTGGCGTTGTCCGGGAATGACGGGAATGGATAGCAAAAAATGATTGTCTTATTACTAAAAAAATAAGAGGAGAAATAAAGAAATAAGAGGAGAAATAATATAGAGAGTTTTTATAAGATCTATTAAAAAAATATCACGTTTTTGTTAGCAATCTACAGAGTAGGTTACATACACAGTATTAGGCTATACACAGAGTAGGTATCCTGTTTTGTTGAAAACAATTCTGTTTTTTTGCCATAGGAAGAAAATCTACAGAATAATAAAAAATTGTGTGTGCACATATTTGAAGTAAAACTTTTCCGTCTGTCTAGCTGTCTCTGTCTGTTGTCTGTCTGTCTCTCTCTTTGTCTGTCTGTCTGACTGTTTGACTGACTGACTGACTGACTGACTGACCGTCCGTCTGTTCCTCAAAACAGCTAGATTCTATCTTTATACCTACTAATGAGTCAAGTACTTCTCATTTGCAACCAAAAATGGGACACTTTGTACAGTGTGGCTCGAATTCGACGCTTATCATTGGGATTTCGGAAACCGTAAGAGATACAGGATCGGTTAAATGGAGGCAAAGTTGCGCAATTTGATGCTCAATAAAATGCCGTATTGCATTTTTATTTTTTATCTTTTTTTTTGCATAAAATATTCTGGTGATGGAATTTTCTGTACGAAACGTTGGCAAATATCAAAGTGACTATATATAGTGTTTTAAGAGTGATGAAAGGATTTAATTAAATTGAAAAAATTAGGTCCGTATTTAAAAAAATTAAGTTGATGATGGTCCCAGAAGCCGAAACATCAGAGTCAATATTTAATCACACAGAGTTATAGAGCAGGAAAAGTGGCCATGAAAATGTGTTTTTCATTTTAAGTTATCTTAACAAATAAAGCCAGGAAAAAATAGAAAACAAAATTGAAAATTCCGTTTTTTTTCGAATATATTCGGAATTTTTCAAAATGCAATACGGCATTTTATTGAGCATCAAATTGCGCAACTTTGCATCCATTTAACCGATCCTGTATCTCTTAGGGTTTCCGAAATCCCAATGATGTGTGTCGAATTCGAACCACCCTGTACACGCTACAAACACGTTTTATGGTTTAAGAAAAATCAAATTTTATGCAGATAACTTATTATCTATGAAAGCTAAATTTCAATTCATAATAGTAAAAAACAGCGAACTTTTGGTATTTTTAGAAAGAAAATAAAGTTATGGCAAATCGCTTAAGAGGAAAACAAATACGTAGCTGAAAATTAGCTTATAATTAAAAATTCATTTCCAACGCGACCGCTTTCTGATTAAAAGGAAATTTCTTCCCAGAGCCTGACATAAATAAAGAAAAAAACGACTTCAATAAAGTTCAATTTGTATCCTTTTTTTCTTATAAAATAGACGAAGTTTGTTAAAAATTTAAAAAATGGATATAAGAAATGTTGAAATATTACGGTAGTAATTATTTTTTATTAGATTTTTACTTAACTCGTGTATACTAGAAGAAGGATGCGAAGAAACACTTTGGTCAAAGAATTTATAAATATAAATCAACTTTTTTCTCTGTAATATTCAATTAATACGCCCAAGCAGCATTTGGACGTCGGGACAACGTTGTGTCACGCGACCAAACGTCGGGGCGCAACGTCGACACAACCTCGTGCCAACCCTAGTCTGCACTAGTTTGGAGAATAATTTTTGGGTCGAAACGACGTTGGATACCGACGTTGGTTAGCAGCCTAATTTAGTACAAACTGCAACAAATAACACAAAACTATAATAATATGGCGTCTAAGTCGCGTTTTATCCTAAATTGGGATAATTATAGTAAAAATATTATTTTTACGATTTAGTTAGAGACATATGTCAGATGGCAGTGAAGGAAAACAAAACAAAAGTATTTAAGTGTGGAGGATGTTTGAAGATCATAATTATTGAAACACTTTAACCGACTCTGTAACTCGTTACCCAAGGCAAAAAAATTAAACGCAAACAACTTTATTGATAAATGTATTGTTTCTACTTTGAAAAATACTAATGGGCCTTAAAATTAAAGAAGTTTTAAAAATTTTCTTGAATTTCTTTTTTAGTAAAATGAGAATAATTTATTCGCAGTCGAAAAAATTGTTTCCGCGTGTTGTTTAGGGTCAAATATTTCAAGTTAATGTATTCAAAAAGCAGGAATTGCTATTTTAGGAACGAAACATTTTCTTATTCAACAACATGGCGGCTTTCACTTTGTTGTTTTGGAGATTAAGATGGAGTAGTTCGAGTAGTCGCATGGTAGTCGCATCCTGGACTAAAACAGTCGCAGTTCAGCCTTAACAGGTAGTATACTAGTCGCAAGATTGCCTAATTTAGTCATCCTAGAGTCTAGCTTGTGCCGCCCTCTATATTCTAAATAAACGAGGGAGTGGATAAGTATCGGCAATATGTCGATGTATATTTAAATTTAGTTTTATATGTACCTTTGTTATGTCCCATTTTAATTAAGTTTTTTGTATAAACACAAAAACAGCACTGAACTGTCTGACTGAACAGAACAATGAAGTGAAAATTTAAGATTTAAGGTTATGGTTCAATACAGTTGCAAAAAGGTAGTGGCTCGACGTCCTACCAATGTAAGAATAAGGAAATCTAAACAACGTTGGAATTAGTAAAACAGACGACGCGCGACGTTTGCATAACGTTGGAATCGGTCCTGAAAGTGACGTCGGAAAACTCTTTATTGCCCAAGATTGTAACTACGTTTTCCCAATCACCTAAAGATCACTTAAGCAAAAAAGGTTACAAGACAACGTTTATTCGACGTCGCAGGAGCTTTTACTTTGTTGTAGTACTAGTTCAACGTCGGCATAACGTTACAACAACGTTTACATTTATTTTAATAGCCAAGGTACGGAGCTAACTATTTTTTGTAACTAATCCAACGTTGTGTTTAATAAACATATGGTCGCAAGTCGTGAAAATGCTACTTGGGCGGTTTCATAATAGATACACTTTGTTATTCGTACCTAACATGGTACCTAACCTTTGATGTTACAAGAGCAAAATAAAACACCACTATACACCAAAACACTTTAATCATCTACTGATGACGCTCACATGTAAAAATTTTGTTTTAACCATTTGCTGCCATGGTTTTGGTGTATTATGGTGATTTAATGTTTTATTTTGCTAGATTTAATAATACATGTCTTTATAGTACTTATTACAAATAATGACTATTTATTAAAGAGTGGATATTTGCAAAATTTACACTTAATTTAGATATTCAGTGATATTATTGAATCATAAGGGCGTATTGCTTAATAAATAAGAACATTTCTTACATATCAACTGGGGCATCTTTTAATCGAGAAAATATAGCATCCGGTATAGCAAAACCTGTAGCTAAAATCCATATCATGACAGCACTAACCGCTGTTAGAGGCTTGGTCTGAAATTAAAATATTCATACAGGGTGAGTCTTAATTAAGTGCAAATAGTTTCAGGGCTGGTAGATTGCGATAAAAGAAATATATTTTCCCTTCACCGTTTTCCAAATAAGTCCAAAATGAGTTATTCCATTTTGAAAATTAAAACAGACACCTCTGGGGTCGAAATATACCAGATCTAAAAATATTTGCACTTGTTTAAAAGTCACCCTGTATATTACAAATATAAAGAATATATATATTTCATATCTCAATTAAACTTTTAGATACATAATCGAGGTCCAGAGGGCGCGATTTTTAAATTCATTGTTGCCAACCATTCATATTCAGCGCCGTGCTGACTAACTGGAATTTAAATTTCGCACTGGGGATTCAGGTGGTAGCTCTGCTGACATTGTCATTCGTTTTGACACTTTAGTTTTGTATTACTATAAGTTTTTGGTTTAAATAAATAGTGTTGTGATACTTTAAGCTTGAAAATGTTTACTAGCAGACTTATCAGTCGAACATTGTCTAAAAAAAAGTGTACAGGATAGTTTAATGGCCGTAAAAAATTCATTGCAACTTTATTAGAATATTTTGAACAGGAAAGCGGTAGTAATGGCCCTTTATGTCCCGTTTATTGGCCCTTAATGGCCCTTTATGTCCTGACTTTTGTTGATGCAAGTAACAACTGTTTATACACTCACCGGCAAAAAAAAACCGGCCACTAAAAACTAGTCCCAATTTCAAAGTTGGATTTCTCGCGAACCACTCATTAGATTTTGATGATTTTTTTTTAAATTGTACATTAATTCTTTCTTAACGGATGCTACGTCAGCAATTTTTATTCCGAATTTATTTTGAGCATATGCAGGGCACAACAATAAGACGAAGTTTTTTGCCCAAATTTTGTAACACCCTGTAGGGTGCAGCAGCTGTAGTAGTTATTGCTAAATCAAATCACATTGTAGCTTCATCTTTTGTGTGCATTTTGTTTTTTTAATCACGACATTATCTCTGTTTGTATTGGAGATACGCTGCTTTAAAACAAATGCCTCGAAAAAAGCTTTAAAAACAAATCAAACATCACAACGGCAACGTAGGTAAGTTTAACCTGAAAACTAACTAAAACATGAAAATTAAAAAAAGGTAAAGAAATTTTAAGGATTTTTTAATTCCAGGCATCCTGAACTGTTGTTCGAAATACAGGGTGGCCCATCGAAAACGTTCCGCAAGGCATAACGGCCAGGGTAATTTTTTTTTCAGAAAATTCAAAAACATGTCAATTTTGTTTGTGAGGGGGACAACTTTTGCCCCAAAAATGATTGCAAAATCTTTAACCCTCTAAGCGGGGGTGTCATCCCCCAATTTTTTTCAAATGGGAAAGGGGGTCAAGTGGTACCGCAATGAAAAGGGCTTTCTATTCTCTACACTTTCCCGCTTCGTTTTTGACAATCGGTTGAGTCATTGAGAAAATATGAAGGATTGAAATTTGAAAAGTTTATTTAAACATTTATCAGAGTAAATGATAAGGATAAATTCCTTCGACCAATTTGCTGTTTTTTCTTATTATTTCTAGATGTTTACGCATTTTTTCACTTGCCGCAAGGTTGAACGATCAGATGCGGTAGTTGCTAGATAGCTGATCAGTGACTTATGCGTTGAAGTTCTTCCCAATATCGTTAAACTTTTTAACAATTATTATGGTGTACTCACTTGCAGAAAAAGTGGAAATAATCGGACTTTATTTTAAAAATAATGAATGTGGCAATCGGTTTGCGCAAATATTCAATGAACGCCATCCTGACAAACACCTTTATGGCAAAATTGTTCGCGTTATGAATAAACAGTAGCGTAGCGTAGGCCCCGCAGCACCCGCAACGGCGGGGGGGCCTCGTGATTTTGGGGGCCCCGCAGGGTCCTCCAATTTTATTTACTAAATACATTTATATACCGGGTCAGTCTGAAAAGTGGCTCACCCCTATAACTTTTTTATTTTTTGAGTTTAAAAAACGAGATTTCGTATGATAGTATATGACATAAATTAGGAATGATTGACGTATTCAATTGTTTTTGGTCACTTCCGGTTTCACCGGAAATGACTACAACTTTTGATTTTTAAATGACACCCCCGGTATTTTTTTACTTTATTCGATAGAAAATGCCACTCTGAATAGAATGACATATCATATGTCAACTTTTGACATTTTCGCATATGGTTTATTTGAAATTATAACTTGCGGTTCGTAACAAAAATTTGACTCGAAATACCAAGTGTGTGGTATCAAATTATTCGTAAAAAAATGCTTTTTCCATATACCTATGCTAATGAGCCACCCTCGTTCCATTTGAAAAAATTGAGATATGATTAAAAATACGATTTGAGCATTTTCTAACAGGCCAGGACAAGACACTAAAAACATTAGACGAACAAATCAATTTTTCCAAGGCTTCAAGGCTCAAGAATTAGTGTTTTTAACATAGCCATGGCACTCTATATTGAATTTTAAAATACAATTTTTTATTAAGCGAAAATGTCAAAAGTTGACATATGATATGTCATTCTATTCAGAATGTCATTTTCTATCAAATAAAATAAAATAATACCGAGGGTGCCATTTAAAAATCAAAAGTTGTAGTCATTTCCGGTGAAACAGGAAGTGACCCCAAAACAATTGAATACACAAATCAATCCTAATTTATGAATATACTAACATACCAAATCTCGTTTTTTTATCTGAAAAAATAAAAAAGTTATAGGGGTGAGCCACTGTTGAGACGCACCCGGATATGAACAGCGTCCCCTACAAATAAAAGGGAAAAAATGAAAAATATTTAACTAATATTTAAATTTTGACTTAATTTAATTTTTAAGCTACATTGTTAATGTAGTATATTTTAATTTTAAACACATATTTTTTAACCAAGTTAATTTAATCATGTATTATTAAATTTGACTAACAATTTTATTTTTTATGTTCCTTTATTATTATTTTTCTTATGTGGAATAAGTTTATTTTTCGTTTTTATATTTTGAATGACTTGATATACCTACATAAAGCTATATTATGTTTTTAGTGTGTTTTTTTATTTTCATATAAGGGCCCCAAAAAAATCTTGCGGGGGGGTCTCACATTTCAAATTACGCTACTGTGAATAAAAAGAGGCAGAGGAAAAATCCTGTAGTAAATGAAGCTATGGAGGTATTCGTTTTGGGTCAAATTGCCATAGATAGTACGCTGAGTACAAGAAAATTAGCCAATGAGACCGGCGTGAATCCTACAAGCGTCCAAAGGATATTAAAAAAACACAAGTTCCACCCGTACAAAATTCAGTTGGTACAAGACCTCAACGAAGACGTTTTAAAATAAAGTAAAATAAAGGTTATTTTTAAAATAGAGTTCGATTATTTCCACTTTTTCTGCAAGTTGAAAAGAACTTCAACGCAAAAGTCACAGAACAGCTATCTAGCAACTACCGCACCTGATCGTTCAACCTTGCGGCAAGTGAAAAAATGCGTAAACATCTAGAAATAATAAGAAAAAACAGCAAATTGTTCGAAGGAATTTATCCTTATCATTTACTCTGATAAATGTTTAAATAAACTTTTCAAATTTCAATCCTTCATATTTTCTCAATGACTCAACCGATTTTCAAAAACGAAGCGGGAAAGTATAGAGAATAGAAAGCCCTTTTCATTGCGGTACCACTTGACCCCCCTTCCCATTTGAAAAAAAATGGGGGATGACACCCCCGCTTAGAGGGTTAAAGATTTTGCAATAATTTTTGGAGCAAAAGTTGTCCCCCTCATAAACAAAATTGACGTGTTTTTGAATTTTCTGAAAAAAAATTACCCTGGCCGTTATGCCTTGCGGAACGTTTTTGACGGGCCACCCTGTATACCCAGGGTATCGGAGACATAACGTTGACTTCGGCCATCCTCAATTAAAGCCACAATACGAGCAACATCCGTTACAGATGGCATTTTTTAATTTGACAACCGTTTTTGTCATATTGCAAATACTCATATTATAAATCCGTTTTCGCGCGCGCCTATGTCGCCTTGATTACTTATACATAAAACTTTCTGCCTGCGAAGCATTTTTCCGAGACGTTCATTTTAAAACAGCATATCTTCAATACAAAAAGAGATAATGTGGTGATTAAAAAAACAAAATGCTCACAAAAGATGAGGCCTCAATGTGATTTAATTTAGCAATAGCTACTACCGCTGCTGCGCCCTACAGGGTGTTACAAAGTTCGGGCAAAAAACTTCGTCTTATTGTTGTGCTCAAAATAAATTCGGAATAAACATTTCTGACGTAGCATCCGTTAAAAAGGAATTAATTTAAAATTAAAAAAAAATCATCAAAATCTAATGAGTGGTTCAATGGCGAGAAATCCAACTTTGAAACTGGGTCTTGTTTTTAGTGGCCGGTTTTTTTTGCAGGTGAGTTTATATTTATAATTATTTTTTTTGTGTCCTAAAATATTTTGATTAAAAGAAAATTAGTATTTTAATAAAGCACGCTTTTAGATGTTTCAAAAAACTTTTAAGCAAGACTTTTTGCAAGATATGTAGATGACATTTTTTGTATTTGGTCAGGCACCGAGAGAAATTTAAACAGTTTTTTAACATTATTAAATTCAATTAACCCGAGAATACAATTTACTATTGAAAAAGGTATTAATACCATCAATTTTCTTGATGTTACAATTATAAAACAGTCTAATAGATTACAATTTGATATTTACAGAAAACCCACTACCACAGACACTGTAATACATAGTCAATCACACCAATCCTGGCAAATCAAAATGTCACCCTTTCATAGTTTAATTCATAGATTGGTAATGTTTCCACTGAGCCCAGAGAATTTTAAAAAAGAGTTAAATATTATTAAACAAATCGCCATCAACAAAGGATATAAGTGTTCCCTTATTGATAATATGCTAAAGAAAAAACAAAAGAAAATATTAATGAAAAAATTTTATTCCGCTAATTCTAAAGACAATAACAATTATCGACTTTTAAACTACATTCCTAATTTAACTAACAAAATATTAAATAATCTCAATAAAATAGGATGTAAAATTATTAACGTAAATAAAAGAAATTTAGGTCAAATTTTATTAAATAATAAAGACAAAACTAATGTCAAAAATAAGTCGGGTGTATATAGAGTGGATTGCAATGATTGTGATGCCGTGTACATAGGCCAAACAGGTAGAAATTTAGATATAAGGATTAAAGAACATGTAAAGTCTATTAATAATCTCCAGCAAAGTTCTGGTCTTGCAACTCATTGTATAGTAAATAATCACAAAATTAATGAAAACTCAATTAAGTTACTACACAGAGAAACAAAAGGTAGACGCTTAAATTACATTGAACAGTTAGAAATACTAAAATCTGTTAAAAACGAAAATAATGTTAACGACCAACAAGGATTTCTAAATTCTCTCTACATTTTTTATTACCCCTATTGTAAACTCTCTGAACCACCCCCATAGCAAATACATATATAGTTACAGTGTAGTTAGACGATTAGTTCTTAAAAAACTCTTGAAAAAGGCCTAACAAGCCGAAACATATATGTAGAGTTAAAGTTACTCTTATTAAAAGTTTTTTGAAACATCTAAAAGCGTGCTTTATTAAAATACTAATATTTCAACGATGTTTCGCAAGGAACCAACCACAGCTTCAGTACAATTTAATAAAAGAAAATATATAAAAGTGGGTAACGCTGTGCCGGTCAAGCTTAATCACGTGACTAAAAGTTTATTTGGTATGAACTTGTAGTTTGGTTCATGCTTCTTTTTGAGAATAATTTGTTTTGTAGTTTTGTCGTTGTAATATGGTCTTTTTTTCTTTATTTTTTTTACTCACCTGTATTCTTCTGAGGGGATTCACAATAGCACAATATCTCTCAGCTGACAATGCTGTGAGTGTGAAAACAGACACCCCAATACTAATATTTTTTGCTGTTTCTGACAGCTTGCACACAACGACGCCCCACGGCCATGACTCTACCGTGTAGAGTATAGATGTAAATGGCACACACGTTATAATGACCAGTAGATCTGCCAAGGCCAGAGAAAAGATGTAACTGAATAAAAAAATTATGAAAATTTATCTAAATAATAATAAGATGGTTGTCTTACATGTTAGGAACGTTTCTCATGGCTTTGTGTCTTAAAAATATTATGACTAGGGTACCATTGCCCAGAACGCCAACAATGAAAATTAACAGAAATAAAATTGGTACTATGTATGTTTCAGGGCGTTCTAGATACGGGGTATAGTCGTTTTCTTCCCTCATATCGTCATCATAGTTGTCCTTATTATTTTCTAAAAAAAATGTGGTCTCTCGTATAGCGTTACCATATTGTACAGGAAGGTAAATATCAAAAATATGATTAGGTACGTGAGAAGCACTATAGAAGATATAACTGTAGAACGATCAATATATTTTTATTCTGTGTTTAAGTGCAGTACAAATAACAGTACGAAATATAACGATATGTCTATTTACTTATTTCTTTTAGTCTTTTCTTATATTTTGACAGCTATGCGTCTGCGAGGGGAGATCATTAGCATGTAGGAGTTCTTTCTTTTGAGTAAAATCAAATATTAGAAGGTATACCGGGTGCGTCTTATTTTTTCAGATAAAACAACGAGATTTGGTATGTTAGTATATTACAGTTGAGGGTTGGAACCTTTGGTGTTAAACAGCAAAATAAAAACACTAAATCACCACAATACACCAAAACACTTTTACTTTTACACTGGACGCGCGTTTCGCTAACCATGTTAGCATCATCAGTAGATGATTATAAACTAAAGTACAATCTACAAGTTGAGCGTTTATATACTCGCCCAGTGGGCACCGAGTGGGCGTGGCAAAAACTAGCCAACCGAGTAAGAGCCAACTGAGCGTAACAGTTAGATTTCCGCCACTAGAGTAGTAGGAACAAAGAACTTGAAGGAATTGGACCGTTGTCTCTGTTCATACTATCTTTACATTTATTAATTCTGATGCTTTCATATGCATCTAATTGCCTGTAATTTGAAACTTGTTTAATTAATTTTAAATTATTAAGATCTATACAATGTTCTTTATCAACAATATGTTCGGCAACGCAAGATTTATCCGATCTACCATATCTTATCTGAGCTAAATGTTCTTTAAATCTAGTTAATATTGATCTTCTAGTTTGCCCAACATATTTCTGATTACAATCTTTACAAGAAATTTCATAAATACCCGACCTTTCCAGTGGAGATGTTTTATCCTTTGGATTACCTAATAATTGTTGTAATTTATTATTAGCACTATACACAAGTTTAAAATTGACATTCTTAAAAATTCCTTTTAGACCACGGATTAACTCTCTATCAAAAAAAAAACCGTGGTTTGGTTTGGTTTGGTTCAGAAATATGTTGGGCAAACTAGAAGATCAATATTAACTAGATTTAAAGAACATTTAGCTCAGATAAGATATGGTATACCGGATAAATCTTGCGTTGCCGAACATATTGTTGATAAAGAACATTGTATAGATCTTAATAATTTAAAATTAATTAAACAAGTCTCAAATTACAGGCAATTAGATGCATATGAAAGCATCAGAATTAATAAATGTAAAGATAGTATGAACAGAGACAACGGTCCAATTCCTTCAAGTTCTTTGTTCCTACTACTCTAGTGGCGGAAATCTAACTGTTACGCTCAGTTGGCTCTTACTCGGTTGGCTAGTTTTTGCCACGCCCACTCGGTGCCCACTGGGCGAGTATATAAACGCTCAACTTGTAGATTGTACTTTAGTTTATAATCATCTGCTGATGATGCTAACATGGTTAGCGAAACGCGCGTCCAGTGTAAAAGTAAAAGTGTTTTGGTGTATTGTGGTGATTTAGTGTTTTTATTTTGATGTTAGTATATGACATAAATTAGGATTGATTGACATACTCAATTGTTTTCGGTCATTGACGACAACTTTTGATGTTTAAATGGCACTCTCGGTGTTTTTTTTTACTTTATTTGACAGAAAATGACACTTTGAATAGAACGACATATAAAAATATACCGAGGATGTCATTTAAAAATCAAAAGTTGTAGTCATTTCCGGTGAAACAGGAAGTGACCGAAAACAATTGAATGCGTCAATCAATCCCAATTTATGTCATATACTAATATGCCAAATCTCGTTTTTTTAACTGTAAAAATAAAATAAGTTATAGGGGTGAGCCACTTTTGAGACGCACCCGGTATATTATAATAACTTCATGGCGTAAATAATAATTATTATTTAGTATATAAAACTTAAAAATATATAACAACAAAGCAAAGGTCATTAAATCTCAAAATACTAAAATAAAAATGTTTTAGTCTTTGATAAAAAATATTTATAAAAATATTTAATGATCATACCTGACTTAAAAGAAAATATTTTACTAACAAATCAACAGCTTTTTCATTCGTTATTAGATATAAATTTACTTAAATCTGTCAACTACCTAATTGTTGATTTTTTCAAGTAGTATTATACAATGTGATAGAGAAAAAAAACGGCGTCAGCGATGGTTAAGAAACGAAGATCACTGTAATTTTATATTTATGTAAAATTATATAGGGAATGTCATCGATGTTCATTTCCAAGCCAATTGGACGCCGTTTTTTTCGATCATACGGTATGACATCATTTATTTCTGCTTGTTACAATAAAATCTGTGTAGTTGCTAATCTATCAAAATATGTGTATCTACATATTTCAAAAAATATATTTCACTTTATTATTCATACAACCCTCGGTATACAAAACAAAATTCTTAATTTTTGAAAAGTTTATCTAAACATAGTTGCTGGAAAGTAGAGTTTGTTAATATAGAACTTTGAATAAGAAGACTAAGGAAGGAGCATAATGCTATCCATGTATTCACGCATGGTGGGCGGAAAAGGCACCATAAAAGCTCTCTAGGGTGGGGATCCTTGACAGTTCTGTTTGACGATTCATTTGACTCATTTGAATTTGATTTGAAATTTTGTGGATTTGTCAGTCTTTACGGAGCTTATTTTATGTTATTTATTATTTATTCTACTACTGATAGTTGTATAAAGGTAGTAAATCTAGATGGAAATTGTGGCAGAACTTAAATTAACAGTGACACTATCGCGATTTATCGAAAAAGACTCTAAAATAGTTGGTTGTGTAGCGTACGGTAGATCTCTTTTTTCACTCAAAAATTGAGTGAAATAATGGAACAACTTTTCGCTAGTAAGTGACTATATAATATACATACGTGTAGTAAACCGATCATTTATGAAATTCACTTAAATTAACTAAATTATATATTTTTCTTGCATTTTAGCTTTTATTTATTACTTGTCAAAGATTAAATGTCAAAGAATTTAGATACGTTAATTTAACTTACCTGCTTCAGTAGCGTATCGGATGTTTGTGTTAATAAATACTTATTATAACATCTATTTTTATTAGAATTATATATTTTTATAACAATTTTAATAACTACCAACATTTATTCACAACGTAAAATAAAACAACAAATTATTGAGTCTACCCCACGTCTACGCTACATCATAGATTTACATTTTTTAAATAAAATTAGAACGACACTGATAAACCAGAATTTAAGTCGGCCATATTTGAGGCCCATCGCGGTGTACCTAAGATTTTTGATATGCTCCTTCCTTAGTCTTCTTATTCAAAGATAAAGAACAATGACTAAAGAATCCAAGGACAAATAATACTCGAGAGCAAATTGTGACGCTGTCACCAAACAGTGCCGTGGCACATATTTTTCTTAACCTAGCTGTTTGAAGCAATATTTATATTTTTTGATAATTGTTTTGACTACGCCTATGGTGTATCATCCTAATTAATTACGAAAAAAACGTATTAAAATGTTAACAAAAGGTACAAAACTAGTATCGACGTATAGCACATATCAAGTACATATAGATGTTAATTGAAATTGAAGAATAATTATCGAATTCAATAAGAAAACGCTAAAAAGTTGGAGTGGACTGTTTATTTACAGTACGTCTGTCCGTTCTGTAGCTACGGGGTATCCGTGAGAGGGGAAACGATATTCTCTCGATGTTTTTCGTAAAAACATAGACGACGCGTCCCATCAACAAAAATTCGACAAATTTGCAAGTAGCCAATAAAATGAGTGGGCGGAGCGATTTGCGGTGACGCACTCGTCAAATCGACGTATAAAATATATTGCTGTTTATTAAAATGTTTTTTGTCCGCATTCCTTTCATAGACACAGATCTAGCAGACGTACTGTACCTATGAAACGTAACTCCTGGCTCTTTCTTATCGCTGCTGCTTTTACACTTGAAAGCTGAACAACTAATCACCATTGTAATAAAGTTTATACAAAGTTTACTACACACAAACTATTAAAAATCGCTAAAATTGTCGCTGGTGACCAAATGATGACTCATTGTTTGCCACCAAAACAAAAAAAAGGTCACAAATTCTGCTGCAGCCCGTATAGGGGCGTTACATGTCCTTATATTCTTTAGTCATTGATATAGAATAATTTTTATACCAAATTTAATATTTCTTTAAAATAAAGTTTTTTCTCTTTGTGTCCAACAAATATATTCATTGCTTTATTTTTTTAATAAATATTTTAAGTTTTTATTTAGTGTCTTTAAATGATTGTTTAATTACTCATTTAATTTTTTTAAATTTTATTTCTTTTCTAATTAATACCTAATGATATACAGGGTGAGTCTTAAATAAGTGCAGATATTTTCATGGCTCCTTGATCTCGATAAAATAAATTTATTTTCTCTTTACCGTTTTTCAAAAAAGTCTGAAATAGCCAAGTTATTTTACTTTAAAAATTAAAAAAACTGTTTTTTTTTGCATACATTTTTAGAACCACTGTTTTTTGTGTTTTTTATCTTTAAATTTAATCAACTTCACTATACCGGGTGCGTCTCAAAAGTGGCTCACCCCTATACCGAGGGTGCCATTTAAAAAGCTAAAGTTGTAGCCATTTGCGGTGAAACAGGAGGTGACCGAAAACAATTGAAAACGTCAATCAATCCTAATTTATGTCATATACTAACATAGCAAATCTCGTTTTTTTAACTGAAAAAATATAAAAGTTATAGGGGTGAGCCACTTTTGAGACGCACCCGGTATATTAATAACCGGTAAACTATTATTTTTTTCAACTGAATATTTAAAAAAAGATCCAATTTTTTTTTCAAAAAATACAAAACTTTTGTATTGTTTTTTTGCGAAAGAAAACTTATAAACGTATTCCTAGGATCGAAATATACCACCTCTAAATTTTTGCACTTATTTAAAACTCTCCCTGTATGTACAATTTATTTAATATTATGCATAGCTTATATACTTTTTTAAAACATAACAATGTTAAAAATTCGCTACAACACTTTTTCTCAAAAAAATAATGGAGGCAGTGATGAATATTTTTTTCTAATTATAATAATAAATTATAACATTTCTAACTAAAGGTTTGAACTTAAATTGCATTTAAGAAACAAATTAATAATTCCTAAAACAAATATTTGTATTTTTTGCAAACAATTTTAAAACTAGAAATTAAATATAGGATTTATTAAAAAGCACGTTAATAATAAAAAGAAAATTACTCTTTAAATATCAGTAAATAAAAACTAAACATTAACTCACCCATTGGAACACTCTCTTGATAAAAAACACTGCAATAATACTTCAAGAGTTGATTTAAATGAAGATCAGACCCGAAGTGGGACTAAGTGAAAATAAATCAGAATTTTTCCGGGTTTATGAAAATGCTACAAACTCTGGCTTTTCGCGCAGCGCAAGGTGTTGAGGATAAATATTTACGATAGAACACTTTCTTCGTTTTTTTTTTGGTTTGATACGAAAAGATACGAAATAAGTACTCGTTAAATATACCGGGAATATACATATACAGGGTGGTGCCTCTCATAGGCTGGGGAAGCTCCAAGAAAAACGGTAGTTTATATCGAAATGAAATTTTGGCAGCATATGTAAGTTAATTGAAAGCATTTTATAAAAATATATAGAATTATACAGGGTGTCCCCCCAAAAAAAGTTAGACATCAAAGTTGTGTTTTTCTAATGGCACACCCTATATATTAATTGATTTTCGGATTCTAGGAAGAAAACAAAGGTGAGTTTTGTTAAAGAAGCATATACCTAAAATCTAAAGATTTTGACATATTTCACATTTTGTGAAAATGAAAAGTAAATTTTAAATTTCGATAACAGCTACCTAAATTAAAAGCATATGTGGAGTTCTACGTCGAGAAGCAGCTATACAATAACTTCTCTCATGTTGTCAACAATAGTTGGTCGAGTGTTGTACACACTGTCTTTAATATACCTAATATCTGTATTTTGCCATGAATGTATAAATAAATAAAAAATGTATATGTATTAAGTACCCATTTATTAATAAATAACGTCAACACCAAAAATAACATGGTAACAACAAACTTATTTTTATTTTAACAAAAATTGCTCTAATGGATTGGATGTACTCCTTGTATGACAGTTGCTTTACCCCGTTTGATCACGTGTGGTATAGTTTTGGGAACCATTCTGAAAAACAAATATTACTTAATTAGATTATTACCTTACTTTAGTCAATAAATGTACAAAAAAGATTAGTATAACTAACATTAATATTCTTTGAGAAAAGGCAGGGGAAAAAGCTATACTTACGTAATACAGTCGATGATAGGACATACTGACAAACAAAGCGTGCACCCTGTACAATCGTCATTCACGTGGGGAATATGAGTCTTTGAATCGAATTCTATTGCTTGATATCCAGAGTCGTTACAGGCCATGTAACATTTACCACAGTTTATACACATATCCTGAAATAGAGTTATTAACAATTAGTACCATAGAAGAAAATATTAATTAAGATATATTTTATATTTAAAAAATCAACAAAGGATCATTGGTCAAAGGCTACACAAACTGATGTCTTGTTATATCGCAGAAGTCCAGTTGACCATCGGTTGACACGGTCCAAGTATTATAAGGCAGCATCCAAGTGTACTTGGACCAAGTACACTTGGATGTTGGCAATTTGATTTCCATGCGTCCGTTATCCGTTGATACGATGGCCCGACGCGACGGCGGCGCTCTGATTGGTCATAGCGTTTTCGCGCCACTTTTCATCCGTAATTTTTTTTATTCCAGCCTGTCAACCGAGAAAGACCGTAACCGTTTTGACACTTTTTTGACAAATTTAATATAACCTATAAAAATATAATAGTACAAGAGCTAGCACCTTCGGAAAAACGAGAATTTTAAGAAAGCTTGTTCTTTAATATGTCTTTTGCTTATGCTCTCCTGACCAAAGTGCGGGCCGTCTGACTGCCGGTAGACTGCTGCGCATCATATATGTAGAGCGTATCCCATTTTTGTGTGTTTTATGGGATTTCTCGTTTATTAGAAGAGATACAATGATGCGATTTTCACATTACTTTGCTACTTTTTTTATGAAACTAAATATGCTACACATAGGTTTGTCCTAGCCTCCTTAGTTCCTGAAATACAGGGCGAATTTGTGATGCGCAGTAGTAAACAGATACTGAATACAGATATAATGCGCAGTAGTGAACGCAACGTCTACCGGCATTCTGTTCAGAATGTAAAAATTTGTTGGGAACCAAAAGAAAAAACTTCATTTTAAAGAAATATTAAATTTGGTATAAAAATTATTCTATATTAATAAACTCTACTTTCAAGCAACTATGTATAGATAAACATTTCAAAAATTAAGAAATCTGTTTTGAATACCGAGGGTTGTATGAATAATAAAGTGAAATATATTTTTTGAAATATACAGATACACAAATTTTGATAGATTAGTAACTATACAGATTTGATTGTAACAAGCTAAAATAAATGATATTATACCATATGATTGAAAAAACGGCGTCTAGTTGGCTTGGAAATGACAGTCGTTAATATAATTCTACAGATTTTATAGTCCCTATAAAATTCTACATATAAACAGCTATCTTCATTTCGTAGCTATCGCTGACATCGTTTTTTTCGATCATAGTGTATAAAAAAATAATTGAAAAAATCAACAATTGGGTAGTCTAACTAAATATGCTACACATAGGTTTGTTCTAGCCTCCTTAGTTCCTGAAATACAGGGCGAATTTGTGATGCGCAGTAGTGAACAGATACTGAATACAGATATGATGCGCAGTAGTGAACGCAACGTCTACCGGCATTCTGTTCAGAAGAGCAAAAGATATATTAAAAGACCAGATTTCTTAAAATTCTCTCTCAAAAACGTTGCTAGCTCTTAGACTATCAGTAAAACAGCGAAATCGTTACGGAAATGAAAATATAAAATGACACCATTCACAAGCAAATAGTATCCGATGAACGGTGGCATGAAAATGTAATTAATTTAAAAACTGCGTAATCTTTCTAATCAGTAATTAGTAATAAGTATTTAAATTCAACCAATAAAATTAATATCGTATCGTCGGACAACGGATGCATAAAAATCAAGCTTTTTATAACTGTACTTACAATAATGCTGCGAGCGTATCATTTCTATGTTGCTTGTCATAACTGTTGTCAAGTTCGAAGGCTTTGAAACATCCAAGTAAGTATACTGGCCACCAACATACTTGGATCATAGGAAGCCTTCCAACTTTACTTGGGTAAAACAGTTAATACGATAGAAGCAGTGTACAAGTGATACGCGCACTGCATCCATGTACGTATACTTGGCATGCATCCGGTTGACTTGTTCCAAGTACACACAGGAGACCATATAAATATAGTAAACGCCACGAATGTTTGGGAGTGATTCTTCGCTTGATGAAGTTAGAATCGACACGCGCGCCATCATTTTTATATTGAAAACGTAAATTTTTACCGCAGACGTAGGTTTTTAAAGGCCCGGTCTAATCATCAGCCTGCGCTCCTCCTACTTATTCTTAAATGTTAGCGTGATTGACAAAGACGATACTATATCGCGTTTCTTTGATTGATTCGTTTTTGTGCGTCAGTCCATTGGTGTGTTTGCAGTGCGACCAATGGGGCATTCCAAGTTATATTTATAACCAAATATATATTTTGACAAGACTTTGACAGTTAAAACAACAAATTACAACAGATTATACATTGATTATTATAATGACTTCAAACACCACGGCACTGGAATTAAGTTTTATGTGACCTTGAACAGATTAGTTCACATGGTAGCGACCGATAAATCACTCCCAAACATTCGTGGCGTTTACTTTATACATATATGCATGAGCTGTGCGTTTAGCAAATATGACACTCAAAAAAATAAAAGAATATAAATATATCAATTTTAAAAATACTTACATCGTCTATTAGTGCAACTACTTGTTGAGTGTTGTTCAATTGCTTGTAAGCTCCGATGTATTTCAAAGCACGACCAACTACGTCACTGACTTTCACTACCTTCTTTTCGCCTTTCTCTTGTTTTGGGTCATCATAGCCCACTGGGCGACCTTCATGATGTTGAATGATAGTTTCTTCGTATTTGTTTTCTTTATAGAGACCCGATATTAATTCTTCTGCTTGCAGTTTATAAGGTCCAAAATTAGGCAGTTTCTGATGAAGGCAGATACAGTTGAAGTAAAGATAATATTTAAAGTTACAGTAATTGAAATAGTTGCGTATAATAGTATACAAAATATGAAAATAATTACCTTCCCATTTGCGTCATAGAGTGGCCTCACTGGCTTTCCTTTTTGATGTTTTGGTGTGGGTGGACTTTGTCCATTCCAGCCTGGTAATTGACCGTCCAGATACAGCAAGGCTTTCAATCCAGTGACGTAGTCCTTTATTAAAGTATAGTCTTGGTTTTGCACAGCGCTACATACCTAGTATAATAGGAATAGACTTTAATTTGTCACTAAAGAAAAATAGACAAATCCATAGAATAGTATCCAAAAAATCCTATATGGGTATTTCGCCACTGCTAGAAAATCTACAAAATAAAATAGTTATTTTTTATAAACACTTCTGCATTAAACCCAGACGGAAACCACTTGTCGGAAGTTAGGGTTACAGTTATACAAATTTGTCTAAGAAACAAAAAAATGCTTAACGTTTCGGAAAGTTTATCTCTTTCCGTCGTCGGAAGCAAAAAAATACAAAGAATAAAGAAAAAAACGATTTAAAATCTTTAAATTCAACCATTCGAGAACACTTTACTTTTTTAAAACAGACACGTCTACAAAAACCAGTGGCGAAATACCCATAGAGGATTTTTTGGAAAGATGAATCCGCCACATAGGTATAGACATTTTTCAGAAAATACTCTAAAGCAGACTTATAGCTTTGATTTGGAGAATTGAGAAGATAGGCAACCTAATGGGCGAATTCGTGACAAGGCTGATTTGATTTCCCCTTACGTCTCAAGCAGTGCTGTACGGTGGAGCCACGACTCTTTCTGCGGCCAACGCATAAAACACTTATTTTTTCTAATTCGGCCCATAAAGGCATATCGACGACGGTGCGGAACTGAAAGCGACAGTGTTGCCATATTAAAATGTGTAATATCTGTAATACATTCGACGAAAATATCTTTGGATGAAAAATCCGCGTTTATGTATCAACAATTTATTCATCTTAAACATGGAATAAGCAACAAAAATAAAAATTCTTTTATAGGTACTGACTATTTCGTATGATCGAAAAAAGTCTTTTAGTTATCTTGGAAATGACGATTATTGGCATTTACTATAATATTTTACATATTAAATAATAGCGATTTTCATTTCCAAGCCAACTCTGTCGCCGTTCTTTGTTTAATCATGTCATATTATATTAAATTATTTAATAACAGAAAATCTGTATTATTAACCTACTGTACCCAAAATACGTAAATCTACTGATTAATCCGTAGTTCTGGCAACAGTGTCTCCGGCGACCACTCACTCTGTCGACTGAAAGCAGAACTACGGTAACAATATCAGCGTACAGCGGCGCAGAGCTAAACTAAATCTCGGACAGGCTTACGGTAACGCCAGCTACATCTCGGACATTTTTCTGTTTTTTTGAGTTTTGTGCCACGAAATCGCCCATAAGGTTGTGCATCACCGCAATGCATTGTAATATGGACGGTCTATAAGAGAATACAAAGACGAGTAAGATATTAACTCTTTTACCTGCACAGCTTGTGCTCCCACTTGCAAATACTCTAAAGTAGTTGCAGCTGATTCTACTCCTCCCACTCCCAATATTGGAAAACCTGGCAATGCTTCGGATATGGCGGCAACTGCTCTTAAACCCATGGGTCTCGTAGCATTTCCTAATAAGAATAATAATTATTATATGTTATATTTATCGCTAATATATACAAAGAAGCCAAAGCACACAAGATTAATGGTATATAAAACAACTCCAGAGTTCCCAAATGGCAAAGGAGTACGACATGGAAAAGCGATATCCCCAAAGCTGTTTACAGTAACATTAGAAGAAATCTTTCGTCAACTGGACTGGACCAAAAAAAAATTAAAAATATATGGAGAATATCTGAAACCATCAAAGATTCGCTGATGACATAGTTCTAATTGCCAATAGGCCTGATGAACTCCAAGCACAGATTAATGAACTAAATACAGCCAGCAATAAAGTCAGTCTCAAAATAAAATTAACAAAAACTAAAGTAATGTACAACGAACTAGTGGAAAGAAAAGACATTCTAATAAATAACACAACACTAGAAATAGCAGAAGAATATACAGGGTGTCCGGAAATTAATGCAACAAAATTTGGTCATAAGTTCTTGAAAAAAAATAGGTGACCCGTATTTTTTATTTTTGGCCTGTGGCTCCCCTTTTCGGATTTACAGCCCCCTGGATTTCGCCCTTAAAAAGAGTTTTTTTTAATATCTCAGGACCCTGTTGGACGAAAATCACTAAATTTGGTACACGTTATTTTACCATAGAATGACAAATTTTGATGCTATTAACTTTTTTATTTTCATCAGTGGCGTCCCTACGGTATTTAAACTAAATATTATTGAAGAAAAAAATGGTACGCCACTGTTTTTCTTAAATAATTATTTTTTTAATTGACTATTTATTTTTTTAAATTATTTTTAAAATCTACACTAAATTTGGAACAAATTTGATCTCTTGACTTTTTTTGGTACGATGCACCGTTTTCGCGTAAAAAAATAAAAACCATTTTCATACATGACCAAATCGCTAAAGTTTTAATGTAAACTTTCATAGCAAAATTTAAAAAAACGACAATTTAGAATTTTGGACATTTTGGTTCGCACTTAAATAGATAATAAAAACAAGAGTGAAAATAAGATTTTGGAAAATTATTTTAAACTTAAGTTTGCCGTTTTAAAAATTTTGCCTTTGAAATTTACGGTAAAATTTTAGCAATTTAGTCATGTATGAAAATGGTTTTATTTTTTTACGCGAAAACGGCAAAACGTCGTAGCAAAAAAAAGTCAAGAAATCAAATTTGCTCGATCAAAATGTAGATTTTAAAAATAATTTTTATTTAGAAAAAAACAGTGGCGTACAATTTTTTTCTTCAAAAATATTTAGTTTAAATACCGTAGGGACGCCACTGATAAAAATAAAAAAAGTTAATAGCATCAAAAAATGTCATTTTATGGTAAAACAACGTGTACCAAATTTAGTGATTTTCGTCCCACAGGGCCCTGAGATATTAAAAAAAACTCTTTTTAGGGGCGAAATTCAGGGGGCTGTAAATCTGAAAAAGGGGGCCACTCGCCAAAAATAAAAAATACGGGTCACCTATTTGTTTCAAGAATCTATGAAGAAGCAGTGCTCATCACGCAGCATAACCGTGATGAGGCTTCCCTCAGTCAGAGGTCCTGTGATGGCTTCCGTCTCAGTTCTCACTGCCGCATGTCGGTCGCATTCCAATAGTACGTGCCCGGCATCCTGTACATCGCCACAAGCTCCGCAGTGAGGAGAGGCAGCTTTTCCGATGCGATGCCTGTAGGCAGCGAACGTACCATGACCGCTCAGAAACTGCACCAAGCAGTAGGTCAGTCTCCCATGGTCTCTCCGTAGCTATGGTCTCAGGTCTGATATCCAGCGCCGAGTCCATCCGCCCCGATCGCTGCTTTGCCATCTTCTATTCCACAGCTCCAGGAATTTTTCTTTTTGTGCCTTGATGGCACCTTTTTCTAGTCCGTAAGATTCGCTCCTATATCTAGCTTGTAGGTCTAGAGGCATTATCCCAACGAGCACTTGTAGTACTTCTGTGGACACTCTCCTGTTTGCCCTGCTTACATACAGGAGCACCGTCCTCTGTGCCCGGTTTAGAGCGTCAACATTCTTTGCCAGCTTTAGAGTGGTTTCTGCCCATGTGGGTGCAGCATACAGCACAGCCGACGCGTGTGCAGTTGCCAGCATCCTGCGTGCCCAATCGCCGGCGCCACCATCGCGCGGCATGAGTCTTGTTAGAGCTCTTGCACTCTCCGCTGCATTCTTTGCCTTTGTCTGAGTGTGGTAGACAAAGGTGCCATTTTTCTCTAGCCAGACGCCCAAGTATTTAATCTCGTCCTTAATTGGCACTTGCACTCCCAGAATGTTGACCTCCAAAGTCCCTACCAGTTTTGTTCTGCCGGTCGAAATGCCGGTTAATCATATTGAAATCTAGAATGTGACTCTATCTAAAGAAGAAAACATTCCACCAATGCAGTCATGACCTATGCATGCGAAACCTGGACACTTAAAACGGACATAAGGAAACTGCAGGTCGCACAGCGCTCAGTGGAACGAAATATGCTGGGAATAACCAAGAGAGACCGTAAAAGAATAGAGTGGATACGACAAAAAATCCAGGTAATAGATGTCATCCACAGAGTCAAATCCCTCAAATGGCATTGGGCAGGACACCTGGCAAGAATAACGGACACCAGATGGACCACAAAAATTACAGAATGGTACCCACGAGGAATTGAGACCTAGAAGAAGACCGAACCTGAGATGGGACCATGATATTAGGAAATTAGCAGAGATAATAATTGTTTAGGGATAACTGTTGGATCCGCATATCTAACAATAGATAACAGTGTGCCCAACTACAAAGAAAGTTTGTAAGGGAGGATACGCTATAATTGGAAATGGTTGAATAAGCTGAAAATGATGATGATGATATTTATAAAACCAGAAAAAACATTTCATTCTTCGTCGATTTCATAGAGTCAAAATACACACAACAAAACTTATATGGAATCACTCTTTATTTCTGATTAAATTTCTTGCAAGGATAAAAATTGGTATACGACTTTAAGGTAAGACTTTTTGTTGTAAATAAACATGATAATAACGAATCAACGACTGCTGCGATTTATTTTCTTTTGAATTTTGTGTTCAGTAGTAAAATCACGATTGACCAGTAATTTTCATTCGATCCAAAAAAAATCAAAAAATGCCTTATGTTGGATTAATAGATGTACATAGGGGAAGAATTATTGCTCTCACCGAACAAGGAATGCCCCAAAGAGACGTAGCAGAGATAGTAGGCGTTACCCAGGGTATTGTATCGAAAACATATGCAAGGTATTTGGAATTAGGAACACGCAAAGACAAAGTCGCCAAAGAGACACAACTGAACAACAAGTCCGCCTTGTGGGCCAAATTGCTAGAATAAATCCCAATGTTTCTCATCCAGAGGTACAAAGACAACTTCTGGCAGCTACAAGTGTGAACGTTTTAGTTGAAACCATAACAAAAAGGCTTCGTGCTCGAGGATTTTACAGTAGGAGAGAGTTACCGGCTAAATGGATGCCTTCAACATCAAAACTGGACAACTGAGAATTGGCAAAATATTCTTTTTTCGGATGAGACCAGAATTGGATCAGATAACCATCGAATTCGGGTTCTCAGAGCTCCAGAAAGACGAGCGCGACTTCAGGCTGCCAAATCTGTACCAAGATATAAAGGAGGAACTATAATGTTCTGGGGAGGTATTATACTGGGAGCAAAAACTCCACTGTTACCACTTCAACAAACTTTAACGGGTCGGAGATATGTTGACTTGGTGCTAGACCCAATCGTTAGTCTTTGGAGAGCTGCAATTGGTTATAATTTTAACTTCTTGTACGATAGTGCACCTCCCCATACCAGCAAAATGACTAGAGAATGTCTTGAAACGGAAGGTGTCATAGTTTTGGACTGGCCTGCATGTTCACCAGATTTAAACCCTTCGAACACTTGTGGGGCTAGCTCAAAAAAAGGGTTAGAGCTCGTCGATACAATCCAGGATATCTTGCACAGCTTATTGATGCAGCATTAGCAGAATGGGGAAACATACCCTAAGACAACGTTAATAATTTAATAAGAAGCATGCTAGCGCGAATAGAAGCTTGCATAAGGGCTAGAGGTGGAACAAGGAATATTAAAATTATCAATTATCTTTTTGTTTTTGCTTTTTGGCCATTAAAAATTTTAATCTTAATTTCATTTCAGAAACCAAAAAAATACCATTTTGTTTATTTCGGGAACTAATTAATTTTTTTTATTGCTATATGGATTATTTTTCATTAAAAGTCATTGGTAAGGCCTGAGTTTATTCATAAACACAAAATTTTCATACGTCTCAAAAATTATGAAAAATAATAGATGATTCCGTATAAGTTTGGTTGTGTTGTATGCCTTTTTACCTGAAACTCCTCCAAATGTAGTTCTTTTTCCAGTTCCCACTCTAGGCCAAGTTAGTCCTTCTGCGTTGATACCCATTAAACCAGACACTGTGTTGATAGCAGACACACCCCAAGCTCCGCCTTCTTTAGCTGCCGCAGCTATGGTAACTATGTTCGTTATATTAGGCGTTAATTTAATAAAAAATGGAATTTTGACTGCTTCTCTGACCCAGCTGCAGATATCTCGAACTAATTCTTCTTTCTGGAGAATAAACAATTTTTAGACTAGTCTCATTACAGCCTAGAGGCAAACTTACTTGACCACAAGCTAGACCCATTCCAGACTCTTTAACTCCATGCGGACAACTGAGATTAAGCTCCAACATATCTGCTCCGCTTTTTTCTGTCTTTGTTACTGCCTCTACCCAGTCTTCTTTTACATAAGCGCACATTACTGATGCTATAATAATCTAATAAAAAATACCGTCACTTTGGATCCAGAAAAGATACTAAATGTTCTTTCTATAGTTCGTACCAATTAAACTTTTAGTCACGTGATTAAGCTTGAGAAGCACAGCGTTGCCTACTTTTACATATTTTCTTGTAATCAAAATATTCTAGGTTATCAGATCAACGAAACTCACCTCCTTAACATCACTTAAGGGACATAAAGGGCTATTACTACCACTTTCCCGTTGAAAATATTCTAACCCAAGCAGCATCTGGACGTCGGGACAACGTTGTGTCACGCGACCAAATGTCGGGGTGCAACGTCGGCACAACCTCGTGCCAAACCTAGTCTACACTAGTTTGGAGAATAATTTTTGGGTCGAAACGACGTTGGATACCGACGTTGGCTAGAAACCTAATTAAGTACAAACTGCAACGTTGTTTAAAATCCTAATTCACAGAAATACAAAACTAATATGGCGTCTAAGTCGCGTTTTATCCTAAATTGGGATAATTATAGTAAAAATATTATTTTTATGATTTAGTTAGAGACATATGTCAGATGGCAGTGAAGGAAAACAAAACAAAAGTATTTAAGTGTGGGGGATGTTTGAAGATCATAATTATTGAAACACTTTAACCGACTCTGTAACTCGTTACCCAAGGCAAAAAAAGTTAAACGCAAAGAACTTTATTGATAAATGTATTGTTTCTACTTTTGAAAATACTAATGGGCCTTAAAATTAAAGAAGTTTAAAAATTTTCTTGAATTTTTTTTTTAGTAAAATGAGAATAATTTATTCGCAGTCGAAAAAATTGTTTCCGCGTGTTTTTTAGGGTCAATTATTTCAAGTTAATGTATTCAAAAAGCAGGAATTGCTATTTTAGGAACGAAACATTTTCTTATTTAACAACATGGCGGCTTTCACTTTGTTGTTTTGGAGATTAAGATGGAGAAGTTCGAGTAGTCGCATACTGGACTAATAAAGTCGCAGTTCGGCCTTAACAGGTAGTATACTAGTCGCAAGATTGCCTAATTTAATCATCCTAGAGTCTAGTTTGTGCCGCCCTCTATAATCTAAATAAACGAGGGAGTGGATAAACTATCGGTAATATATGTCGAATATATGTATATTTAAATTTAGTTTTATATGTACCTTTCTTATGTCCCATTTTAATTAAGTTTTTTTTTATAAAAACAAAAACAGCACTGAACTGTCTGACTGAACAGAACAATGAAGTGAAAATTTAAGATTTAAGGTTATGGTTCAATACAGTTGCAAAAAGGTAGTGATTCGACGTCCTACCAACGTAAGAATAACGAAATCTAAACAACTTTGGAATTAGTAAAACAGACGACGTTTGCATAACGTTGGAATAGGCCCTGAAACTGACGTCGGAAAACTCTATATTGTCCAACGTTGTAACTACGTTGTCCGAATCACCTAAAGATCACTTAAGCAAAAAAGGTTACAAGACAACATTTATTCGACGTCGCAGAAGCTTCTATTTTGCTGTAGTACTAGTCCACCGTCGGCACAACGTTATAAAAACGTTTAAATTTATTTTAATACCCAAGGTAGGGAGCTAATTATTTTTTGTAACTAATTCAACGTTGTGTTTAGTAAACATGTGGTCGCAAGTCGAGAAAATGCTACTTGGGAATAAGACTGCGATGATTTTTTTGCAGCGGCTACTAAGCTATCTTGTACAGTTCGTACTAAAAGAGGTTCTAAAAAGAACAATGTTCCACTGCAAGCTCTGTTAGTAACAATTTTTAAGCTTAAAGCATAGTATAGGGAAATTAGTAGCTTTACTCCTTGTAAAATCTTTTGTTCTTTTTTTACCACTTTATATGACCTTGTTCTCGCGTCCCCTGACCAGTGACGTAGCTGTATAGTCATGGTCTATAACTAGGCAAAGTATAGTCGTGGCACTGGCCATAGTTTCACAGAGATGTATTTAGGAAAATGAGTTCACAATAAAATAAAATAAAAAAAATTAATCATCGAGTAAAAATTTGCTTGAAGACAGAATATTTTCTCATTTCGTGTAAGTAACAATTCTTCTGTATCTGAAAATCTTCTGATGGGAAGAAATGCGGAAAAAATATATAATGACATATTTTTATATTATTATCTATTTCAAAGATTTCCTACAACTTTTTTTAAAATTTAAAACAAGTTTAATTTTAACATTAATGTGTTTGTTTTGTAGTAATATATTGGTTAGGTGATTTTCAATGGATAACTAATACATTGAACAACACATTGTACTAAATAATAAAACAACATATTTAAATTTCAATAATTGCTAATAAACATTACAGATATTTCAAAAGAGAAAAGAAGCAAGAACATGAGAAATAGCATCACTACTTTCTCACGTAACAAAAGAATAATTTTTTAGTTATTGTTACCCGAATTAGCTATATTAGTTATTGTTACCTATTGTCCCGAAGGTACCGAAAGAACCGGGAATTAATAATTTCGAATCCCGGTTCTTTGATATCTCAAAAGAACTGTGAATTTCCGGTTATGAACCCTAGTTACCATATTATCAAGAAATTATGTTTTTTAACTAAAAATTAAAAAAAATTCCAGATTTAAAAAAAAATTGCCCTGTAAAATCCTCATATTTCTGGGGGGGTCAGAATATACTACCCTTAACAATATTTGTACTTATTTAAGACTCACCCTGTATAAGACGATTCACGGTTATAGTACGTTATTGCGTTTCCGGAACCGGAGCTGTTCTTCGGAACCGGTAATTTCGATACCATGCCTCTAAGGAACCGCGATTTCCAGTTTTTTTTCGGTACTAGCAAATTTTTGTTCAGTGATGGTGCAGTTTGTTAAACAGCAAGCAAGGGATGGTTGTCAAAAGTAAAATCGATAAAAAATTGAGGTTTAAATGAAAATAATATCAAATTATTAAGTAGTAATCAGTCATGAGAAAATTAACATGAACACAAACATGATCACAAATGACTCTTAAAAAAAACTCAAAGCACAATTTTTTTAATTATTACTAGAACCAATAGCAGCACACAGTAAGGCCCTCATTTGTTGTCAATCCGTCTCTGTGCTGAGACGCAACGCTAGAACCTCGCAGGGCGACGGACAGAACTCAACTGAAGCGCTCTGCAATCTGCCGATATTCGACAGATTGTAAAAACTGGCAGAAAATATTTGGGAGAGTGCAACTACTCTTTTCCTTCTACTATGCTTAGAGTATCAAAACAAAATTCATTTAAACCAAAAACTCGTAATACAAAACTAAAGTGTCAAAACGAATGACAATGTCAGGAAATAAATAAATAAATGCGGCAACTTGACATTTTTTACAGCAGAGCTGAATCCCCAGCGGGAAATTTAAATTCCAGTTAGTTAGATTGACATTAGAAGTTTAATTGGTATCGCTTATAAGTAAATTGTAAGTTGTTAATCTTAATAACACCATTAATTACCTTTGTTGGGAAGTCTTTTTTCAGTTCCTGGATTCCGGTTAGCCAGTAGTCGAAGTATTTTTCAGATATTACTTCTATATTTAAGAATGAACCTTGCTGAGGTCCGTAGATTGGACCAGAGGTTGTTCCTCTAACTATTCTGGGTGATACATTTGTTATTTCGTTCTTAAAAGAGAAATAGTATATTACATACTTGAAGTGTTTTTTTACCAAAAATCTCGAGATGTTAATGAAAAAATATTTCTGTACTGAATGAAATTCCGTAGTAGTTTTTATCAGTGTGTATCAGACAGTAGTTTTTATCTTTCGCTATCGATAGAGAAAGGAATCTAGCTGTCATCGGATTCTGTAAAGACGGCATTCCATATTATGGAATGTCTTCGAATATATCGTTAAAATATCGATATTTTTTGCATATTACTATTTTCTATGCATACCATGTGACATTGAAATTGCAACACTCAGTAAATCTATATCTATACAATATATAAAATCCTTAAGTGACTGACTAACGATCCTGTTCAAACCACTCAACGTAAGAATCTCAATTTTGGCATAGAGGTTGATTCTAGGGTATAGGTTCGATAAGAAGGGATTTTTCGAAATTCCAGTTCCAAGGGGGTGAAACCACCCCTCAAATATTACAATATTTTTTAGTTAAAAAACGGTCAAGTTTCCGAAAAAACGCTTAAACACATATATTTTATTTTGTTTTTTAAAAACGTATACAATGTGTTTCGAAAAATCTGGTTATAGATTAATCACGGTCCTGCTTAAAGCGCTTTACGTAAAAAACTGATTTTTGGAAAACGGATTGACTTTAGGGTGTAGAGATTCAATAAGAAGGGATTTTTCGAAAGTCGAATTCTAAGGGGGTGAATATTCCCTCAAATATTAGAATATTTTTTTATTCAAAAACCGGAGTTTTTCGGAAAAACCCTTAAACACGTATAATTTGTTTTGTTGTTTTACATAATTTAAGATTTTGTAAAAAATTACACAGGGTGTTTTATAAAATATGACCATTGAGTAATCACGATTCTGCTTAAACTGCTTGACATTTAACGCCGATTTTTGGCAAACGGATGGACTGTGGGGTGTAAAGGTTCGATAAGGAGGAGTTTCTCGAATCTCAAATTCCAAGAGGGTAAAAACGCCCCTCAAATATTACAATATTTGTTATTTAAAAAACGGTTAGTCTTTCGGGAAAACGCTTGGACACGCATAATTTATTTTGTTTTTTTACATATTTTAAATTTTTTTTTAAAAAATCATACAGGGTGTTCCAAAAAGTTGGGTAATTGATTAACCACGATTCTGCTTAAACTGCTTGACGTAAAAAGCTTATTTTTGGCAAACGGATTTTTCGAAAGTCAAATTTTAACGAGATGAAACTACCCTTCAAATATTACCAAGTTATATAATAATATCGCCATATTGTTTTTTCCCATGATGACATAAATGTGATAAAATTTTATCCAGTTAATGGAAATTCTTGCTTTCCTTTATCATCACCATTACAAATGATTAATTTGACGCGAACGAAGTCGCGGGTCCACGCTAGTGTAAATATATTTTATTAATATTTTTGAAAGTGTTTAGGATAAATATGAAATATAATAGCCAATTACATTTTCAAACAAATTTGTTGAAAGGAATTCTTAACAATCAAAAAAAAAGAAACGTCTGTTTTTTTTAAACTAAGTAAATTCTGGTTATTTGTACACAGTCTAGGATAAAAATGTTATCGTTTACTACAATTCATGCAGTCAATCAACCGACAAAACATTATAAATATAGTTAAGCATATACTGGGTGTTCCAATTTCTATGTGACGCAGTGTATTTTTTTATTAGACTAAATTATTTTTAAATGACAAACCTTGTCTAAGCCAAAAGTTTTGGTAACCACAAACCCCCATCCTTGTTCGAAGCATCTTCTGATCATTGCTGGTGTTGTAACAGGTGGTGCAGAAGCTAAACCAAAGGGATTCTCAAATCGTACTCCACAAATTTCTGTTGATATGTCCACGTCATCTATGGGAGTGTGGAAGAGAGGCAACCTCGATGGAGAATCACTAGGAAGATCCTATAACACAAATTTACAATGTGGATCATTTGTTCATCTTATAGATTACAAAAAAGTAGATATACCTGTAAAGAGTGCTATCTTAAAACGTATATAGTAACAATAAAAGTAAACAGACAACTACAAAACTGTAATGGGTCACTAATAGGGTATTGCAAGCTGAATAGATTTATAATGCTAGTGGAATTGACAGACATTTTGATTTAATAAGAACAATTAGAAAAAGGTACCTCTAAAAAGCAGTGTATGCTCCAAGCTGCTGTTTTTCCATCATTGACTGATTCGACTGTTGTTTCTGCAACCCCAGCCATATCTCCTCCTATCCAAACCTTAGGATGCGAACTTTGAAGAGTCTTTGGGTTTACAACCGGAAGATTCCAGTCGTTGAGCGACAGTGGTTTTAGTGCATCCAAAACTGATAAAGAATAACAAAAATTTTATTAATTATAATATAACTGAATACAAGGCAAAGTTAAGACAGAGGGGACAAAAAATTTATTTTGATTTTTAAGGTATTTTCAAAAAAAATCAAATAATAAATTTGTGAGTTCCCATACAGCACGTCCAAATGAAATTACGTTTCTACAAGGGAGACACATGAGAAACAAAATATGTTAAAGTGAACCTAAGTGTTCATCTAGTTCTAACATATACATATGAGATACACGCAGGTTTATGTTGATAGAATTGTGTGATACAGTGTTTACTAGTTGTATCCGTATGCACTCAAGATTCTAAAGAGTTTTTTGTAACGTAACAAATAATTATTAAAATGATGAAATCTGACGTCGGTATATGAGACATACAATGTATAAGTCATATGTATGTGTGATACTTCGTATCATAATTGTGCCTATAGTACACACCTTGTAAAAATGTAACGTATACACATAATATAAATATCTATATAGACACCTTGTAACAGTGTACTGTTGTGTCTACATTCTAGCATGAAATGAAGGTGTGCGCACGCCTGGATAGCCTCAGCGTAGATACACCGACCACGTGTATCTTATGTGTCCTCTCTCCTTTCTCCTTTCTAGGAGTGTTACCAGCCATTATTGTTTTATCATTCGGAAGCTCTATATAAATGTTCTGTTTGTGTGTAGTTTAAAAGAGATTTTAAGGTAAGCTCAAGTTTTTAATTACCTTGTTACACCTTCCTAAGAGTATTATTAATATTATAGCAGCGACTCTTCTCTTACTCGATACCTAATTTACCAAATTTTGACTCCAATGAATGAAAACTCCAAATATTCTCGTATAATGATAAAGAGGTTAGCTCTGCAATATATTTTTTTTTAATTTGGAAATAATAAAAATATAAATGGACCAGAGATAGAAAGATTTAAACACTTCACAGAACTTCTTACGCTGATATTCGGTAAGTTATTGATGGATCAATATACAGATATGTTTAATATTCAATAATCAGTTTCATATAAAATTTAAGGGTGAGATTGTCAATCTGGAAATAAAATACAACAAAGTCCAACAGAGTGCTCGATGAATGAGTATGCTAACAAACCAATTGCTTGGAGAGAAAAGAGGAGAAAAAAATGACTAAACGAGGTCCACCAAATCGTGGCGATATACCAGTGTTTACCATTTTAGTATGTTGTTATACTAGGTACTTATATTTTTAATACATTTTGATATAAATTCTGTTCTTTTACAGTGTTTTCTTACTTCTGGTTTCTGCAGTGTAAATAATTATTATTATTTTGTTATTTGCGCTATTGCGTTCCATGATATAAAGAAATATAATAATTTTATTTTTTAACCACTTAATACATTTTATGGAAGAAAAATGGTACATTTAATACAAAACAAAAATGGAACAATTTTAAGGCTACTTCTCTTGAACTTACGATCGAGATACTTTTGGAACATACAAAGTTTTGTCTTTCTAATTTTCGTTCTAAAAAGATATAATTGGTATCATTGAATAAATATTTCTTAAAAAGAACGAAAAGTTAGGCATCAAAACTTGTATTATTTCCTAAATTCGTTCATAAGAAGTAGTTTTATCTAGCACAAAATGTATATACGAAGCAAAATACATACGTATACACGCGGTAGTCACAACTGCAATGTGTAAACAGAGTTTAAACGTAATACACAGGCACTGTGTATCCGACGGCACACTGTGTATCCCTTACTTTGTGTATACGTAAATGCTATACTGTGGCTACATTGTGTGAGGCGGACGTTTAACCTTTGTGCATACGTGTTGAACTACAATGTGTAAACGTAGCATATTTAAATGTGATTTGATGTGCTGTATGGGTTGCATCATCAGCAGATGATTAAAACTTTTGAATTTTAATGATTTATTTTATTTTGCTGTTGTAACACCAAAGGTTCCAACACCCAACTGTAATGATCAAGTATGTGTATTCTATACCAATTAAACTTTTAGTTACATAATCGAGGGCGCGATTTTTAAATTCATTGTTGCCAACCATGGACATCTTCGGCGCCGGCCGGGCTGACTAACTGGAATTTAAATTTCCCGCTGGGGATTCAGATGGTAGTTCTGTTGTAAAAAATGTCAAGTTGCCACATCTATTTATTTATTTTCTGACATTGTCATTCGTTCTGACACTTGTTTTGTATTACAAGTTTTTGGTTTAAATAAATTGTGTTGTGATGCTTTAAGCTTAAACATTCTTACTAGCAGACCTTGCAGTCGAACATTGTTCTTTTTAGAACCTCTTTTAGTGCGAAGTGTACAGGGTGAGTCAACGATAGAGTAAAGTCCATTATCTCATTTGTTTCGAGGTTTAGAAAAAAATATTAAATATAAAAATTATAGGAACGGTTAAGATACATATTCTAAAATTATTATAGAGTATACAGGGTGCTTCAACAAAGTGTGGCGAATGTATCATATGTTTTTTTATATGCAACACTATATTTTTTATTTAATTTTTAGATTCTGCGTAAAATTTTATAACTTTTTTATATATAATGTTATATACCTAAAATGAATAGTTTTTGTAATATTTAAATGTGCTTAAACAAATGTTAGATTGCAGTGTGATATAAAATTGTCAGTGATGCCGTTGTTTCTGAAGTTGGACAACTAACATTTTGTAGGAGAATTTTATAGAGACATAGAAAAAAATCTATCTAAAGATATTTTAGTTAGATGCTACAGGGTGTTCAAAATATATTTATGAATTTCAACTACTTACAATTAAGAAATTTCAAATTTTTTAAATGGTACACCCTATATATTGTCATTTTTTCTGATAGATTTTACAAAACTCTTCAACTTTTATTAAGTATGTTGTAACGTTTTTAGTTCGTTACATGTCTTTTTTACATATGATATATGATGTCTGGCCTATCATCACCGGATTCCCTCTCGTTCAGGCCGGATAGTTTATTTGACGCGCAATTTTTACGTTCCCTAGTCGCCAACCCTGTTATCGTTCGACACAATCCTGTTACTATTCTGTGAAGGCGCGCGCTGTCAACATCGCTTCTGTCAACTCTCCGTGCTTAACCTCAGTTTGTTTTGACGCTCTGTTTTATCCCAGCTTTTAGAAATGGTGATTATTTAAATCTTGCTGTATAATCTGAATCAGCTGCTATTTCAAAGCAACAGGTAAAGCTGAGTTATTTTCCTTTTAGATTCGATATTATTAGTGAATATTTTGAGGGTAGAGTTACGGATGTCCCAACTTGTATTTGTGTTTGGCTGGCACGTTGGCGTCCCTTTGCTTTTGTCCTCCAGAATGTCATTTGGAAGAAGGGACAGATTGTTTATTATTTATTGAGCCCTCGGAAGTATTTCGAGGTAGGTTCATTTTGTTTATTAGACGGTGTTTGATTTTAAACAAGAGTTTCGTGTTCCTAGGGTCTTATGGACGGACATTGTCTTACGGACAAGTGTCCAAGGTATGGACTATTTTTCAAGGTCCTAGTAGTGTTCTCTTGTGCCAGTATCTGATGGACGGATGTCCCATGGACAAATGTCCCCAGTAGGATTGATTTGTCTTACACATAGAGTGCCCCAGCGTGGATGTGGCTTGAGCCCCGTGCTGCTTCACCCCCATTTCTAAGCCTGGATCGCCGACAGACAGTACAGAGATGCTAGACCTCCTCGCGCTGCTACTGTTTGAAGCAGGGTTACATAAAAGAACAGCTAAGTGTATATTTAAGTTCTAGTTTTGCATTTAACATCTAAAATGTTTTCAGTCTTAAACAGTAACGTACATTTTAAACAATAGCGTACAGACTATATTTAGTGGTTAGATTATTAAGGATATTTATGTCGATGCAGTAGTAAAAGTGTGATTTAGATTTTAGATTTCATAATATCACGCATTGTAATAGTATTACTTTCTATAGACATTATTATTACGCTATACTAACAGATGAATAACGAGATAGATTCTAGAATCTACAGGTTGCAACACATCTGATTTAACACCGTATAAATTTAACAATTTAAAGAAAGTAATGCTACTTTTCCTATATTTTCTATAACGTTACACGCATTGTATTTTCTTTATAATCTTTTCATAGAACGTATTTAATATTATTTACATATATAGTTTTACTCAACAAGTAACCACTATAATAATTATATTAATTGTACAATGCTTTTTACCATCAGAATTCATCACGATTAAATATAGTCATTAGTTTTAAGTATTATACAACTGTGTTTTCTTTCTCTGTACATGCCTGGCGCCCAATATCTATATATCTTTTGTTTATTACTATTGATTAATTTTCTCTCTAGTGAAATACCTTATCCACGACTGCTCTCCGATGAAAAGCTGCCGTTCGCAGTGGTAGTTGTTAAAAAAACGCTACAATGTCATATACCTATTTTTAATAGTTTACGATTTATTCCAATTTTTTCTATTTTTACCCATATTTTTAATACAGTTACGCTATAACATTATAGATGCAATGACAAAAAATAATAATTATTAAAATTTCATGTCTGTTAAGAACAAGATTTAAATTTTGTCTTATGGTGGTAATGGTAGAGGTAATTGTTACATATTTTCCTGAAATTAATTAGTCAATGTGACTGGTATACACGAACAAGCGAAGAAAACCATATTTTTTGGTTCAGTACATATATTTTATAGTGCTTTGCTAAGTACTATAAGAATAGATGTAGATTATCTAGAAAACATCTTCAGTGTGTAATGGGATGGTTTGGCGGCAGTAGTAATATGGGCTTTACGAAATGAATTATAATCAGTCAAACATTATAGTCAGTCACTATATCAATAGTCTTCAACAATTAAGTAATTTAGTATGACCCTAATCTGTCGCTATTGTTTTTAGCGATTTTATTTTATTTGAGTAAAGTTAATTAATTTTAACTAATACTAACAATTGTAACTAATTATGAAGCTACTTGTTAAAGAAAAGTTATAAATAGTTTGTTTTGTCATGGCAACTATGATTTTATAGCGTAATTGTATTAAAAATATGGGTAAAAATAGAAAAAAATGGAATAAATCGCAAACTATTAAAAATAGGTATATGACATACTTAATAAAAGTTGAAGAGTTTTGTAAAATCTATCAGAAAAAATGATAATATATAGGGTGTCCCATTTAAAAAAATTGAGATTTTTTAATTTTAAGTAGTTGAAATTCATAAATATATTTTGTACACCCTGTAGCATCTAACTAAAATATCTTTACATAGGTCTTTTTCTATATCTATATGAAATTCTCCTACCAAATTTTAGTTGTCCAACTTCAGAAACAACGGCATCACTGACAATTTTTTATCACACTGCAACCTAACATTTGTTTAAGCACATTTAAATATTACAAAAACTATTAATTTTAGGTATATAACATTATATATAAAAAAGTTATGGAATTTTACGCAGAATCTAAAAATAAAATAAAACATAGGGTGTTGCATTTAAAAAAACATATGTTATATTCGCCACACTTTTTTGAAGCACCCTGTATACTGTATAATAATTTTGAAATGTGTATCTTAACCTTCCCTATAACTTTTGTATATAAAACTTTTTTGTAAACCTCGAAACAAATGAGATAATGGACTTTACTCTATCGTTGACTCACCCTGTACAAGATAGCTTAGTAGCCGTTGTGAAAATCTCATCCAAGCCTTTTTTAGAATATTTTTAACGGGAAAGAGGTAGTAATGGCCCTTTATGTTCCTTAAGTGCTGTTAAGAAGGTGAGTTTTATTGATGTAAATAATAACTGTTTATATATTTATGATTAATATATTTCTGTTTCCCAAAATATTTTGATTAAAAGAAAATATGTAAAAGTAGGCAACGCTGTGCCGGTCGAGCTTAATCACGTGACTAAAAGTTTATATGGTATAAACTAATTCTAAACTTATTAAACTCAATGAAATGGCCTGTATACTTACTGTCTGGATCTGTCAAATGCGATCCAAAGGCCGATATAACAAAATCAGCTTTGATGGTCGTGAGTTGTTCCTTATCCTGGGCCCATTTTCCATTATCAAGCTGCTCTGAACGACTAAAAGTCATCGAAGTTATTTTTCCATTTTTTAAGTTTACTTTGTAGGGCGATAGGAAACCAATCAGCTCGCAGTATTCCTCAACAGCTACGGATACTTCTTCTGGCACAGCTCTAATATTTTGAAAACCTCTAAAAAACAATTATCCCTTAAACTATATGTAGTTATAGTATTAAAAAAGTTTACTTCAAACACAGACGTGAACATTTTGGCCAACAAAGTTCTATTGAGACCATAGACTTAAAATAAAATATAGACTACACTATTTACATCTCAACGCAGACAAACAAGCTTTTTTTGTACACATGTTTACTTCTGGGTACAGTCGACCTAGCCTTCCTCATCCAGCCTATGTTGTCACGTCTTTAATATTATCAATATTTTTTTTCTTGTTATACACATATATTGAGATATTAATACTACAGTTTAATAAAGTAGATTTTAATATTCCATAGATGTATTAAATAGTCCTTATACTACTAAATTATAAGTCGGATACTGTTTAATAAGGATAAGTTCTTTACAATATGACAACACCGATTAGAGGCGAGGGAGCCTATTCATTCATTTATTACCTTGTAGTACGCGTGGCAAGTGTGCGGTAAAGCTTTGATGCCGCTATGTCCCCGGCTGTATTAACGCATTTTCTTAGTTTGTAGTCCTTAAGTGTTTATTTTATTGACTTTTTCTGTTCAAGAACTATAAAATATGGTTCGCCAGTGCCAAATTTGCAAGAAATTTGACTTAAATAATCCATTTAAGTCTTGAAACGACTTTCGACCGGTAGACAACTCTCAATTTGCCCATTGGGAGCCAGTGGCGTTGTTGTAGAAAGGCGCTTATTTAGATAATATTTTAGTAAAATGTAAAATCTGAATTTTTTCTCATTACATTATTTACTTACTTACATTGTAACAAAGTCATAATTATAACCCTGTTAATAATTAATAATGATTTTATTAAAAATATGGTTTATTCTAAAATTATCTTGAGCATATAAAATAACATACAAGAATTTTAAATTGATATTACATTATGAAACAATATTTTTTAATATACCGGGTCGTCTCAAAAGTGGCTCACCCCCTATAACTTTTTTATTTTTTCAGATAAAAAAAACAGATTTGTATGTTATAGGTATATGACATAAATTAGGATTTATTGATGTATTCAGTTGTTTTTGGTCTCTTCCTGTTTCACCGAAATGATTACATCTTTTTATTTTTAAAGGCAACCTCGGTATATTGCTACTTTATTCGATAAAAAATGACACTCTGAATAGAATGACATATCATATGTCAACTTTTGACATTGTCGCTGAAAAACAAATCGTATTTTAAATTTCAATCCAGGGTGCCATGGTGTTGTTAAAAACACTAAGTTTTAATCAAGGAGCCTTGGAAAAATAGTTTTGATCGTCTAATAGGTTTCGTGTCTTGTCTAAGTCGGTTAAAATATGTACAAATCGTATTTTTAATCATACATATGTCAATTTTTTCAAATGGAACAAGGGTGACTCATTAGCATATTTGGAAAAAGCATTTTTTTATGAATATATGATACCACACACTTGGTATTTCGAGTCAAATTGTCGTTATGAACCACGTGTTACAATTACAATTAAACCATATGCGAAAGTGTCAAAAGTTGACATATGATATGTCATTCTATTCAGAGTGTCATTTTCTATCAAATAAAGTAGAAATATACCGAGGGTGCCGTTTAAAAATTAAAAGTTATAGTCATTTCCGGTGAAACAGAAAGTGACCAAAAACAATTGAATGCGTCAATCAATCCTAATTTATGTCATATACTAACATACTAAATCTTGTTTTTTTATTTGAAAATATAAAAAAATTATGGGGTTGAGCCACTTTTGGGACGCACCCGGTATAATAAAGACAGTACCGAGTTAAATAAATGTAGTTTTCATTTTATCCCCTTCCTATCACCTTCCTTGCTTTAATGGAACAGATTTATGTTTTCTCTATTTTACATAATAAGACATCACTTAACCAGAAAAAAAATTACAACAATCATATTTTTTTTTCTCTCTCTGTCGCCGATTCTATTATATCTGTGGAATAGATCCTGTTTTCATTAATATTAGGGGTTGTAAATGTTTGACTAAATTAATAATTTATTATTAATTTCAAAAATTACGTAATTTCGATTATAAAATTTCTTCTATAACGTGTATTTTATTATGTTTATCCTTTTCGGACTCTAAGACGTTTTTTCTAAACTTTTATGTAAAAAACCTGTCCTAAATCTTAATAAAATATAAAAACGTTTAAATACGATATATTTTTAATTTACTTATAGCTTCATTAAAATAAAAAAATTACCCGGCTATGATACGGAGAGTTCAGGTGTACTTGAGAAACGAAAGACAGTGTTGTGTTTCTCGGCAGAGTCGTCAGGGAACGACCGTTACGACAGAGACAACCTATCTATCGCTCGTGTCGCTCTCGTTATAACCTAAAACAATAACACAACAATAACAAGACAGTGTCTGACCGCATGTTCCAGCTATTTATGAATGAGATGCTCAGTCTATATTTTATTTTAAGTCTATGATTGAGACGCAGTTAAAGTAGGTAACATAAAAGTACATGAGTTAAATAAATTTCGACGCTTCCTATAGGTTTAGATAAATTATGCGAAATGTCCAAAAAAGGTAGATAAATAAATATTCTAAGATCTCAATCAAAACAGCACAATTTACAGGGTGTCCCAGAAATAAGTGGCAAGTATTTTAAGAAAACTGGGAAACTTGGAGAGCTCTTAACAGACTGCGTACGGGCACAGCGAGATCGAGAGACACTCTTGCCAAGTGGGGCTACAATGTGGACTCCAACCTCTGCGAATGTGGAGCACTACAAACCACCCAACATATGTATACTTGCCCACTGTGCCCCGCCAAGTGCACTATAGAGGACCTTATGGCAGCAAAATCGAACGCAATTGACGTCGCCCGCTTCTGGGCAAAACATGTTTAGTTTCCCGTCTCAAATGATGTTTATACATGCTATGTTTGTTTTATATCTATGTTTTAATGTACTGTGGTTTCATGTATAACTTTTATGTTTGCAATTTTACTTATTATTATTATTATATGTAATTATTGTTGTTTTGTTGTTGTATGTGATATTATATGTATATGAAATGTAATCTTGATGATGCTTCTGACACGAATAAATAATATAATTTTAAGGGATGGTAGATCTCGATAAAAGAAACATATTTTCTCTTTATCGTTTTTCAAATAAGTCCAAAATAACGAAGTTATTTTACTTTAAAAACTTCCAAAAAAAATATTTTTTGCCTAAATTTTGAGAACCAATGGATCTTTTTTGGATTTTCTTTCTTGTAAATTTAATCTAGTACCTATGTTGCGATATTATTAAAAAATTTTGTTTTTTTAACTAAAAACAAAAAAATCAGAATTTTCAAAAAAAACTTGAACTATACTACCAGTTAAAATACTTGCACTTATTTCTAGGACACCTTGTATAGTGATCGAAAGCTCGGGTTGTCCACAGGGAAGCTCATTGGAAAAAGCGTAAGTTTAAAGAAGCCATTTTTATAGCAAGCAATAATAGCATTTTTAGCAATCCTAGTACTGAAATACCTACGATATGTCAACCATTGATTAAACGCTCCAATGTATTCTGTGTGGACAACATCACGATTGACTGCACCCAACTTTTCACGGGTGAATGCCTGAACGCACTATAAAAGCACAGATTAATAACAGCTTAGTAGTTTAAGGAATGAGTTTAGTTTGGTTTGTTGACCGAAACGTTGTGTTAATCAAAATAAAGACAATGGAAGTGCGAAATCTTTTATTTTCAATAATGAATCATTATCTACCACATCCAAAGAAAACTTTCTTTACTCTTTTGCAGTCACGGACCACTTTGGCAATTTGTACAATCTCCACGGACCCCTATCAAAAATAATAGAGGAAAATAAAAAAAGCTTTATTTACATAAAAAGAAAACGTGTATTAGTAGATTTATTACACGTACACTAGTAAATTAGTGAGAAGGATGCTGCTGTTTAGCCTCAATGAGAACGTTAAATTGTGGGGCTATCTTCGATAAGGCAAGGTGCATATCATCTGCGACGTTCAATCGCTTGTGACTTTTTGTTTTTATTGAGACTAGAACCGAGAACCCTGCCTCGGGCAAAGGTAAGTAGTAGCAAATGGTATCAGAACTTGACAAGAAGAGGGTAAGCTTGACTTGAAGAACACCAAAACTGCCAAGATCTTTTGCATGAAATTCAGCTGATATTTGATCTCATGTCAATTAAGTCATATTTAATGCGATCTTCATCGCTGATATTATCCGTGTCGATTATAAATGGACCCCGCACCCATTTTTATTTTCAAGAGATTCTAAGTTAAAGTAGCCTTCAAAAGGGGTTTGCAATGTATCCAAATGCTTAGACCCCTTTTTCTGTAGCATTTTTGATATCGTGTTTCCGTCACCTTGTGCTATTAACTCTTCAAACATCGGAAAATTTTCAAAGCTACCAGATTCCGCCCTCTTTTTCCAAAGTGGCAATTTACATATGAAACCTTTCAACCCTTCAGATGGTCACCGAAGAGCCCTGAAGAAACAAGTTAATCTCATTCAATTGAGTAAATATATCTGCCAAATACGCCAGACCCCGTACAAAATCTTCGCTCTCAAGATATTCAGACAGTGAATTTCCTTTATCTTTTAGAAAAAGTAACACTTCTGTTCTCAACTCAAACAATCGCATCGTAAATTGATTATTTTGATACATGTAGACATAACTTCCTTTAGAAATATAGGTAAAGTCCGTGAAGCCAAGGCATGTCGATGTAAGACACAATGAGCTATTATGACATGAGGGATCTCTTTCTTGACCAAAGCCGCGAAACCAGACGTATTACCAAGCATTGCAGGAGCTCCATCGGTGCAGATACTAAGTTTAGTCTTCCAGTCTATATTTTGTTCGTCGAAAAACCTTTTTGTCATTTCAAAAACATATGAAGCTTTTGTAGTCTCCACAAGCGAATTGCAAAAAAAGAACTCTTCTTTAATACTACGTGTGTCTTGTTGTACGTAACGGACAAATACTAAGAGTTGGCTACATTGTGACACATCGGGGTTTTCATCCAATTGAATGCTGAATGGAAACTTGTAAAACATTTGAAGTCATTTCAACAATTCTAGAATGAATAACATGGTTTGATAAGGGAACAGCTTCAACTTTGTTTTTTTATCCTTACGCGCATCGCGTAGTGTTTAGTGATTAAATACCTACTGAATTCGCAGCCCTACACTATTTCTTTTCTTAATAAATATGTTTACAGTTAACTGGCGTAATGCGGATCGCGGACCCCTGATACACATGCTATGGACCCCTAAGGGGTCCGTGGACCATACTTTAAGAAACCCTGCTCTAGAGGTTACTTTAAAAGCTATATACCTTCTAAAAATCACAAATACTTTCTTGGCACCACAACGCAAAGCGGAAGTAGCACAATCAAAAGCGGTATCTCCTGCACCCAGAACCAAAACAGTCCCGTGTAAACTTGGCAACGAAGAAGAACATCCTCCACTTGAACAGATCTTCTTGGAGCTTTTGGATACAGCTGGAAGGAATGATTTTGAAGTGTAGAATCCGTGAGAAGCATCCAAATTGTCAAATACTGAATCTACCTAGAAGATGGATTTTAAATAATGTTTATTATTAAAATTATAACTATTTTTACCTTGGATTGTGGTAATCCGATTGCAACAAATACTGCTTCACATTCGTTCACTAAGTTATTGATGGTGAGGTCTTTGGACGAGAGAGACCGTTGATGTTCAACTTTGATACCTAAATCACGTATCAAGTTCACCTCAAAATCGACTACTGTTTGGGGCAGACGATACTGTGGAATTTCCCAAGTACTAAGGAAAAAACTATCTTTGTAAAACATGTATCAATACAATAAAAATTCTTTTTTTGAACAATTGGAGAAGTTTTTACCTTAGTCCACCTAGTGTCTTTTCTTTCTCGTAGATAGTAATATCAGTGTATCCTAATCTTCCTAAGAAACTAGCACATGATAACGAAGCTGGACCTCCTCCAACTAAAGCTATTTTGGCTGCTGATTTTCGTGGTTTGGGTACAGCAGGATCTCTAGTTTGGGGAATGTTCATTTTGCTAAAAACCTGTGCAATAATGATAATAATATAAGATTAAGAAATGCAGTGCCTATAGAGGGTTCAGCAATAGTGCGTCGGGCATCTGTAGCTCCGAGAATAAAAAACTTGCGAATTTTTGGGCGAACCTAAAGTATGTACTAGTATGTATTTCAGAAAAATATTTTAACTTATACAGGATGCTCCAAAAAAGTGTAAGTGTATTGCAATTATTTTTTAAATGGAACTTAAATATTCCAGATCATTTTACATAATCGTAAGATATGAGTAAACATATTTGGATAGTTTCAGAGATATTAATAAATAAATAAAAAATATATATTTTTCAGTCTTTTTTAAAAAAAATGTTAAAAATACAAGAACTGTCCTAAAATCAAAACTATATTAAGTATTTATTTTAGATGGTCTGTACTTACTTTGCTATAAATATAGTAATCTTAAATCATATAGGATGCTCAAAATTCTACGTCAATCTTTCTAAAATTTTTTCAATAATTTTTCTTCGTTTTCTTAAATGGACCACCCTATATAATAATTTTTTAAAGGTTTCGCAGATATTCGCGGTTTTATATTTCATATGGCATTTTCCACAGTAAATTTTAATCAAAGCCACCTAATGATTTATGTCTCATATTATACCGTTGAAAGAGCCATATGAAATAATACTGCGAGTATATTATGGAAAACCGTTAAAAATTTTGAAATACTTTAAATACAAAAAATGTTCATATTTTAATTCTCCATCTAATAAAAAAATATTATACAGGGTGCTCCATTAAAAAAAAACAAAGAAAAATTATTTTATATTTTAGAAAGTTTGGCGTAGAATTTTGAACACCCTGTATGATTTAAGATTACGATATTTATAGCAAAGTAAGAACAAATCATCTAAAGTAAATACCTAATATAGTTTTGATTTCAGGACAGTTCTTGTATTTGTAATAATTTTTTTCAGAAAGGCTGAAAAAAATAATATATTTTTTATTTATTTATTAATATCTCTGAAACTGTCGAAATATATTTACTCATATCTTAGGATTAAGTAAAGTGATCCGAAAGGCAGCCAAAAATGCAATAATATACGGGGTGTTCCATTTAAAAAAAGTCATCCCGACCCACTCGCACTTTTTTGAGCCACCCTGTAGATGTTAAAATATTTTCCTGATATACATAATAGCTCACACTTCAAGTCTGCACTTAAACAAAATAAAAAAAGTTTTTTATTCTAGGAGCTACAGATGCCCGACGCACTTTGGCCGGACCCTGTATACGATATTGATAACTTAAAAAAGCAGTTATATTAGGTTTGTTCCAACCCCAAGTTTTAGAACGGTTCTGGAACCGTTATGAAATCATTGGGACTAGTCTTATCCGCATGCGTTAACTCGGCACTGTTTTTGAACGATTCTAGATTGACAATTGGTTGGAATAGTTTCGGAACCGTTTTTAATCTGTCTTGTCAAAACACCGGTTAAAATAACCTCACTTTTTGATTGATGTAAGATGTAAACAAAACAAACCTTAATAATATTCTTCACAGATATTCTTATTAATTGTATAGAACAGTGGAAACTGTAAAAAGTGGTAAATTACTACCTACATTAATAAATAATGGAGACAAACCATAATTTTGATAAGTTTCAATTGGTTTACTATTCGTTTTTTTTTGTTAAAAAGTGTGAACTGTAAAATGTTAAACCCTAGCTAAATTAAATAGACAATTTCTAAGTATAGAAAGAATTCTAAACACTAAAACCCATTAAACTCCAAACAAATCCACAAAACAAAACAAGCAAACGCCCCGGCCCAAATGTCAATCAGTTGATAAAATTTACTAACTGCGCATGTCAGTACAAACACCACTTACTGGTAAGTATCGAAATTACGGTTCCGAAACCGTTCTAATAACGATCAGACAATCGGTTGGAACGCAAAGAGAATCGTTCGAGAACAATCCCCATCAAGGTTGGAACGCTTTTAGCCCTATGCGCATGAACGGAACCGTTCCTGAACCTCAGCGGGGTTGGAACAAACCTATTATATTTTAAATAAAACGGAGCTGCGATAAAAAAAATGAGACAATTTGAAGAATATTAATATCAACGTCAATAATATTATCAATACCGAATCTTTTTCTATGACATTCAAAAAAATACCTCTACTGCAAACTGTTGTAAACCACCAATATTGATGGGGCCTTCTTCGACAGCTGACAAATTACATCCACCAACACAAAGGTCACTGGTTGGGCACACCATACCGCAGGTTAGTCCCAAAGGATTATCACTTAATATTGCTTTGGCAGCTCCATAGTAATTACCGTTGGCTATAGATGTTATAAAGGCCTAGGAAGAGGGTAAAAATTAGATTATACAAATACAAAATCATTGAAAATTGTAGATAAAAGCAAGATATTTCTAAATAACTTAAAATATATGTTTTAATTAAATAATCCAGTAAAATTGTATCGCCGTATAGAGAGTGAAAAGAAAAATTACGGGCAAGCTGATTTTTTCAGAGTTTGTCAGCGACTGTCTTCTAAGTGTAAAATTAACAAAATCGGAAATTTTCCCCTTGCGGTTTTTGAGCAATAGGGGTGGTTTTCTTAATACTGTACTACAACAAAATAATTAGACGCAAATTGTACATAAGAACATTCTCTATAAGTTCGCCTAATGATTTTTTTATTTTATTATTTCCGGACTTAGGGGCCGTTTCATGAGCCCTTTGGGGTGGTTTTTAAAAAGTTTGTTTTACAGCAAATTGACCCATATGAAAGTTGTTCATAATAAATGGACAAGCAACTTTTCCTCATGATTTTTTTTTGTAGCTTGATTATTTTTGGAGATAGCATCCAATTCAGGAACAAATTAGGGTAGTTTTAATGCTACTCTTTTTTCAGCAAATTCACCCTAGGAAACTTGTTCAATAAGAGTACATATACTTTTGCCTTATGAACTTTTTTTGTAACTTGACTATTTTTGGAAATAGCTCCCAGATCATGAACAAGTAGTGATAGCTTTAAATGTCTTTTTTTTTCAGGAAATTCACAAGTGCTATTGGAAAATGGATTCGTGTTTTATTTGCAAGAAATTATTGAATGTTGCTGAAATTGTGGACGTTCAGAGAAAAAAAAAAATGGACGCTATCTCTAAAAATAATCGAGCTACAAAAAAATTCTTGAGGAAAAGTTGCTTGTTCATTTATTATGAACAATCAGCTTGCCCGTAATATTTTTTTTCAAATGACAATTTTATTGGATTAAAATGCTTTCTTAGACTTTGTGTTTTTTTATTCAGTCACTGATTTTTTCAAATGGTTTTTAAAGCATGATTTTACCTTAACATCCAATTGTGTGGGGCATGATTTCTGACATGGTGCATCTGCACATTTTAGACATCTAGTGGCCTCTCTAAGGGCACCCCTTTCAGATAACGTTGTAGGCTTAACATCTGAAAAATTATTCTCCAAAGCAGGTGAGCAGCTCTAAAACAAATTTAAACAAATATTTAACAATTTTAATGATAAATATTATGGGGTGTAAAAGATATTAGAATGATAAAAAAACTAGTTTAATAGATTAGCACAAATTTATGGAATTTGAATTATCATATAAGCAATGATACTTAATTAAATCAGCTATAAACAATAAAGAGATATTTACATATAAGTTTTATTTAAAAGTTCATTAGTATGGTTCAATTTTAATCTAAATTACAAACGATGCACTTGAGATTTGAGATAATATGAATTAAATAAAATCAAAATAAATATAAATTAAATAAATAAAAATGTTTTTTATCGAGTAATATCCAATGTTTTCTTATGAATTTTATATATTAATATTATAGATAAACTTAAAAATACCTACTAAATAAATAGATGATAAAGAAGCTTATCTGTCTTAGTCAGTCAAATACACAAAAATATTTTTGGTTCAGTGTTTAAATAATGTTTTCAATTCTAATATCCTAGATTATTAATTCAAAATACGTAGTAATTTAAAAGTATACTGCTCCCAGTTTTAAGTTGTATTCATTGGCAGTTTTAATCTTGGTATACAGGGTGTCCCAGGCTGAGCGTGCATTAGAAGTTTCTAGAGAACTAGAACATCTGGCTCGGAAATTTTTTGCAGATCATAGTTTCGGAATACCGGAAGTTAATAGCAACTTTCTTATTTTAAATGGGTGCCCCCATTTTTTATTACCTACTTAAATTTTCTGTAAAATTTTATGAATTTTGATATTAAACACTCTAGATCTAACATTAACCGATTTTGAGAAAAAAATATTTAAAAATTTTGAACGAAAAAACTGCCGGTCAAAAATATGTGTATAGCCTAAACGTCAAATTTTGTGATTACCACAGCCACTGTACCATAAAGAGAAGACAACAGGCTATTTATTTCAAAAATTAAATTGTTCGAATGTCATATAATAATGGCCGCAGCTGTCATAGAATTGAGAGATTAAAAAATTCTCATAAATCATTTTTTTTCAAATGGAAACCCACTTTTTTCTTTCACTACTGAAATGGCTCTTCAATTCGTAACTTTTTGAAAATACATGTTCTTATACCTAAAATAAATCGTTTTTAAGTTACTTAAGCTTTAGTATTAAAGCATATATTTTTTTTGATTTTAACCAGTAGCCTATGACTTTAAACGTCAAGTGATGTAAAACAATAGATCTGGCCATGTCATATTGTGACGCTTTGTTCAAAAAGCAGCATCATTTCCGAGCCAACTTTGCGCTTTTTTTCGATCAGAAGGAATAATATTAATAATATCAACTATTAGATATCGCTAAAGAGCAAAAATACGAGATATATTTTTATAAATACACTTTTTAAACTCTTAAGCAGGCAGTATTTATAATGTACGAAATTCAAGCAATTCGTTTTCTGACAGATGGAAATAAATTGTCTGACCGTTTGACACTTAATGTCAATGGAAGCTAGATAAAATCAAGAAAAATATACGTATTCAAATTAAATCTTAAATAACTTTAAAACTATTTATTTTAGGTATAGGAACATGTATAGTTAAAAAGTAACGAATTGAAAAACTTTTTCATTAGTGAAATAAAAAAAGTAGGTTTCTATTTAAAAAAAAATGATTTATGATAATTTTTTAATTGCTCAATTCGATGACAGCTACTGCCATTATTATATGACATTTGAACAATTTAAGTTTTTCAAATAGATAGCCACATGTTTTCTCTTTATGTCACAATGGCTGTGGTAATCACTAAATTTGACTTTTACGCTATAAATTTTTTTTTGACAGATAGTTTTTTTCGTCCAAAAATTTTAAATATTTTTTTTTCTCAATAACGGTTAATGTTAGGTGTAGAGTGTTTAACATCAATATTCATAGAATTTTACTGAAAATTTAAGTATCTAATAAAAATGGGGAGCACCCATTTAAAATAAGAAAGTTGCTGTCAACTTCCGGTATTTCCAGAAGTGCCGCCATATTGCAATATTTTTAATCGATAGATCTCATTGTAAAACAATGATGTGCAAAAATCTCCGATCTAGATATTGTAGTTCTCTGGAAATTTCTAATGCACGCTCAGCCTGGGACACTTTGTATACAGAGTGTCAAAAAAATAGTGTATCCAACTTCGGTGGATGATTCTAAAGATAGATTCTAGAGATAAAATTAGCGTAGAGATTACTAGTTCTGCTATCCTTATGGTGCGTCCAGACCTGAGGAGTCGAGTGCGAGACGAGCGCGAGACAAGAGCGAGGCAAGAGCAAGACGAGTGCGAGACGAGAGCAAGACATTTTCTATCCATTTTTTGACGCAAGCCTGCCGCGAGACAAGCGAGTTGGATCATAGTGAAAGGTGACCGGTTTGTGTAAACATTTCCGATTAAAAACCTGCAGCAAATAATAACGCATAAGTAATAGGTACATTTTTGTATCTTTAACATGATATTTGGTTTGTCGTATTTTATTCATCGTAGATTTTTTCCCCTTTTGCCCTTCATTTGTTTGGAGACACGACGTTTTTTACAAAATTCGTTTTTTAGAACAAAATGGTAAATAGAAATGTTATAGGAAAGGTTAAAAAGCACATTTGAAAATTACTGTAGAGTATACAGGGTACTTCAAAAAGTGTTACGGATATAGGTATGTTTTAATGGGAATACACTATTTTTTATTTTATTATTAGATTCTACGTACAATTCGGTAAATTTTTTTGCATAATATATTACCTATACAGGGTTGTTCACTACATACGACACGGAATATTGTAGCTAAACGATAAGATTTTTACAAATTGTAAGTTTTAGATTTGTTGAAGGACTATTAGAGCTACAATTTAAAAATATTTTTACAAGACACAGAGTGTCCCAAATAAATAAAAAATATCAAAGTGGTATTTTTTTAAATGGAACACCCTGTATATTATTACATTTTTAGTTTCTACAATTAAAATAAAGGTAAATTTTATTAAGGTTTATTACACTTAAACCTTACCGTTCTTGAAATATTTTCAATTTTGTGAAATTGCAGTTTAAATTTTAAGGTTTCATTTCTCCGAGGGTATCAAAGTTTTTAATACTAAATATTTACTGAAGTTTATTTATTGATCAGTTATTGTGTTGTAATAATAAAAATTTTACTATATTATACAGAGTGTCTAAATATTTATTTTAAATAATTATTACCTTTAACGGCAATAACTTGTTTAATTTAAATAGAACACCCTGTATATTTTATGAGAGTCGGATGCACAATTTAATTGTCTATCAAATTGTATTATACCATTTTTTACCTATCTCTTCAAGTTTCCCTAGAAAATGCATTTTCTTGTAATTTAGAACTCATTTATCAATATACCCATGGAATACTGACATTTTAGATTATTTTTAAAGATGTACCAAATTTTTAAAGAGTACAGATACTAATATTGTCGATATAATTCGTTTATTTCATTAAAAAATAAAAAAAGACTGTTTAAATATTTGTTATAGACGACCAATTAATGTGATTCCAGTATTCAAAATACATTAATTGACTGTTTGCGTTGATTAATAATAATTGCTCCAAATACTAAAAAAAATGAATTATGTATGTGTATTAGACAGTGTGGTAAAAAACTAACACCTTAAAAATTATATTTTATTTTTTGACGAATGCTTATTTATCACAACAGAGACGTTCATTTTTATAACTTATTATTATATTGATTTCTGATTCAAATCCACATTTAAATAGAATAATTTATTAACGAACACAATTAAGTATGTAATTAATTAGTATCTGGTCGGAAATACTGGTGGTATATTTATATAATTAATATAATCTTTTATAAAGATTTAAATAGTTTTCTTTTTGCATACAAATGGGCAAGTAATATTATCGTTTTACTAAAAACGATAATATTAATAGCCTGTACATTTTGTACATTTGTTGTTTTAAAAACAATCTAAAATGTTAATATTCCATAGGCATATTAATAATATGAGGTCTAAAATAAATGAGGTCTAAATTATAAGAAAATGCATTTTCTACGAAAACTTGAAGGGGTAGGTAAAAAGTGCTATAATACAATTTGATAGACAATTAAATTGTGCATCCGACTCTCATAAAATATACAGGGTATTCCATTTAAATTAAACAAGTTATTGCCGTTTAAATCTAGTAATTATTTAAACTAAATTTTTAGACACTCTGTATAAGGTAGTATAATTTTTATTATTGCAACACAATAACTGATTAATAAATAAACTTCAGTAAATATTTAGTATTAAAAACTTTGATACCCTCGGAGAAATGAAGCCTTAAAATTTATACTGCAATTTCACAAAATTGAAAATATTTCATAAACGGTAAGGTTTAAGTGTAATAAACCTTAATCAAATTTACGTTTATTTTAATCGTAGAAACTAAAAATGCAATAATATACAGGGTGTTCCATTTAAAAAAATTCAACTTTGATATTTTTTATTTATTTGGGACACATTGTAAAAATATTTTTAAATTGTAGCTCTAATAGCCCTTCAACGAACCCAAAACTTACAATTTGTAAAAATCTAATCGTTTACCTACAATACTCCGTGTCGTATGTGGTGAACAACCCTGTATATCTAAAATAATAGATTTTGTAATAATTCAATATGTTTAAAGTATTGTTAGATTTCGGTACGGTAAAAAGTGTCAGTGATGCAAAATTTGTAAATTCTATTAAAAAAATAATAATACATACGGTGTTCCATTTAAAAAATTTGAGATTATTTAATTTTAAATAGTCGAAATTCATAAATATATGTTGAACATAGTATAGCATGTAACTCAAATATCTTTACCTATATCTTTTTCTTCGTCCCTATAAAACTATCCTAACAAATTTTAGAACTCCAATTTCAGAAACAATAGCATGACTGACAATTTTTTACGACACTGAACATTTTTTGTTTAATCAAATTGAAATATTACAAAAACTATTAGTTTTAGGGGTATACCGTTTTAGG